CAAATTAGTTCAAAGGGGCATAACTCCTGGAAAAAAAATTGAATCGTAATTTCCTGTCGATATGCACATCTACGTAGTATGTCCTTATTATCTGAAAAGGTTTCATCAAATTCTGTTGTGTGGTTTGAGAGGAGTTGCGATGACAAAAGGTTGCAGTAGTATATTGGGCAAATAAGTTTAAAGGGGCGTAACTCCTGGAAAAAAAAATTGAATCGTAATTTCCTGTCGATATGCACATCTACGTAGTATGTCCTTATTATCTGAAAAGGTTTCATGAAATTCTGTTGTGTGGTTTGAGAGGAGTTGCGATGACAAACTGTTGCAGTAGTACATTAAAGTAAATAAGTTCAAAGGGGCGTAACTCCTAGAAAAAGAATTGAATCGTAATTTCCTGTCGATATGCACAACTACATAGTATGTCCTTATTATCTAAAAAGGTTTCGTGAAATTCTGTTGTGTGGTTTGAGAGGAGTTGCGATGACAAGAAACAGGACTGACAGACTCGTTGCGTGGGGTATAATAATTTCATAATTGCGTAAAAGTATGTTTTTGCTTAATTTTTTATTGAAATTTATTTTAATTTGATTTAGGATTCCTCAAATGCAGTATCTAAATGGATTTTAATTTGAAATCAATTCCCTCCAATATGAAACTATAACAAATTTGTTTCTAGGCGCAGCTAATACATTAATTTATATATTGGTCCCAGGACACAGTGATACAGTAAATGTTGTTTGTGTCGTATTATAAGCAGTCTCTTTTCTACCCAGGATTTTAAGTCAAATTTCATCCTATTCCCAATGCAAAAGTGAAAACAGGTTGATATTTTCAAATATATGTAAACAAATTTATTGGCTTATTGCATCAAAATATCGTGTGTTTGGATTGTTTACTAGTAACACATCAGGGATTTTTGCAACTTTATGGCATATGCCAAATTACCTTTCATAAATTCCTGGTTCGTGGGTGGTTACTGGTTCATTGTGAGCAAAGAAAAGTTAGGTGCCTTTTATTCAAACCCAAGCAATTATAAACCTGTCTATGTGATAGTAAAAATGAAAAAATAAGAAAATGTGGTATGATTGTCAATGAGACAACTCTCCACCAGAGACCAAATGACATAGAAGTTAAGAGCTATAGGTCACTGTACAGCCTTCAATAATGAGCAAAAACCCATACCGCATAGTCAGCTATAAAAGCTTATTTTGCAGTTCACCTTTTTGACACCATGAGACACAAGTATAATCTTTATTTCAAAAAAGTAAAACTCTGACGGGTTCAGATGAAAACATAAAATATATTATAGCTATATATATATGTGCATATACATAAGAAACATAAAACACATGAATAAAGTTCTATAAGTTAATAATTATATAAGTAAATAGATAATTAAACAATGTGGACCTCATTTTAGCAACTGCATGGATTACTTTATATTGCCCACAACATTAGACTAAAGATCAAATCTGGGAATAACCAGGAGCATACTTATCTCTAGGAGCAAATTTATATTACATCAATAAATCAAATAAAAAAGGTAGTGCAAAAGAGGCAGCCATAGGATTTATAAAATGTGTTTAATCCTTTCTTATAAACCAAACAATGACAGCTAAACAACAGCCAGAGCAGGTCTTACCAAAGTATGTGAGAGTCTGACTGAATCTAATAGGACCAAAGACACGATATCCTTAACCAGTGTGTTTGTTTAGACAGTTCTGCCCACTTCCATAGGGGAAAATTTAAGTATTGGTAAAAACTTTAAATGTGTTTTAAATATGTTTATAATGTACTGAAGTTCAAATATGAGTCCATCAGTTATTGTATTGATAACTGAATGTATTTGAGAATTTGCAACAATGGGTCAGATGTTCCGATTTAAAAAAAGTCAGTGGTTGATTATTCAAAAGGAGGAAGGACAGGTCCAGTGGGACGGAATGTTTTCCTTTGAAATGTTTAATTTTAATGGTTTCTTACGAATAATCAATCTATGGTTTTCAATTCGGTCTTGGTTAGCATGTGAACTTTCTCAATTTAAGACCATAGGGCCTAAATCTAAAATAGGTAGTTTATAACAAATTAGTATTACCGGTACTCAGATGCAATATCTAAATGGTTATAGGTGATTATTGCCACAAGGAAAGAAATATAAAACAATATTTTTCTTTGCCACCAGGAATGAGAGAGATTGATTAATTGTTTGTGTTTAAAGCTACTTTCAGCACTCTTGGCTATATTGTAGCGGCCAGTGTTTATTGCTGGATGAAAGAGAGAACCATGGATCTTCAGAAGGAAAAAAGATTGCAGTCAAATGCACCGGCCACTTGCTAGGGTTCCAACTCACAACCAGTGTAAATTACAGGCTAGTGATTGCTGCAGATGAAATACTTGGACCACTCTGCCACTGAGACTCCATATTACTAAGAGATCATACTAAGTGACTGTAAAGTTTCATAAGGATGCATTTACTTTTTTTTTTTTTTATGTCTAATAAGCTTTAGACTAATATAGTTAAACATAATTGTGATCTTACACTATTTGTGCATTTTCTCACTAAAATTGTCTCCTTACTTGGATTGTCAAGTTCTTGTTATGGCTGCTTCCTCACTTATAAATGAATAGGTTAAAAAAAAATTATGATTTTCCTATGAAATACATGTATGGGTAGGGATTTTTGCAAGAATCAATAAATGAATGGTTGGACATCTGTAACCACATTTGTATGTTGAGTCATCCTTTGTAGGGTGTTTAGGATGTGAATTACGGTAAACAAGAGTGTACACGCTAAAATGCCTCGCCTGCTTTACTTACCACAATTGAATTTATGTTTATTGTGTATTATTTGAAGGTTTTACTAGAAGTTTCAAAAAAATTAACATTATCAGTAATCAATGTAAATGAGGTCATGGTCAGATGAACCCTGCTAGACAGACATGTACACCTTACAATCATACCATTCACCAAATATAGTTATCATATTCCTTATGATATCCATGAAACAGACAGACCTAATTATTAAAATTATACATTGACCAATAAACCATGAAAATGAGGTCAAGTTTAGATGAACCATGCCAGACAGACATGTACACTATGCAAACATTCCATACACCAGATATAGTTGACCTATTGCTTACTGAATCTGAAAACAAACATTAACATGAAAACTTTATATTGACTAATGAAATTGAGGTCAAGGCCAGATGAATCCTAACAGATGGACATATATACATGTTACAATCATTCTATACACCAAATATAGTTGTTTTTTGCTTAAAGTATCTGACAAATATACAAAATCAGAAAAAATAACATGGCCCAATGAACCATGAAAATAAGGTCAAGGTTAGATGAAATTTGCAAGTCAGACATGTACACTTTCAATCATTCCATACACCAAATATAGATGACCTATTTCTTAAAGTATCTGAGATACCAACAACCATGTAAACTAAGACCTTGCCAGGCACCACTACACCAAATATATCACATGACAAAAACACTATAAAACAAGTATAATAATGGATAAACAGAGGAACAGATTTTCACAACCTGGCAGTCATAACTTCAAGACTAATAAAAAGAATAAAATATTTTCTGAAGAAACCATCAATAAAGATTTCCAAGATTTTGAAACTACAAAAAACTAGAGGCTCTAAAGAGCCTGTGTCGCTTAGCTGCATCTTCAACAATGGCCACTTTTCAGTAAAAATCATCATTATAGGCGAATTACTTTAATAAGAGTTAACTGACAATTTAAGTCATGTTAACATATTTGTAGATCTTATCCTGCTGATAATTATTCCTTTTTAAAGTTTCTATTTATCTACTGTGGATTCATTATTATTCGTTGGATACCAAATTTCGTGGATTTCGTAGGTACAGGTGAACCACAAAATTAAATGTTCAACGATTGACAAATTTTCTATAGGCTTGTATGCAAACTTCGACAAAACCACGAAATTAAATATCCATGAATATGTAAGTTTTCCTTAATCCATGAGGATTATGGCCATTATAGCTTTTTAGTGGATCTTGTCTTGCTGATCAAAAGCAAAAACTTCATTCAATAAGGAGTCAACTATCAACTTTGATCATGTTAATCAATTGTAAAGTTTTTATCTATCTAATATAGTTTTAAAGATATGAGGCAAAAATGCAAAAAATTGGAAAAAAATTGTCATTATTGGGCAATAGCTCTAATAAGGAGTTGACTGAAGAATTCGGCCATGTTAAATTATTTGTAGATCTTGTCTTGCTGATCATTTTTGACATTTAAAGTTTCTGTCTATCTATTATAATTTTCAAGATAATAGGCAAAAATTGTAAAAAAAAATGGTAAAATTTATCATTTCAGGGCAATAACTCCTATAAGAAGTTGTCTGACAGTTTTGACGTAAATGAACAATAGGTACGCTCAACATTTTGAACATTTTTGCCCTGTCAGATTTTATCTTTATAAGCCATGTTGTCCATCTTGGTTGGCAGGCAGGGTCATCGAACACATTTTTTAAACTAGATACCCAAATGATGATTGTGGTCAAGTTTGGTTAAATTTGGTCCAGTAGTTTCAGAGGAGAAAATTTTTGTAAAAGTAAATGACAACGACGACGACAACGGACGCCAAGTGATGAGAAAAGCTCACTTTGGCCTTTCTGCCAAGTGAGCTAAAAAGGACTCCAGTAATGCTTTTTATCTTTTGGGTATTGATTTGACCTATAATAATTTTCCAATTTTATTTATAACTCAGATCTTTTGTTATTCATAATATAAGATGCACAAAAGTGATGATTAATAATCAATGCATTATCTGAAGTAGGTTTGTACTACTTTTAACATGCAGTAGTATCCAGATAAATTTTGGAACAAAAAAAATCTTAAATTTGATATTTCAACAGTGCATGCATTTTATTTTTACAACAATCTTGTAATTTTTGTTGCCATTGTAGTTTTAAAATAGTTACATTACTGAGTACGTGAAAAATGATAAACATAATTTGTACAAAAAAAATTCTTTATTACACATTATACAGTTTGTAACACTGATAAAGGCTATTAATTTCTATAATATCAACACATAACTTCAAATCATACTACAGAAAATTAATTTAAATATATGAGTACAGAAGTTAATGATATCCATATATTAATTAAAACCTCACAATGTGTATATAGAAATAGAAATTACTAAAAATTTATAAAAAAACATGACATATTCTGAATAGAAACTTTAACCATGCCTGTGATTTTCATATAAGTCGTCCTACTAATCCTATAAAACTTATATATACCACTGCTTTAATGTTTGAACTATCTAAACACCAATATAAATTTACAATTTTTTTGGGAAATATAAAAATGAGGAGATGTGGTATGATTGCCAATGAGACTATCCACCAAAGTTAAAATGAAGTGGTAGTAAGCAAATATAGGCCACCATAGGGCCTTCAACAATGAGAAAAACCAATACCGTATTGTCGGCTATAAATGTCCCCGACATGAAAAATGTGAAACAATCTATAACAAAACAATTTACGAAAAACAAATATGACAGACATGAACCAACGATCAGTTTTATTATCAAGAATTTCCTAATCTATATATATTAACAAATATACTAAATCATTTATAAATCATATCTATATAATAAGTTCCTTTGCACTTTTATAAACAAGTTTTCCTGCAATCAAGGTATACAATTCCTTGCTGTTATCTATTTGAACAATGAAAGGCAAGTTAAAAATTTATAAACAGTTCTTTTGTTGAAAAATTCAATATTTAGTTGCAAATTAGTGCACTTATACTTGAAATTAAAGGTGTTCAGAGATGTTAACAGAAGTTTGAAAAAATAACTTAAAACAAACTATATATGTATTTAAGTCAAATATATCCTCCTAAAAGTAAGAAAACTAAAAGGACAACAGAATTTCACATATTGTTCATGAAGCATAATTGCTAAAGGGATATACATTTATGAACACAATAATAAAAGAAAGTTATTGCTGTTTAATGCTTCAATCTTCATCTGCTACACTTTCATACCTGAAAAATATAGATATATATATATATATTCCCGTATAGGCATACTTGACAAACAAACTGATTTAACAATGATCATATTTCTATTTATCATTCACTACAGTTGACCATTTAAAAAAAAGTTGCTTTCTTCAGTGTTGCTCACCTAAGTCTATGTGAATAGATGTCAACAATCTAAACAATTTTGCTCTGTCAGATTTTCTCTATCTATAGCAGTTTTTAAGATAATAGACAAAACTTGCATTTTACCCCATGTTCTATTTTTAGCCACTTCAACCATGTTGTTTGGCAGGAATGGACATCAGATGCAATACTTCAACCCAAGACCGCTGTGAAGTCACTAAAAATTGTTCCAGATTTTTTTTTGCCATTCAATATAAAATTAATGACTGTTAATAAGGTACTAATGATTTTATAACACCTTTCTTGAAAATAGTTGGATACAGTGTTGGTTTAAAGTCATTAAACATTGTAGATTCTTACACAAGTCAATTGAAAGCACTTTTGGATTTTAGTTGTAAATACAAAGAACTACAGTTGGCTTTGACTTTTAAGGGTTGACTATTCTATTTTATTTACTACTTGGGTGTTTTAATTATTTTTACTTTGCCTAGTATACAAAGTCCTTAATTTTTTATACTATTACAATTTCCAGAGAATGTCCTAGAAAACATTCATGCAGATTGCAATGACCAATGGCAATATAAGCACTCAATTTGTTTTATAATGCATCATTTGTTGTCTAAAATGTATCTACTATATTTTGTTCAATAAATTAATTGAAAAAGGAAACATTCAAAAAAAATAATATATATGATCTATTCTTTGCATTGTTAACATATGAAAAATGAAAGAACCTTAGTGAGCGTGCTCACATACCCCACGTCCCCACATTGTCATTGGAGAAATAAAATAAGTGTAAGAAAAAAAAATTGAATCATAATTTCCTGTCAATATGCACATCTACATAGTATGTCCTTATTATCTACAAAGTTTCATGAAATTCTGTGGTGTGGTTTCAGAGGAGTTGCGATGACAAACTGTTGCAGTAGTACATTGAAGCAAATAAGTCCAAAGGGGTGTAACTGCTAGAAAAAAAATTGAATCGTAATTTCCTGTCGATATGCACATCTACATAGTATGTCCTTATTATCTAAAAAGGTTTCATGAAATTCTGTTGTGTGGTTTGAGAGGAGTTGCGATGACAACTGTTGCAGGAGTAAATTTAAGCAAATAAGTTCAAAAGGGCGCAACTCCTAGAAGAAAAATTGAATCGTAATTTCCTGTCGATATGCACATCTACATAGTATGTCCTCATTATCTACAAAGTTTCATGAAATTCTGTGGTGTGGTTTCAGAGGAGTTGCGATGACAAAAGGTTGCAGTAGTATATTGGGCAAATAAGTTTAAAGGGGCGTAACTCCTGGGAAAAAAATTGATTTGTAAATTCCTGTCGATATGCACATCTACATAGTATGTCCTTATTATCTAAAAAGGTTTCATGAAATTCTGTTGTGTGGTTTGAGAGGAGTTGCGATGACAAACTGTTGCAGTAGTACCTTAAAGTATATAAGTTCAAAGGGCGTAACTCCTAGAAAAAGACTTGAATCGTAATTTCCTGTCGATATGCACAACTACATAGTATGTCCTTATTATCTAAAAAGGTTTCGTGAAATTCTGTTGTGTGGTTTGAGAGGAGTTGCGATGACAAGAAACAGGACTGACGGACTGACGGACAGACGGGTCAAAAACATTATACCCTCCGCAACTCGTTCCGTGGGGTATAATCATAACTATTTATCTTACACATACAACTGTTCAGTCAATAGATGTAACATATCAAATTATTAAAGGGTTATCAGCTCATATAAGCAGTCATCAACAGGCTTTTAATTATGCTAAAAAAAATTAAATGAACAAGACTTTAAATGAGTTAATTGCAATCCCTCCAATCCTTAGTGGTACACATTGTCAATAAATCAAGTTAAAAATTTGATTTTCTTGGTTATTGATATATATATATATATTATATATATATGAACTATATTTATATATATATGAACAAATCTGCATTGAAAACAACGTTCAAATCTATGATCGAGTTGGATAAAAATTGCAATTTTTATACGTGTGCATGCAAAACAAATTTTTTGGTAGAGGGGTCTAAATACAGCACAAACATTTTCCAAAACACCAAAAGAGTGAAAAAGTATATTGTAACAAAACGCATTTGACTAGCAGGTCGAACAATGGATGTTCTTAAACCCTGCTGATTGCCATGGCCATTGCCAAATAAACGGATCACCAGATGTAACAAAATGGATCTTAATATTTAATTTAATACAAAACAGAAAACAATAAACTTGCGGAAAAGATGGTATACCAAAAGAATGAGGTGCAAAAATTTGTACACCATATCCGGATTTCGACAATTAATGTCTCTTCATTGATGTTAGGAATCGAAATGGTATTTGGAAGGCCATATATATATATATATATATTTTTATCCAATGCAATCATAGGTTTGAACGTTGTTTTCAATTTAGACTTGTTTATATCAATAAAACTTACAGGTTTATGTTATTAGAAACTAATTTAGATGATGAATTTAAAGTTATGAATTTTCCCTTGAAGTGGAGTGAAGATACAAGAGGACTATCCCTTTTGTACATATGGCAAAGTTAGTGTTTTGGTATTAAGATACCTCCAAAATCATTCTGATCTCATGAGGCGCACTGAGTCAGATATTTTATCTGCTACGTCACACGGTAACTGTTCACAGAAAAACAGTCCCCCTAATCAGACATATTATTCTCATTCTGGAGCAACCAATCTTTGCTTTTACTCCTAAATGCTACAGCTTGAATTATAAGCAGCAAAAACCAATTCTAAAGTCAGCTAGGAATCTAACCCAGAAGCTCATCCAGTCTTGGCAAGCAATCTACCATGATACCACTGAGGCTGTAAATGGATGTTTGAATGAATTCTTCCTTCACTTTATACAACCAACTATGCAGAGGGTGTAATAAGGACATATGACGATTGATACTTTTTTCTTACTTTGATAATTTTCTCCGTAGTTGTTTAAGTTGATCATTTTTTGATACCAACATCTTCTTTAAATTTTTAAATGGATTTGTTTGACTGACTTTCTTTTCCAATTCCTGTGAAAAAAATCAAATAAATAAATTACATTCTGGTAATTGATAAATATAACTACAGATAATTTGTAAACGTAGTAATTATTTTTATATCATTAAACATGTTCCATAAAAGAATTTAGTACCGGTACATGTAAAAACATTTTCAAATATTAGATAAACTTCATGTATTGCTAAATGTTAATATACTTGACAGAACACTACTATGCACATTGATTAATTCACTTACTCTGACATAAAACTGGGCCATTAAAGTTCATACATCAATTATAATGAAAAGTAAAGCAATCTTCATTGACTAGAGACTATTATGATCTCCTAGGTAAATCAGTTTGCTATGTTAAATGATTGTAAATCACTTAAGGGCATACTATACAATTACAGGGGAGGTAATAACATTGCTATCGTAAAATGTTATTTTTTACGATGTCAAACTGTAACATATTGGGAAAAGATGCATTTTCGACAGAGTTTTATCATTCAGATTCACATTGCCCTATTTCAATTATATGATTGAAATATTTTGATTTACATTATAAATCATCTAGTTGAATTTTTGACTTGTTTACCTTATGATCATGTGATACTATAAACTTTGTAAACTGCCTGGTTGTAGCATTGTATACTGAAGTTCTACACTAAAAATAATGCTATCATTAATTACCTTTTCAGCCATTTCTAGCATTTCTCTAATACGTAGTAATTCATGTTTAGTAGATACTAAGTCATTGTCCATATCACCTGCTGAAGGACTAGTTTTCTTACTCTAAAAAAAGAAACAAGAATACAGATGTTATCTTGTAAATATTTGATGAATCAATTGTCTGCATTTAGCACAAAAGAATATAAAATCAAGAGTGCACATGCTGAAATGTCTCCCTTGCTTTACTTATCATTGAATTTATTTTTAAAGTCTGTAATATGAAGGTTTTACTATAAGTATCATATAAACTATACCTAATCAATGATCCACTAAAATGAGGTCAAGGTCAGATGAACCATGCCAGACAGATATGTTCACCTTACAATCATTCCATACACCAAATATAATTTACCTATTGCTTATAGTATCTGTCTCAGGAATAGACCAAACCACAAAAAACAAAACAATGTCCAATGAACCATGTAAAAAAGGTAATGCTCAACTGAAACCTGCCATTCAGACATGTACACCAGACAATCTTTCCATACACCAAATATAGTTGACCTATTCCTTACAGTATCTGTAATACCTTGATAAGTCCTAAAAATTTTCATAATATTTATTTACAAGAGTGCACAAGCTGAAATGACTTGCCTGTTTTACTTATCATTGACTTCATGTGGAAAGTATGAAGGTATTTCTACAAGTATTACATAAACTTAACATTATCAAAAGGTCAAGGTCTGATGAACCATGCCAGACAGACATGTACTCCTTACAATCATTCAGTACATCAAATATAGTGGTCCTATTGCTAATAATAGTACCAGAGAAACAGATCAAACCACAAAATCTTAACATTGACCGATGAACCATGAAAATAAGGTCAAGGTCATATGAACCCTGCCAGACAGACATGTACACATTACAAACATTCCATACACTAAATATAGATGACCTACTGCTTATAGTATATGAAAATCTGACAAAATTACGAAAAACTTATCATTGACCAATAAACCATGAAAATGAGGTTAAGGTCATATGAACCCTGCCAGACAGACATGTACACCCTACAATTGTTCCATACACCAAATATAATTGACCTATTGCTTATAATATCTGAGACCAATCCACAATAAAATGCTCCGCAGGGCGCAGCTTGATACGACCGCAGAGTTCGAACCCTGAACAGTTGGGGCAAGTATGGACACAACATTCAAGCTTGATACAGCTCTGAATTTGGATTGTGATTAAATATTTGACACAGCATAGGTTTCTGACACAAAATGACTGTGGTCTAAGAACTTAAAAATTTTAAATTGGACATTCACCTATTATGGTCCAATATCCAAAATCTAAATACATGGTTAGATTCAGCATATCAAAGAACCCCAAGAATTCAATTTTTGATGAAATCAAACAAAGTTTAATTTTGGACCCTTTTGACCTCAATGTGGACAAAGTTGATAACAGGGCCAAAAAATCAAAAATCTAAATACATGGTTAGATTCAGCATATCAAAGAACCCCATATATTCAATTTTTGTTGAAATCAAACAAAGTTTAATTTTGGACCCCGATTTGCACCAACTTGAAAACTGGGCCCATAATCAAAAATCTAAATACATGTTTAGATTCAGCATATCAAAGAACCCTAAAAATTCAATTTTTGTTAAAATCAACCTAAGTTTAATTTTGGACCCTTTGGACCTTAATGTAGACCAATTTGAAAACGGAACCAAAAAATAAGAATCTAAATACACGGTTAGATTCGGCATATCAAACAACCCCCATAATCAATTTTTGATGAAATCAAACAAAGTTAAATTTTGGACCCTTTGGACCTCAATGTGGACCAATTAAAAAACGGGTCCCAAAATCCAAAAACTTAATACACAGTTAGATTCAGCATATTAAAGAACCCCAAGAATTCAAGAATAAAACCCCATTGAAATTGATCAAGAAATAAGCAATTTATACGAAGTATCTTCTTTTGCACAATACTGTGCAATTGAATATTTCTTGCTATTGCGCAATACTGTACAATTGACAATTTCTTGCTATTGCGCAATATTGTGCTATTGGATATTTCTTGCTATTGCGCAATACTGTGCAATTGAAGATTTCTTGCTATTGCGCAATACTGTGCAATTGAAGATTTCTTGCTATTGTGCAATACTGTGCTATTGAAAATTTCTTGCTATTGCACAATACTTATTATATAATAATTTACACATCCTGTTTGGTGTGTATCTCCTACCATATCATTATTATTTGCTTTTAAATATAAATCAGAAATAACCAACTTAAAATGGAAAATTTTAAAAGAAAAAAAAAAGGAAAAAAAGAAAAGAAAACCCCCCCCCCCCCCCCCCCCCCAAATTTTTTGAACCCCTTATGATTCATCACCCCCAAACTCAATCCCAGCCTTCCCTTTGTGGTATGGTACCTTGCAGTACAATTTCAGAGAGATCCATACACTTGAACACAAGTTATTGTCTGGAAACTAGAAAAACGCTTATTTTTGGCCCCTTTTTGGCCCCCAATTCCTAAACGTTTCGGACAATTACCCCCAAACTCAATTCCAGCTTTCCCTTTGTGATATGGAACCTTGTAGTACAATTTCAGAAATATCCAAACACTTACACACAAGTTATTGTCATGAAACTAGAAAAATGCTTGTTTTTTGCCCCTTTTTTGGCCCCTTATTCCTAAAATTTTGAGGCAATTACCCCCAAAATCAATTACAGCCTTCCCTTTGTGATATGGAACCTTGTGGTACAATGTCAGAGAGATCCATACACTTACACACAAGTTATTGTCTGGAAGTTACAAAAATGCTTATTTTTGGCCCCTTTTTGGCCCCTAATTCCTTAACTGTTGGTACCATAACCCCCAAAATCAATCCCAGCCTTCCTTTCGTGGTAATGAACCTTATGGTAAAATTTCATGGAGATCCATTCACTTTAACTAAAGTTAGAGTGCGAAAACCAATGTGTCTTCGGACGACGCCAGATGACGACGACGACAACGCCAACTTCATACCAATATAGTTGGACATGGACACGTGCACCTTACAATCATTACATCAAATATAGTAGACCTATTGCTTATAATATCTGAGATATGGACTTGACCAAGAAAACTGATCCAGGAAATGAGGTTGAGGTCAAGTGAAAACTGTCTGACTGGCATTATGACCTTACAAGGTACACACATACCAAATATAGTTATCTTCATAATAAGAGAGAAATTAACATAACAAAAAATCTTCAAGTAGTCACTGAACCATGAAAATGAGGTCAAGGATAATTGACATATGACAGATGGAAAGTTCATAACATAAGGAATCTCTATACAAAGTATGAAGCATCAAGGTCTTTTACCTTCTAAAACATTAAGCTTTTAAGTAATTAGTTAACCGCATCACTATGTCCATATCTCAATTTCTACAACAGAAGTCACAGGATAAGACAAAAATTAGACTTATTTCTCACTTGCTTATTTAGTTGTGTATATTTTTTTAAAATATGACAAACTAATGATAACTTTTTTAACAAGGTTAATAATTGCATGATAATGGAGTGAATGCATTTACTGTAACAACAACTGCTTAGGTGTTTTATTCATTATTATAACAACCTAACTTAAATATGAATAAGAGTTATCTAGGTCAAGGGAATTTCATTTGTGTTGATTGAATTATACTGCAAAACACAATTAAATGGCTGTAGTGGTCAACAACTGTGCCTCTGCATAGGTTGGATTGTGAAAAAAATATTTTAACACAATGGGCAACTTTTTCATTTTAATAACAAAAAAATCTACCAAAAGTGCAGAGGTCATATAACATTAAGTAAAATATGGGATAAAATTTCAGCTACCACATATGAAATTGGAGTTTTTAATTAAATTAACTTTTGAAGATTTAAAAGTCATAACTGGCAAATGATTGGATTTTCAGATTATTTGACAGCAGATGTAATGTGAAAATACACATCTACAATATTATGTATGGATGGTAACAGTGGACTTTTTTCATGTGAACTTAAAACTAATTACCTTTTCTAGCTCTAACTCTAGTTTTGCCATTTTCTCTCTTGTTTCTTCAAGTTCACTCTCTGAAACCTGTAAGATAGATTATGCATTTTTTATCATATATATTTTTCTAGGGCATGTAACATTCTGATAAATTATTAATATATTCAAAAGTGGGAGTGGTCGATAAACTAGGTATGACACATAGATTTGTTATTGTACTTTACTGTGGTTAATAATTACATGTACTAAATAATTAATTTATTATTATTATCATTTATATTAATATAAATTAACAGTTTTGCCCTAATAAAAAAAGGGAATTTTATGTGAGTAATGAAATATCATTTACATCATCTTGAACAAGAGAGGACACACTGAAATGTCACTGTACTTAAATTAATTCATCATGAGTAAAAAAAAACCTTCTCAACATTGGTCATTGGACAATGAAAATTACGAAAAAAAGTGACCCATATCAGATGGAATTGATAACTTGAAATAATTCTAAAGACCAGACACTTCACCTATTAACAATAATAACTGAGAAACTGACCAAAGCACGCAAAATATAACATTGATCATTATATGCATCTGTTCACAGCTTTTGGATGTAACCAAGGATTGCATAATTGGGTTATTTGCCAGGCAATGTCCTTTGAATAAGTGTAAATTTGAGTAGCAATTATAACTTAATGTTTTGTTCGTTTTTTTTGGGAAATCATCAGTCTGTATAGAAGCATCACTCACTGTAGCAATAGCTATCATATTAAGGTGATCATCAAATTGAGTTAAAGGTCAGGCGACCCTTTCAAATGGAAAGATATGCCTTACAATGATTCTAATCATCATATGTACTATATATAATGTAGTTGACTATATTACCAATACCTGAGAAGCTGACTTAAGAACAAAAATATCATGTTTATCATTTAAACATAATAGACATCGATATCAGGTGACAGCCTTCAAACAGACATATTTACCAAACAGATATTCTATTGACCAAATACAGCATAATAAACTAGAAACTGACTTTAAAATGATGAAAAGTTAAAGCTGACTTTGTTAAACAAGGACTAACGAGTTTTGACAATATTAGTTTCAAGTAAGGACAAGTTTCATAACTGTTCGATCACATTCTCAATAAGAAAAACATCAAAACTTTTCTATGTGTACATTTACCTTTCCACTTGATTTTACAGCTGAAGCTAGTTCTTGTATTGCAGACTGTAAAAAATGAAAAATTTTGTTATTGTTATACATTTAAATGCCAATGATCTGAAGTTTTAATTTCATACTTCCATGGATGCAAAAAAATTTATACATATTAATAAAACTAGAATGTGCAGTTGAAATTGTTGGTTGGTATATAAATTGGATTTAACAGGATATATATATATACAATATTCGTACACTTTGTAGGAAAATATAAGATTTATTTGTAAAAGCTTTAGAAACAGAGAGAAAAGCGAGAATCATCAAATATAGGTGACCTATTGCTTAATGTATCTGTGAAACAGACTTCACCATGAAAATTTAACCTTGATCACTGATCCACAAAAGGAGGTCAGGTTATCCTGTCTGATGGACATATAGACCTTGAAAGGATCCAATATACCAAATATAGTTATCCTAGTACTCATAATAAGTCACATGCGACCATACATTCATCATCACAGTGGTGTAACCATACATATAAAAATAGGAAGATATGGTATAATTGACAATGTCACAACGCTCCACCAGAGACCGAATGACATAGAAGTAATCAACTATAGGCCACCTTACAGCCTTCAACAATGAGCAAAACCCATGCATGGTCAGGGCGATACATATATGCATAGTCAGAGTTGTGTGACCATGTATGTATGGTCACACTACTGTGATCATGCATGTATGGTTAGACCCCTCTTTAATATCAATCATCATGCATATAAATCTAACCGTGTATGTGGTACACCTTTGAAATCATGCATATATAATTTTTCCTGAAATTATTATAATTTGTAGTAGTCAATCATCAGAAACTTACTGCTACAGCAATTTTGCTCTTAGACATAAGATACTTCTGGTCAATGTGACATTACAAGGTAAATGAGTAAAAATGACTGTTACAGGCTATGACAAAGACAGGAATTTACTAATTCAAAGTGATGTGTCACTTTCTGAACTTGAAGAAGGCAGAAGTTAAGGAAGAGAATAATTAGCAAAAACCAAACAAAGGTACAGCTATAGATATAAATAAATGATTGAATTTATATTCAAAGTCTTAAGGAAAAAGTCTGTATTACAAATTTATATTACATAAAATTAACATTATCAATGATCCATGTACACCTTACAATCATGCCAAATATAGTTGACCTATTCGTTATAGTATCAAAAAAACAGACCAAACCACAAAAACTTTACACCACATATAGTTGACCTACTGCTTGTAGCATTTGAAAAACGTACCTAATCACGTAACTTAGCCTTGCTCACTTATCCATAAAATGAGGTCCAGGTCAAGTAAACCCTGTCTGACTGACAAGTAGATGTTGCAAGGAACCCATATACCAAATATAGTTATCTGAATACTCACAAGAAGTAAGAAATTCACATGACTAAATAATACATTTTTTTTTAAGTAGGGCCACCCTTAAAAAATTCTTTGTTTCATGTTGCCTACCCATGCCTTATAGGGTTAGATAGGAAGGTAGGGATTTTTTTTGTTGCCAACAATATATATAAGTTACATGTTTTAGACAAGAAAAAGACATTAGAGCAGGAAAAAATCTTTGAAAAAAAAACATTTTTGAAACGATTTGTCATAAAAAATTTTAGGTAGGCTGTTTTTTTAAGTGGGTAACTTCAAACAATTTAAATTTTATATTTGGCCTTGTCACTGAACCATGAACCATGAAAATGAGAATAGGATAATGGTCATATGACAGGAAGAAACTTCATAACATAAAGACATCTGTATACAAAGTATGATTTGATTTTGATTTTTGGGGTTTTAACGCCACTTTTAAGCACCGCTTTTGGGCTATTTCGTGGCGGCCAGTTTTTATTGGTGGAGGAAGCCGGAGTGCCCGGAGAAAAACCACCGACCTTCGATAGGAAAACTGACAATCCTAGTCAATTAAGATTGGAGTCAAGTGCACCCGCACGAGTGGGGTTCGAACTCACAACCTCAGTGTTGACTGGCTAGTGATTACAGTAGTAACTACTGAGACCACTCGGCCACTGAGGCCCCCGTATACAAAGTATGAAGCATCCAGGTCTTCCGCCCTTTGAAATATAAGGCTTTATATGTGGCAGGTTAAACATGTTTACGGGTGCCCAACCCTCCCCTAGAACCTTGGTGATGTAACAGCGTAACATGAGAACAAACTATAAAAATCAGTTGAAAAGAGTTTAACTCATCAGATCGATACAAAACACTAAAACACTAAAGACACAAAGCACAGAACTGAGAGTACTCACAGTTTCTGAAAGCTTGTTCAATTAGTCAATAGCAATAAAAAAAATCATGTATATAAGACTAAAATATCAACCAGTACTACACATCCAAAATCAAATGGACTTGGTGTAAAGATGTCATGAACAGTCAGAGAAACTGACAAATGATAGACTGACTGCCATCCCAAGAAACATATACATGTACTACAATTACCTGTCCTCCTAGCGACACCAACTTTTCTTTAGCTTTCATGTTTTCATTCATTAGTTTGTAATTTTCTTGTTCTAACTCTTCAATTTTCTGCAAAAAAATATAATAAGATATTCCATAGCACTTTTACTACATGTACTAATTTAAGTAACATTTCTCTATAAATCTATAATTTAATAAAATCTTATTTAATATAATTGATAACAAAGTCAAACCAGGGTAAACCACTGTTACATTTCATAATTGTAAAGAAAACTCATTTACAAAGGTGTGATGATTAGAGGTCACTGATCATTCGCTGAGGGTCAACACAGGGTGAAACAAATTTGTTTATATATTTAGTCAACTTTTTTAGGGGAGAGTCGGTTTGGCAACCTTGTAATTAACAGTCCTGCAAACAGAAATTTTCTCTCTTACAATAACAATGATGCAGGAATGGCTAAGACACGTTTAGCGAAAAGTGTCTAGGAAAGCTGGTCTTGTGTGTAGCCCACCACATTAAAGGATTTATTTTGTGACTTAGTTATTACAGAATATTAAGAAGGCATTTTAAACAACAATTAAATAAGCAAAAATACTAAAGTTATTTTAACTATGATTTTTCGATAATTACTATTAAATTATCAGAAGAGTGTTCACAAGAAAATTAAATATTTTATGAAAGAAGGAATAATATCATAGCAGAAAACAGATTAGTTGAGTATCATTTTGTATTTGATGCTTGTTTCTACAGAGCAATACTCGAGTACATGTATTCAAACACTCTTTGACATCCCTAAAATATTCACATCTTATAGTACATGTTATATATACACCTGGCTTGTCATAGTAATTTTAAGTGATGTTCAACATTCATACTCTCTAACTTTTTCAAAATATTCAATATGTATGGGAGACCTTGTTTAAAAAGATATCAAGCACTACCCCATAGCTGTAACACAGGAATCAACATCAATTCAAATGCATTCTACCTTAAATCACATTTTTTTTTAAATTACCATGTGTAATAATGATGTTCCTCCTGTTTCATTTAATGGTACTAGTTTAACATTCTTCAATACACTATTTAAATCTGTATCTCTTTTTGTTCCTCTAAAATTTTCTTCTTCAAATTCTGCAATATTCTCTAAAAGGTCTCTGCAATTTAAAGACATAACATTTGTCAAATGATAAAGAATATTTTTCTTTTCTGTCTGTTCTACTTACTGGTATTGGTGGAGACTAAAAATAAATAGAAATTAAAACAATAAATAAAAGTAAAAAACAGAACATTTATTGAGGAAAAAACAAAAATCATTGCTATGTATGATTAGCTGAGTTTTGGCAGATCATGTCTCATTATACCAAATCTCCTAATTTATACATATTATGTCCTAATATCTGACATTTTTCATCAATTTTTTTTCTGAGAGTAGAAAAATCCTGTGGCAAAAAATGGATACAGAGATTAAAAACAAGACTTCTAAGTATTTAAATGTGATAATTACAATGTCCCTATCAGAAAAAAAAGGGAATCATACCAGAATTGTAGTCATATATCTACATGAAACCAGTGAAATGGCATAAATAATTATATGCATGCCTTTAATAGAATACTTTATATCACTTCAACTTACTTATTTTCTAATTCTGAAATATCTGCTGCAAGTTTAAGATGCCATTTCTCAGCTTGCTGGAACATTTGTCTCATACACAAAATGTTTGTATGAGAAGTGTTGATAAGTTCTGACTCCACCTCTCCTCTCACCACAGCCAACAAGCCATCTAACATATCTGTCACCTCATCTATTGTATAAGTTGTCTCATCCAGTCTGTAAAATACAATTTTGTAATCAGTAGGACCTTTTCATACTGAACAGTAATTCTCACATGAGATACACTGTTAAATCAAAAATATTCAAGTTGTGATGATGTATTTCTACATTTATCTTTTTTTCAATCAACCCATGTATTTTATCTATATTACATGAATTTGTGTCTAAACAGGGAGAACAAACAGAAGTATACGGAAACTGAAAATCATTTTTTTTAAATATGCCCAATTTCTTACAAAGCAAGAAATAGGTATAGAAAATCAATAAAAGCCACAAAAACATTAGGGAAGAGACATATTGGTTTTGTCTATTACAATCCAACATGAAATAAGAGGCTCTTTTGCTATGAAACTATTAGATAACTTTGACCTTTCACTTATTATTTTTAAGTTCAACAGCTTACAAACTAACATCACTTCAATGTGCTTTATGTTGTCCATATATGAATTTTAACAGCAGGGGATATTTGTTGAAGCTAATAAGCATGACTTTGGCTTGAGCTTCATTATAACCTTTTGGTCAAACTGTGTTTACACCACAAAATTTATTCTAAGTACAGACACAATCATAGCAATTGCAAGATATAACAAATATGACAACTACTGGCAAGTTTTCTGACTTGGGACAGGCACATGAACCATTGGTGAGGATAAACTTGTTTTATGATATCTCAACCACATCCTCTTTTTTTTATCTCAATCAGTCGATTAGCGAAAGGTATATAAAAGAACATACAATAAAAGTTAGTATAGTAAAACACTGAAGCCTTAATCCCAGTATGATAATATAACAAAAACACAAGGACATCAAAGTAATTAATCTGCTGATATGAAATCACTGACTGTCCTACTCCTACACTCTAATATCAGTGTCTGTACTTTGGAATAGATCTAGAGTTCATGCAACACAGTTGTAAATAATAAAGTTATACAATGCCCAGAATAAAATTGTACAGAACTTTAATTTAGAAAAAAAAATTAAAAACATATTTTAGCTAGTCCTGCTCCAACTATAATTAACAAATAAATGTTCATCTAAAAATATGAGATTTAATGATCGAACAACAACATTCAACTACAATCTTTATCAATCCATCATTTAAGTCCAAAAGAAAGTTCTAAAAGACAATCCTAAACTTGTTAGCTTTACAAAAAAAAATGGGTTTAAATAAAAATGTGCAACTTATTTCATATAATTTCTGCAGTTGCAAAAATATTTACACAATATATCTCTATATTAGTGATATATAATTTAGTGAAAGGTTTTGATCAATATGATACCTGCTCGTACCTATATTCCTATAAGAGCTTACCTGCTAGTCTTCAATTCTTCGAAACACATTTCTACTGCTCTTAATCTCTGACCTCTTTGATATCTAGAAAATCTCAGAAAATTTAATATCTGTGCTGAATGGTGTTCATTTATACCCAATTTGGTGTCCTACAAATAAAGAAGTAACACTAAGTTACATGTACAGTATAAATATAACTAAAGTTTATAACATTATGTTCATTACTAAGTATGTTTGGATATCATTAAAAGAGCTAATATATGCTCTTTCATGCAAAGTATAAAGTTTTCTTTTTCTTACCATTGTGTATACTGGTCTTTTTTCTTACCATTGTGTATACTGGTCTTTTTTCTTACCATTGTGTATACTGGTCTTTTGGTAGATTAAAAGAGAGACGAAGGATACCAAAGGACATTCACACACATAAGTCGAAAATAAACTGACAACACAATGGCTAAAAAAGAAAAAGACTAACAACAGTATACAAAACACAACATAAAACTGGGGGTGATCTCAGGTACTCCAGAAGGGTAAGCAGATCCTGCTCCACATGTGACACCTGTTGTATTAAATCTATAACATATAAAAATTCTTCCTAGCAGTTTGGATTTATTTACACATCTCTGAAATGAGTCTTAAAATTACTATGCGGTTGACTAGCCTAATGTAAGATAAATATATAGAAGTCAGTGTTCCCGCCTGCCCTAAATAGAAGGGCGGCCCGCCCTTGGTGCCCTTACCCCCGCCCTTCTGCCCTCCAAAGTAAAAGAATGCCCCCCTCTGCCTTTTCAAAAAAATAAAATTGCCAAATTTTATGCCTACCGGCGTTTCCGTGTTACCTGATTGTGTAACACTAATTAACTGATACTGGGATTAAGTTAAATACCTAATGCTTTGGCAGTTTTATCACCTTTGTTAATGATTGTTTACTGCTAATTAGTGGATTTAAGATAATTGAACAAATACTAGATATTTAATACAGAATGAAATGTCCACATGTTATCCATTTGTAATGTTTATGTACAGCATGTACACCATAAAAAATTTATTTCAGTAGGCATCACATAAAAAATAAAACAATTTTAAAGGCATAAATAGTTTTGACTTAATTGGTAAAAAATGTTTTGTTTCATAACCATGAGTATGAAATTTAAAGAAGAATCAAAGAAATTTGTACTTTGAACATAACAAGATTCACTTCCTGTTTTACTTCTTGTATTTTATAATCCTCCTGACATAGGAGCACTCGACAAATTTATTTTTAACAATGATGGAGAAAAAAGTAACTGTTTATACCTTCTGCAATATATTATTGCATCAATATAATATGATCATCTCCTGTCTCACCTGTTATATTTATATAACTCCTTACTGAGGAGCACTTTGGTGTGCACTTAAAAATACTTTTTAGTAACAAATCAAATGATAATAAATAACTCTCAATAACATATATACTATATGTTCGAACAAGTAATTTAAATGTAGATAATTTAATTACATTAAACATTCAATTTTGCATGTATAACTCCATCTATCAAAACTACTTGTTTATTTTGGTATAAGTTATAAAACATTGAAATTTCTGATGATTATTTTCCTTACCAAATGTACAAGTTTGTTTTGATTAACGTCAAAATGATATGCTTTACTTCATGGTATGATAATTTAATAAAAAAAAATTCTTACTGGAACCAACATCAAGAACACATTAATTTCTGAATAAGGTTAAAATACAACTAATGTTCTCCAGCTGAGCGTAGCAATATTCAAGGTAATTTATACACTGTCCAACATTGCCCTTAAAATCTGGGTTATAACGCTAAAGTGCCCTTTCAGACAACTAGCACCCTTCTGCCCTGAGATTCAAGCTGGAACACTGGAAGTAGACCTTACAATCATTTCATTCATTAAATATAGTGGCCCTATTGCTTATGGTTTCTGATAAATAGTTCAAACAAGAAAAATGATTTTTTTATCATTTAAAAAAATAAAACATTCAAGTAATAAAAGTCTTAAAATTATATTTTAATCTCCTGTCATTTCATATACGAAAAAACAAATCTCCCCAAGCTGAATTACGAGTGTACACCATGTGATGGTTGATTTGAAAGTTAAAAAGTAGGAATAATTATTTAAAATTCACCCAGAAAGTAATCTATGTACATGTACAATGTTTGAATTCCAATTGATAGTTGACATCTTTGAGAGAGTGTGGTCTTGTTTTTACAACAATTACCTGTGAGATAATATACATGTATTTATGCCTTGGAGTCTTAAAATAGAACAAATTGATATTACCTTTAAAGTAACTTTCTATTCACCATCTATTATTGATAATTTCGATTACGTTGTTAAGCTGTAAATGAGATTATCTGCACACACTATATCATAAAACAAATTTCCTGCAAATGCCTAATATCAATTCTATTACCGTTACAGTTAAGAAATAAACATTTGACATGGGAAACTAATGATGCCAGATTCGCCAGAAGCTGTATTTTGCTGCCAGTTGAAATAAAAATTCGCAATATGCGATATTTGCAAAGCCCAGCGCAGTACCTGGTACAATGTAATAAACTTTTACCAGATGTGGAATACACCATTTTCTTTGACACCAGAGGTACCCTCTGAAAGGCAGAATTTTTTGTCTTATCCTTTTTTGGATTCTGTCCAGAGTGATTTTCTGATCTGGCCCCCACCACTTGTTAGAATATCGCTCCCAAAACAGAATTTCAAAAGTTCTCTAAGTGGCCAAAATCAGAAAAATCGCTTCGTACCACATGCACTTGATTCTAAAAAAAATTATTCATAGAAAAAATAATTTACAGTTGACCTACTTGGAAGGCCTGATACGAATAATTCCAACAACAGATATAGATGTGTTATACACCAATTTTGTGAATAATTTAATGTAGATTTACGACATACAGTGTAACAAGCTTCAGACTTCAGTGCCACTGGAATAGACATCAACACGACAACAGAATATGATGGAACTTCGCAAACAAGTCACATTTTTCAAAGAGACGAGGTGGGTGCCTTTTGTTATATTTAAGTATATAACTGATTTTTTTCAGAGACAAGTGGCTGTGCTTCAGACACAGAATCACAAAAGTGTGATTAGATTTTCGACATTACAAGACAATGCTGTCAATGGCAGATTGCGTCCTGTCGAGCCTGTAAAATTCCTAGCATTACGTTACTGTGAGTTTTACATCTGCGCTAATTTTAACTCAACATACACCATCTTGTACTAACCATGTTTTCTTCAAATAAAAGCCTGTACTAGGTGAGCGTATCGTACTGTAAATTGGATTGTGGACGGATGCGACGAAAATGATAAGCCCCGCAACAAACGGAAGTTCGTATTAATAAAAAAGGTCAATGTTAATCACATTTCAATGCCTCAATCTATCAATAAATGTTTCATCACAAAATAGTAAAGATAAAAAAATCTCTTTACTGACTTTAGGATTTAAAACAAGCTTTGAATAAATTGAAGTCGAAAATAATGTTTTATTTATTCACTGCAAAATGGCGGCACAGGGTAAAGAAACATGTGCCAAGAAAAGAAAAACATTTAGACCCCGTTAACGAAGCCCTTATGTCACAAACATTTCACAAATCATCCTTAAAATATCACATTATGCGATGTATTTTATTAAATTTCACCGATCTTGCTCTAGAACACTGTCTGATAGTACCATGTGGTTGGGAACGTCGAACGTGTCTTTTTTGTTGACATGTCAAACACCTCCTGCAATTCACTATAAGACTAGCATGGTTTTTGTATTTAATATTGTTTAACAATAAAAATATTTATTTAAGCACTACTTAAAAAAGTTGTTCAGGTGTACTTAAACAATTATAAACAGTTTGGGAAAGATCATTATGAAATTAGGTATGACCCCCATTTATGAGTATCATTTTATCCCCCCAATCAGGTATCAATAAACGTATTTACACTTTTGGTATTTAGCTATATTTTGCCTCCGAATGACCTTAGATCTACTCCGAATCACCTTTTGACGTCGGGCAACAATCACTTTTTAATTGTGACGTCAAATGTTTTGAATTATGATGTCAAAATTTATGGGAACCTGTGTGAATGTACGTAATGGTGGACAAATTTGCATACAAGTGTAAATACGTCTATTTACATTGATAAAAAAAATAATTTTGTATTTCACCATAAAGGCTGTCATGGTGCAAACATATAAATGACAACATTTTCCCCTTTAAGAGAACTGAATACAAAGATAATGACCTGAGCCAATAATTATACTTTTTGAAGGCTATTAACTTTTTCCAGATAATATTTCAGTCATAGTGTTTTGGGGCAAAATGCTGTCATTTACCTGAATGTATGTGCTATGACAACAAATAGCTTGAAATCCAAAGTTTTTTTTATCACCTTTCTTTTTCTAGGTAAAAAAAAGAAGATAAAGGGGACGAAGATGGCCCTGACAGATTTTTTGGCTGATGGGTCATCTAATCCAGCACCACCAGCCAAGATTGATTGGGCTGCAGAGATGGAGAGTAATGACATGGAAGGTTATTTATACTATTTGATTTTTTAATGTTAAACTTGAAAGGTGTGTCACCAGTAACTCACTGAAACTATTTTATTAAATTCAAAAAATTCCAAATGTTTATTGCAAAGGGTATTCCATATTGTGATGATTTGCCTAGATCATTTGTATGGATAAATTTGTAGATCATAAGTGATATTAGTATTGGGATAGATGTGACATTGCAAAAATTAAAATTTAATGAATATGGACTGTTAAATAGAAAACACACAAAATTCTCTCAGAGAAATCAGCACTTGAAATTAAGCACTGCAAGCTGATGTACAAAAATTCTAATCCAAGTTTTCACTCTAGACAGAGCTCTAGCTCTCTTCTTTTAGTTAAAAAATAAAACTACTACTAGCAAAGTTTTAAGAGTTTTAGTGCTTAAATTTAGCAAACACCATGTTGCAATTTTCAATTCAATAGACAATGGAAATAAACACGGGGAAACAATAATAACAAATCTAATGCAATTATTTTGTATCAGTGGTTCTGATTGGATGACAATAAGCGTAGAATTCTCTATCTCCTTGTCTGTAACTAAGGAAGCCGACATTTTGAATTCTGGAATGTATTGACATGTAATTTCTCCAATAATAAGCAATAAAACTCACATTTTGCACCTAGAAATATTCTTTTTATCAAATTTTATTACATTCTGAGACAGCCAAGAAGCCAGAAAACGCCCGGTGTTTACGTTAGACGCCTGAAGCATACCTATGATGTCACCTAGTTTATGGGCCAAAGAAGATAAAAGACATAAGAAGATGTGGTATGAGTGCCAATGGAACAACTCTCCATCCAAGTCACAATTTGTAAAAGTAAACCATTATAGGTCAAAGTACGGCCATTTCGCGAAATTTTCGTTTAATGAAAATTTTACACTGAAGTTATGACAAATTGAATTATGTATTCATTTTGCATTAGAAAAGATTTTTGTAGCACAACACATTCAGATGTATCAGCTGATATTTATTTATTTGATCCAGCGATTTCTTTTTTTTTATATATTGAGCAAGGTTAATAAAATATCCAAATTGTCATTTCAGATCTAGACATGGATTTTTTAAAGCCAAGAATAGACAGATCCAAGTTACCGACAGCTCCCAAATCTGCTCGTGGTCCTGATGTAGATATGAATAAAGTTCCTTCAGAGCCACCATTTACAGCATTTATAGGAAATCTAGCATATGAAACTACAGAGGATAATATAGCTGACTTTTTCAAAAAACTTCAGGTATTGACAAAGATACATGTATATGTTTGACTGAGATTTTTTCTGGAGAGGGGATTGAAGGGTTGATATATCCATTCACTATTATATAACATAATCTTATTTCCTGAATACGTTTTGAATATTGATCATTGTCATTTCTTATCTTTACCCCATAGACTATTTGTATAAAACTTTCTATATCTAAAAGGAAGAAGACCTGGATACTTCATGCCTTGTATGCAGATGCCTTATGTTCCACAGTTTCTGTCTGTCATATGTCCATTGTCCTTGATTTCATTTTAATATTTGCCAGTATGGGTTCTTTGCAACGTCTACATGTACATCAGATAGGTTTCACCTGACCTTAACCTCATTTCATGGATCGGTGATAAAAGTTAAAGTTACATGATTAGGACTGTTTCTCAGATGCTTTAAGGAGTAGGTCAACTATATGTGGTTTATGGAATGATTGCAAGGTGTACATGTAACATGTTAGTCTGTCAGGTTTGTTCTGATATTGACCTCATTTTCATGGTTCATTGGTTAATGTTTAAGTTTTTGAATTTTCTTTTGCAAATAATGCAAACGATTTATTTCAGGTTTTAAATGTGAGATTGCCAGAAGACAGAGGCAGACTTAGAGGATTTGGTTATGTGGAATTTGCTGACAGACAAAATCTACTGGATGCCCTAAACATGAATGAAGAGGTATTAACAAACAAAAAATTGAAATGATTCACAGGATCGGTTAATTAGAAGACATGAAGTGATTATATATCGATTATTTAACTCTACACTACAAAGTAGCATTGGTATATAGTTTCTGACCTGTCAGACTGTCAGTCATCTTGGTTTAAGGAGGATTAATCAAACACTTTATATCTGATTGCAACCTTACTTTGATATATGAAAGTATATATTATGAAAAGAAGATCCCTATTGATTTTGAGGTCATGTCTTAAGTCAAAGAAAAAGTTACTAAAAATAGACCAAAATTAGTGCAGGAATGGTGTTGGCAGCTTAAAACTCTTAGAACCTTACATGGGATTGGACCCAAAAAACATATGGTCACATATAATGAGTGGAAAATCCTTAATCATTTTGAGATCACTATGTCAGGTCAAAGTTTCTAAAAAATAAACTGAAACAAGTGCAGTAAAGGTGTCTCAATAATAATCCTAGGACCTACAAAGGATTGCAACAAAACATGCTTACATGATCACATATATAATAAGAGGAGAATCCCTATTGAATTTTGAGAACATTGTTTCCAAGGTCAGGTTCATAGAATAAAAAAAAACTACTCAGATTAGTGCAGAAAAGGAGATTCCAGATAATACTTGCATATACAATGTATGGTCACATGTTATGAAAGGAAATTCCAAAATATAATTAAATAATCAACAGCGATCTATTAAAGTATTTGCCAGCACCTTAAATACATGTTACATGTTTTTAACGTTGTTTATTAAACTCAAACTTCCATCTTATAATCCTTTCGAATTCACATGCACACCTGGCACAGAATTGTGTGCCCTAGAGACACATGTAAAACACATTTGGGTAAAGATCATAAGGATTGTTTTACAGAATGCCTATCCGCAAATTACTGAATCCAGAGGTTTTGGCAGAGAATAATACATGCGCGTATTTTCACAGCCCTAGTGTAGAAATGATTGCTTGAATTAAAAGTTTAGTAAACCTGAGATTACTATAATAATCTCAGTGTAAACATACGTTTATTGCCTTACAGTATAAGTAAAATACATACCGCAGCGGAGGGGCATTAAGTGTTATCCTTGTCTGTCTGTACCCTTAAACCCAGGATTCCATAGCAGTAGTTTACGTCACATACTACAGGAAGTAGGCGATAAAAGAAATTCATAAATACTGATTTTCTTCATTATAACTGAGCATATTTGGATTAAACTTGGTAAATATGTATTTTATGTTATAATGAACACATTTCGGTGTTAAGTTAAAAATCATGAATTTTCCCTCAGAGAAATTTTTCTAAAGATATTTTTATTTGTTACCTTTTCTTTTTAGAATATGATGGGAAGGAAAGTTAGAGTAGATTTAGCCGATCAACACCAACAAAATGGTAAGATAGATTTTGTTAATCAGAAAAGATTATTGATAAAATTTGAAATAGAATGGCTGTGATGAAAGCTTTTTTGGGTGTCTCATGTCCAAATTTTGTCAGATAACTGATATGTTATTTATTCATTTGGAAAGCTTTCAGATGCATAATTAAGTTTTACATCATTGGGACATACAAACTTATATTAACCATATAAACATCCTGGTTCTTCATTTTTTCACCAACTTTTGACAAAAATCAGTTTTAATATTGTCAAGATTGTTAGAATAAAATCAAAGTTATGTAGTGGCAAACCACTTTAGCATGTGAATCAATTTCAGAAAGATAGAAGAGGTAAACCTCTGTGGCCTGTCAACCATTGTAAATAACTGTTTTGGTGAAATGGTATTTATTAGGATTTGATTTTATTACTACATGGGTGATTTATACCATGAGTACCAATTATGATCTTAAATTGGCTTGTTTATAATTTTTTGTCGAGCCTGCGACTTTTGTCGCAGAAAGCTCAACATTGGGATAGTGATCCGACAGCGTTAGCTAACTTCTTAAAAGCTTTATATTTTCCAAGGTGGAAGACCTGTATGCTTCATACTTTGTATATAGATGCCTTCTGTTATCAATTTTCTGTCTGTCATATGTCCATTGTCCTTGACCTCATTTTCATGGTTCAGTCACTACTTGAAAAAAAAGTTAAGATTTTTTGTAATGTTAATTTCTCTCTTATTATGAGTAATAGGATAACTATATTTAATATATGCATACCTTGCAAGGTTCTCATGCCCATCAGATAGTTTTCATCTGACCTCGACCTCATTTCATGGATCAGTGAACAAGTTTAAGTTTTTGTGGTCAAGTCCATATATCAGATACTATAAGCAATAGGTCTTCTGTATTTGGTGTATGGAATGATTGTAAGGTGTACATGTCCAACTGGCAGGTGTCATCTGACCTTGACCTCATTTTCATGGTTCAGTGGTTAAAGTTAAGTTTTTGTGTTTTGGTCTTTTTATGCCCCCGCTGTAGTGGAGGGGGCATTAAGTGTTACCCATGTCCGTCCGTACGTACTTACGTCCGAAAATTGGTTCCCGTTCTGTAACTTTAGTTTGCCTCAACCAAATGTTATGAAATTTATACACAATGCTTATTACCACAAAGCACAGATCTAGTTTGAATTTTGGTGGCGTCACTTTTACCGTTCTATAGTTATGCCCCTTTACAAATGGAAAAATTGCTGAATTTTTCGTTTCCGTTCTCTAACTTTAGTTTGCCTCAACCAAATGTTATGAAACTTATGCACAATATTAATTACCACAAAACACAGATCAAGTTTGAATTTTGGTGGCCTCACTTTTACCTTTCTATAGTTATGCCCCTTTACAAATGGAAAAAAATGCTGAATTTTTCGTTCTGTTCTCTAACTTAAGTTTGCCTCAACCAAAAGTTATAAATCTTATACACAATGCTTATTACTACAAAACACAGATCAAGTTTGAATTTTGGTGACGTCACTTTTACCGTTTAAGAGTTATGCCCCTTTACATTTGGAAAAGTTGTTTTAAGCTTGGGTCAGCATTTTCGATCTCCAAGTCCCAATGGAAGAGTGTAAAAATGAAGACTTTCATGACTTTAGTATAGAATAATGTAAGTCATCAAAATACAACCATGCCTTCACAGAAACGCCGTCCATCTCAACTTCATCGTAAATCGTAAACGTGTTGGAAATTAATTTTGGGAGTTACTTCCCCTGTTTTAGCTTATTACAAATTTGTGCTCCTAACATATTATCTATCTTTGAAAATAGGAATAAAGTACCAATTAAATACAAAATTATATAAGAATGTTACCTTAAAGATCAAAACTGACTTTGAACATACCAAAAAAAATATATTGCAATTCATTTTTGATAATCATACTTTTATCAATCCATGTTCTATCTAGACATTGTCAATTTAGATTTTAATTATGTCTGGTGAAAGTTGCTAAGCTGTAATCCTACAAAAATCGAGTTAGAACTAGCTAAACTATCATGATAAGTTAATTGGATGAAGTTATACTAAATAATTCATTGACAGGAACAATGAAAAAAAGTTGTGAGGGCCAAACTCTAGCTGAAAATTTTAATTGAGACAACGCTTAAAATATGAGATGTTTAGTTTATGCTGTTTTTTTTGGAGGGGGGGGGGGGGGTTATAGTTATAGTTATTTTGACTCTTTTGGTTAATAGTGATGTGATGTACGAACGTGTATTGCCATGTATTATGAACATGTAGAATGAATGACTTTTCTAATGCAAATTTTATAGAATAAATAATCAAAACAACAACTTATTATCTTTATTGTCAACATATACAGTAAAAAAACAATGTGAACTCGTGATACACACAGAAACGTAGACAAAAAAAATGAGCAGTGCCTTTTCCTATCATAAAAAAGTGCCCTGCCCCTTTCAATTTCTAGCTGGAGCACTGTCTAACTTAAGTTTGCCTCAACCAAATGTTATGAAACTTATAAACAATGCTTGTTACCACAATACTCAGATCAAGTACAAATTTGGGTAGCGTCACTTTTACAGTTCTTGAGTTATGTCCCTTTATAACGTTATATGCAAGGGGGGCCACATCTTTGTCCCATGGTCACATTCCCCATTTATTTTCTAATACTATATGCAATAGGTCAACTATATTTGGTGTATGGAAATATTTTACAATGTACATGTCAGTCTGGCAGGTTTCATTTGACCTTGACCTCATTTTCACGGTTCATTGCTTAGTGTTTAGTTTTTGTGTTTTTGTCTGTTTTTCTTAAACTTTAACCAATAGGTCAACTATATTTGTTGTTTGGAATGATTGTAAGGTGTATATGTCTGTCTGGCAGGTATCATCTGACCTTGACCTCATTTTCATGGTTCATTGGTCAATGTTAAGTTTTCATGGTTAAGTTTGTTTCTTAGATACTATAAGCAATAGGTCAACTATAGTTGATGCATAGATTGATTGTAAGGTGTACATGTCTGTCTAGCATGGTTCATCCGACCTTGACCTTATTTTCATGGTTCATTGGTCAATATTAAGTTTTATTGTTTAAGTCTGTTTCTTAGAAACTATAAGCAATAGGTCAACTATATTTGGTGTATTGAATGATTGTAAGGTGTACATGTATTTACGGGTTGGTTTATCTGACCTTGACCTCATTTTCTTGGATCATGTTAAGTTTATGTGATACTTTTAGTAAAGCTTTATATTTAGGACTATCAACATAAAATCAATGGTCAGTAAAGAAGGCGAGACATTTCAGCGTGTGCACTCTTGTTTACTTTTATGTTTTTTTTTTAGGACCAGAAAAGTATTCCTGTGTTAGGGGAAATGTTCTTGTCAAAAAAAGATTGTCTAAAATTTACAGTTTTACTGAATCATACGAAATATTAGGTGTGATTAGATTTAGTGAATTTAGCAGACAAATATATTTTGAAAAAGAACGAAAAACTGGAAAGTATGATCGAACCCTGCATCCACATTCTGTATGTGCCTGTCCCAAGTCAGGAGCCTGTAATTCAGTGGTTGTCTTTTGTTGCTGTATATCATATTTGTATTTCATTCATTGTTTTTTACATTAATCAAGGTGTTAGTTTTCTCATTTGAATTGTTTTACATTTGTCATTTTGAGACCTTTTATAGCTGACTATGCGGTATGGGCTTTGCTCATAGTGGAAGGCGGTACAGTGACCTATAGTTGTTAACTTCTATGTTGTTTGGGCTCTGGTGGAGAGTTGTCTCATTGGCAATTATACCACATCTTCTTATTTTTATGCCCCACATACGATAGTAGAGGGGCATTATGTTTTTCGGTCTGTGCGTCCGTCTGTTCATCTATCTGTCCCACTTCAGGTTAAAGTTTTTGGTCAAGGTAGTTTTTGATGAAGTTGAAGTCCAATCAACTTGAAACTTAGTACACATGTTCCCTATGATATGATTTTTCTATTTTTAATGCCAAATTAGAGTTTTGACCCCAATTTCACAGTCCACTGAACATAGAAAATGATAGTGTATTCGTGTACTAGGGACACATTCTTGTTATATTCTGTTAATGAAAAACAGCCTCATGGTCTTGTAATGTAGCATGCTCAACTCAAGTGCGAGAAGTTACATGTTTGATCATCCACTGTGTCAGACTTGAAAAATGGTATTTGCTCTTTACCCTACTAGCATACAGCATTTAGGAGTAAGAAAATAAACTAACTGGTCAGCTCCAAGTCTTGAGTGTGTATCTCTTTAGGGTGACATGCCTTGCTGGGAACTGTTACCTTTTGAACAAGCATGTAACAAATCTGGAGATTTGATTGCACCTCTCTCACACACATCTGTATATTATTGAAAAGCTTAATACCTATACTTAATGTTTTGATAAGTATTCATGATGGAAATTTGTTGTTTTTAAGAATTAGGATCAGAAACCAAAACACATACAGTTCTGATAGTATAAAATGCCAATAGTAAAACAAAATAAATGTCATTTCACTGAGGATCTCAATTGATGTTTGACATATTGTATGTACACTGAGGAAGACCTCAATTGATGTTTGACATATTGTATGTACACTGAGGAAGATCTCAATTGATGTTTGACATATTGTATGAACACTGAGGAAGATCTCAATTGATGTTTGACATATTGTATGTACTCTGAGGAAGATCTCATATGATGTTTGACATATTGTATGTACACTGAGGAAGATCTCAAATGATGTTTGCCATATTGTATGTACACTGAGGAAGATCTCAAATGATGTTTGACATATTGTATGTACACTGAGAATGATCTCAATTGATGTTTGACATATTGTATGTACATTGAGGAAGATCTCAATTGATGTTTGCCATATTGTATGTACACTGAGGAAGATCTCAATTGATGTTTGACATATTGTATGTACACTGAGGAAGATCTCAAATGATGTTTGACATATTATATGTACATTGAGGAAGATCTCAATTGATGTTTGACATATTGTATGTACACTGAGGAAGATCTCAAATGGTGTTTGACATATTGTATGTACACTGAGGATGATCTCAATTGATGTTTGACATATTGTATGTACATTGAGGAAGATCTCAATTGATGTTTGCCATATTGTATGTACACTGAGGAAGATCTCAAATGATGTTTGACATATTGTATGTACATTGAGGGAGATCTCAATTGATGTTTGACATATTGTATGTACACTGAGGATGATTTCAATTGATGTTTGACATATTGTATGTACATTGAGGAAGATCTCAATTGATGTTTGACATATTGTATGTACACTGAGGATGATCTCAATTGATGTTTGACATATTGTATGAACACTGAGGAAGATCTCAATTGATGTTTGACATATTGTATGTACTCTGAGGAAGATCTAAAATGATGTTTGACGTATTGTATGTATACTGAGGAAGATCTCAAATGATGTTTGACATATTGTATGTACACTGAGGAAGATCTCAAATGATGTTTGCCATATTGTATGTACATTGAGGAAGATCTCAATTGATGTTTGACATATTGTATGTACACTGAGGATGATTTCAATTGATGTTTGACATATTGTATGTACACTGAGGATGATTTCAATTGATGTTTGACATATTGTATGTACACTGAGGATGATCTCAATTGATGTTTGACATATTGTATGTATACTGAGGAAGATCTAAAATGATGTTTGACGTATTGTATGTATACTGCCGTTTTGAAATCTTAGAAGGAATACTGTTCTTGTAGAATTGTCAAAGATGAATCAATGATTTTATAAATTGAACAGTAAATATTTTTTGCAGAGAACAAAAAAAGTGGTGGTTATGATAGACAAACAAGTGGCGATCCTGATAGAGCAGAAGGAAATTGGAGGGCACCTCCTAAAAGTTTTGATGGTTAGTATTTTTGAATAAGTTATTGCTGCATAAAAGAATACTGAAAATTCAAGGGAAGTAGAAAATGGTTTCAAACTAGTAAATTTGTGTACTTTAGAAATAAGTTATGTTGATCAGGTATATCAACTCGCCTAGTTCAGTAAAAATAAATAATGTTTTTCTAATGGTAGACTGGGGATAAAATGGCTCTTGTTTATGTCCAATACAGAATACATTGGAAATTTCAAAATATATATGTGAAGGTTGACAATGGAGTTGACATGTAAGACTCTAAACCACAGTTATACTCTAAACCATTATGGTTTGATATGTATACAGAAGTATGCTAGTTTGAAAGGCAAAGGCATACAGGAGTCTAATGGTTTTATATTCCAGCAGTTTAGTTAAACTTAAGTTAGTAGTATGAATTGTTTCCCATTTTTCATTTCTGGTTCTTTTAAAGCTGACTATACAGTAAGGGTTTTTCTCATTGTTAAAGGCTGTATTGTGGCCTATAATTCTTATATCTACTACATTTAGACTCTGGTGGTTAGTTGTCTCAAATGGCAATCATACCACAGCTCCTTATTTAATGTTAAAATAAATAATGTGATCCTTGCATTGATGACAAAAAAAATAGCAATAATTTTACTGGAGCACACAAAAAGTTATATATTTGAAAACATAATTAATTTCTAAAGAAAAAAAAAAACTGATGGATTTTTTTTGCTTTGTAAGCAATTCAGGATTTATCAATTTATCATGACAAGTTACAGATCAAGTTCGAATATTGTTCCGGTCTGATGATTTTGTGCAGACTTATGGTCCTTGGACTTAGAAAATTCACTCAAATAATCAGTTTTCCGCACTTTTTTTCGTCATGCTTGAAGATATTGATTTGATAATTAAGTCTCCCAAACGAAGTTTGGGAAGACTTATTGTTTTTGCTCAGTTCTTATTATTATTATTCTTCTTCTTCTTCTTCTTCTTCTTCTTCTTCTTCTTCTTCTTCTTCTTCTTCTTCTTCTTCTTCTTCCGCCGCTTTTAAATTTGAACTTGTCCGCACCCGTTCTCCAAAACCACTTGTCAGATTAACTTAGGGTTTCACAATATGTTAGACTAACATGTCTAGTGGTGCAATCAGGGTTTTGTTTGTGCAATGGGGTTTATAAAGGGGTACTTTGAGGGGCAAAAAGAAAAGAGGGTTTTACTATAGAACCCTATGGGATTTTATTTTTTTAAATTTTCAAATGATTATAAATTGAAAACCGTTTGTGATAGACACAATCTTTTTAATTGAAAATGTTCCAAATGATAAAGCCCATTAAATGAAATACAGGGTTAGTCCCCAGGGGTCACCCCCACCCCCTGCCATTTAAGAAAGTTCTAATACCTTGTAAGTGGTAAAGATCCCCACCCCTAAACCATATATATTCTGGTTTGTCATGCTAAGATGGTTTGAATGATATACAGGGTAAGTCCCCAGGGGTCATCCCGACCCCCTGCCATTTGAGAAAGTTCTTATATCTTGTAAATGGTCGAGATCCCCACCCCTAAACCATATATATTCTGGTTTGTCATGATAAAGCACATCAAATGTAATACAGGGTTAGTCCCCAGGGGTCACCCCCACCCCCTGCCATTTAAGAAAGTTCTAATATCTTCTAAGTGGTCAAGATCCCCACCCCTAAACCATATATATTCTGGTTTGTCATGCTAAGATGGTTTGAATGATATACAGGGTTAGTCCCCAGGGGTCATCCCGACCCCCTGCCATTTGAGAAAGTTCTAATATCTTGTAAATGGTCGAGATCCCCACCCCTAAACCATATATATTCTGGTTTGTCATGATAAAGCACATCAAATGAAATACAGGGTTAGTCCCCAGGGGTCACCCCCACCCCCTGCCATTTAAGAAAGTTCTAATATCTTGTAAGTGGTCAAGATCCCCACCCTTAAACCATATATATTCTGGTTTGTCATGCTAAGATGGTTTGAATGATATACAGGGTTAGTCCCCAGGGGTCATCCCGACCCCCTGCCATTTGAGCAAGTTCTAATATCTTGTAAATGGTCGAGATCCCCACCCCTAAACCATATATATTCTGGTTTGTCATGATAAAGCACATCAAATGTTATACAGGGTTAGTCCCCAGGGGTCACCCCCACCCCCTGCCATTTAAGAAAGTTCTAATATCTTGTAAGTGGTCAAGATCCCCACCCCTAAACCATATATATTCTGGTTTGTCATGCTAAGATGGTTTGAATGATATACAGGGTTAGTCCCCAGGGGTCATCCCGACCCCCTGCCATTTGAGAAAGTTCTAATATCTTGTAAATGGTCGAGATCCCCACCCCTAAACCATATATATTCTGGTTTGTCATGATAAAGCACATCAAATGTTATACAGGGTTAGTCCCCAGGGGTCACCCCCACCCCCTGCCATTTAAGAAAGTTCTAATATCTTGTAAGTGGTCAAGATCCCCACCCCTAAACCATATATATTCTGGTTTGTCATGCTAAGATGGTTTGAATGATATACAGGGTTAGTCCCCAGGGATCATCCCGACCCCCTGCCATTTGAGAAAGTTTCTAATATCATGTAAATGGTCGAGATCCCCACCCCTAAACCATATATATTCTGGTTTGTCATGATAAAGCACATCAAATGAAATACAGGGTTAGTCCCCAGGGGTCACCCCCAGCCCCTGCCATTCAAGAAAGTTTTAATATCTTGTAAGTGGTCAAGATCCCCACCCCTAAACCATATATATTCTGGTTTGTCATGCTAAGATGGTTTGAATGATATACAGGGTTAGTCCCCAGGGGTCATCCCGACCCCCTGCCATTTGAGAAAGTTCTAATATCTTGTAAATGGTCGAGATCCCCACCCCTAAACCATATATATATTCTGGTTTGTCATGAAGCACATCAAATGAAATACAGGGTTAATCCCCAGGGGTCACCCCCACCCCCTACCATTTAAGAAAGTTCTAATATCTTCTAAGTGGTCAAGATCCCCACCCCTAAACCATATATATTCTGGTTCGTCATGCGGAGATGGTTTGAATGATATACAGGGTTAGTCCCCAGGGGTTCCTCCCGACCCCCTGCCATTTGAGAAAGTTCTAATATCTTGTAAATGGTTGAGATCCCCACCCCTAAACCATATATATTCCTATTTGTCATGTCTCGAACATTTGAATGACATATACGGTCAGTCCCCAGGGGTTCCCCCCACCCCCAATGTTCTAATATCTTGTAAATGGTTGAGATCCCCACCCCTAAACCATATATATTCCTGTTTGTCATGTAATGAACATTTGAATGACGTATAGTGCCAGTCCCCAGGGGTTCTTCCCCACCCCCAATGTTCTAGTATTTTGTAAATGGTCGAGATCCCCACCCCTAAACCATATATATTCTGGTTTGTCATGCCAAGATGATTTGAATGATATACAAGGTTAGTCCCTAGGCATCACTAATGCATATAACTTTACTGGACCAAACCAATTTTCACTGGACGTTGCCCAATGTCAGGCGACCCTGGGAATTAGGAATTATGGGAGTTTCGTTTGGGAGACTTCGTAACAGCATTCTGTTACAATCATTTCTTGTTGGTATATAGTTTAATCATGACAAGTTACAGACCAAGTTTGAATTTTGTTTCGGTTTGATGATTTTTTGCAGAGTTATGGTCCTTGGACTTAAATTATCAGTTTTCCGCACTTATTTTCGTCATGCTTGAAGATATTGACTTGATATTTGTTGTATAGTTTACACCATGACAAGTTATAGATCAAGTTAGCATTTTGTTCCAGTACAATTTATTTTTAATCGGTAGGGGACTATGTATTGCCATGCAATACTCTCAGAATGCTTGTTATATTGGTTTTTCTCTTCAGATTTTGATAGAGGCCCAGCCAGGGGAGGTTTTGATGACCGAGGTCCTCAAAGAGGAGGTTTTGATGACCGAGGCCCTCAGAGAGGAGGTTTTGATGATAGAGGCCCACCAAGAGGAAGTTACGATGACAGGGGGCCTTCAAGAGGTTTTGATGATAGAGGACCATCAAGGGGTTTTGATGATAGAGGACCATCAAGGGGTTTTGATGATAGAGGCCCACCAAGAGGTGGTGGAAGATATGATGATAGAGGTCCATCAAGAGGATATGATGAGCAAGGCCCAAGAGGGGGATATGGAAGGGATAGGTATGATGACAGAGGTCCACCACGAGATAGATATGATGACAGGCGACAAGGATATAATGATAGAGGAGGTAGAGACTTTAATAGATTTGAAGACCGAGGCCCTCCAAGAGAAAGATACGACGACAGAGGTCCACCAGCTGATGGTAGAGACAACTTCTTTACTTTCTATTTTATTTATATTAATTCTGCATATGTTATTTTAGCATTTGTATTATATTTTTTAGCTCATCTGGTCCTAAGTATGAAATCACTTTGCATTCCTCTTTAGTCTACCATACCTTTTAAAAGATAGTTAGTGATATTAAGTAAGCATCAATGAGACAGTAATCGATCAACTCAATCAAACCAAACCAGAACCAAGAGATCAATATACAGCCTTTTATTGAACCATATGTCAAAATTAAAATCACAGTGTAGATAGGTTGCAAATAAATTCAACAAATTCCACAAACATGAACAATATAGGATAAGGTACATTACATATGTGGGCTTATTTGGCCCTATAAACATGTCAAAAATTAAAAACTTGAATCATACTATTATTGGTTATGATATTTGGTATGCAGTTGTATTAGCATTGGCATATCTCATTTCCATGGAGATTATTTGGCCCCGCCCCCTCAGTCATGGTTTATTGACTTTGAAACTTTTGCTTAATTTTCATGTATTTGTTTGTGATTTGGTCAGTTTATGGGAAAACATTAGTGTTAGGTGAATGATAATTGGTATGCAGTTGTATAAGCATTGGCATATCTCATTTTCAAGGAGATTATTTGGTCCCTCCCCCCCAAGTCATGGTTTATTGACTTTGAACTTTTGCTTAGTTTGCATGTATTAGTTTGTGATTAGGTCAGTTTAAGGGGATGATATTTTGTATACAGATGTGTTAGCATTTTTACATTTATTTGGCCATGCCCCCTCAGTCATGGTTCATTGACTTAGAATTTTTTGCATAGTTTACATGTTAAAGTTTGTATCAGATCAGTTTAAGACGAACCACTCATGTTAAGTCAATGATATTTGGTAACCAAATGTATTGGCATTTACATGTCTCATTTCCATTAAGATTATATGGCCCCACCCCCTCATTATGGTTCATTGACTTTGAAACTTTTACATATTTATGTAAGTGAATGTTTGTGTTTAGGTTTGTTTAAAGGGAACAACTTAAGTCAATGGTATTTGGTATGCAGTTGAATTAGCATTGGCACATCTTATTTCCATGGAGATTGTTTGGCCCTGTTCCTTCAGTCATGGTTCATTGACTTTGAATATTTTGCATAACTAACATGTTAAAGTATTGCTTTTTTAATTTCAACATTTGCATTATCAAAATAACAAAAAGGCGAGACTTATATATCTCTGTTAACAGTTTATTATGAAGAAAATATATATGTTTTTAAACATATTCATTTAGATGTAAATGTATTTTTTCATTACATTTAAGATGGTGGACGGAGACCATTTGGTAGTGGTTATAACCGTGATGATAGACAGGGAAGCAGGTATGGGTACATATGGTTTTGGTTTGCTCATGTACATGTCCTTTTATTTATTTCATATTGTGCTACTCATCTTCATTTGGGAGTTGATACAAAATATTCCTGTAAACAAATATAGCAAAAAAAGAACAATAAAAACAGAAAATGATATAGAGGATAACATACAATCTCCAACAACAGACAAGTTAGTGTCTATACCATATGGCAAGCTCTGAATTTACTCGAGTCTAGAAAAGTTTTTAATCAATTAAAGAGAGTTATAGTACATCACCCATCTAATCAAGATTTAATATTCAATGCGTAACCTGGGGACAATTATTTTTTTATGAACTTAATTATTGTTAATTATATCAAAAGGAGAATCATGAAAATTAACACATATTTTAAAAAATAATTACATTAATATATATATATAAAAGTTCAGTAGAATCCGTATGCTGTAACATATATTAAAGAAAGTTAATAAAAGATAACAGTTTCAATTCATCACATTTACTTGCACTTTCACTGATATCACAGATCTTCAAGTACAATGTGACTTGTATTCATTTAATCACTTTTTCTGCATCATTTATCTGACATTATGATTATTTTTTTATGATCAATCTTATAAATATAAATGAAACTTTTACTTTTCTTTCTTTTCAGAGCAGACAGGCAGAGTCCACCCAGAGGTAATAATTATATTTAAGTAGAATGAATATTAATGAAATATCATTAGACCCCAAAAAGACATATTTAGCTCAACTGGAGTGAATGAGGAAGCACCAATGTGAGCTTTCTATATGGCAGTAATTATCAAGATCCAGTCCCCAGAACCTTCTGTTGTGAAACCAAACTAGGCCACAAGTTTTGTTGCAAAACTGTTTTGCATGATCAAGCCAGTAAACTTTTAAGTAGAACAGGGATGGTGTTGCAGTTTCCATTGCTTTTGACATATTTGAAGTTCCTTAATTTCATGAAAACGTGATTTCTTCTAACTTGTCAGCTAGTTTGAAGATATTAATATGAATAAATGGATGTGTTGGGTATAAGCCAACAAGATGGTAATCAATGACACCCCTCTCATTCCAAGAGACAGCAAGGTAATCAGTGACACCCCCTCTCATTCCAAGAGACAGCAAATGACCATTGGTGGTTGAAGGAGGAGAAAGAAAACAGATTACATATGAGGTTCCACGTGAATCTATACTTGTGGGTGGTTAGAAACATTGAGGAGTCCAATATAGGTGTTGGGTTACTCATGATTCTTTGGAAAGATCAAAATATGTACAATACATTTGTTTTGTGTGTTCCATTACTTAATTACCTCAATTTATTTATAAAAAAAATGTGTAAAAAGTTGAGTTGGTTTGAGGTAATTTTATATTATGAAATATCTTTTGTACATTTATTGAAGAGAAGATAACTGTACACTCTGTAACAACCATTGTCCCAGGTAAGGGGAGGTTTGTGCACTAACAAAAACCTGTTTAACCTGCCACATTCTGTATGTGTCTGTCCTACGTCCGGCCCCTGCAATTCAGTGGTTGCTGTTGGTTGCTGTCAGTTATATCTGTTTTCAAGTCCTATTCAGTAGTTTCACCATCAGGAAAAAGAGGAAGGTATTTCGATGAGGACAAGTGAACATATCTATGGTCATCTGTGACACCTATGTTTCATAATATTCAAGCAAGTTATGATGGTGTGCTTAAAACTTTGGAGGGGAGAACTTCAATTTTACTATTTGGCACCCTTGGTTAAACAGCAAACCTCTGTTAAGGACATCATGATAAGCAATAGAATATCATTTCATCCGGGAGATATATACTCCACTCCATTTGTCATCAAGGCAATGTAATTATTATGTAAAATGAAATACTGCACAAAAAATAAAGACTAATAATTAAATAGTTCTGCATGTTCATTAAACCAAGAAGATTTTTGTGAAAGCAATGTAATATTGTATTTTCAGAAACACCATCTGAAAGGCCCAGATTGAATTTAAAACCTCGTACTAAAGCACCAGAAGAAAGCCAAACGACAGATAAACCTCCAGCAAGGAAAACTTCAGCAAATATATTTGGTGATGCTAAACCTGTAGATACAGCAGCTAAAGAGCGAGAGATCGAGGAAAGGTTACGTAGAGGAAGAGATGATGAGAGTAGAAGAAAAGCTGATGAAGAAAAAGAAAACACTACGTAAGCCTGGAATATAAGAAGCAGCGTTTGTTTTAAGGATAACTACAGTCACATCAACTTTGCATTAATATTAAACACATGTTTTTACCTTAAACTTTGAGCATATTTTTAAACATTTATTAGTCCCTACCTGCAAAGCTGAATCGGACTTAAGGTTTACACTTTGTCCGTCAGTCCGGCACATAAGTTTTCCACACTTTTTTTTTTCAAGGTTGAAGAAACTGATTTGATTATTGATATGTAGTTTTATCGATATCACAAACTAGTCGAAACATTTACTAAATTTTATCATCGGTACAAGGACATCATTCGTAAATATAAATCAACATGCAGACATGTGTCTTATATGTTCAGGTATTTCACATCCAATATTTTATGGTAATATTCTTTACAAAGCACAAAAATGTCGGCATTCACCTCAAAAGCTAACCAAACCTTTAAACAGACTTATTCGGAAAGGATATAGTTACAATACTGTTGTCAAGTCATTAAGGATTGCATATTTTGGTATTAATATTGATTCACTCATAGGGTCTTTGCATCGGAAATAATACATTTATTCTAAAACCAGCTGTTGGCATGATACGGGTTATGTTCTTCTCATATATTTTATGATTGTATGATACTAAACCCCTAACGGGAGGGATTGTACTTGATTTTCATATGATGAAGACATAATCTTTCAATCAGTTTAATTGAGGTCTGGGGCTGGCATGTCAGTAACTGCTAGTAGTCCTTTGTTCATTTATGTATCATTGTCATTTTGCTTAGTTTCTTTTGTTACCTATTCTGACATCGGACTCAGACTTCTTTTAAACTGAGTTTTACTGTGTGTTTTGCTATGTGTTTCTTTATTCTACATTGGCTAGAGGTATAGGGGGAGGGTTGAGATTTCACAAAACATGTTTAACCCCGCCACATTTTTGCGCCTGTCCCAAGTCAGGAGCCTCTGGCCTTTGTTAGTCTTGTATGTTTTTTTAAATTAGTTCATTTATATGTTTTGGAGTTTAGTGTGACGTCCATTTTCACTGAACTAGTACACAATTTTATTTAGGGGCCAGCTGAGGATCACCTCCGGGTGCAGGGTTTTCTCGCTGCGTTGAAGACCCATTGGTGGCCTTCGGCTGTTGTCTGCTCTTTGGTTGGGTTGTTTTCTCTTTAACATATTCCCCATTTCCATTCTCAATTTTATTATAATGACCAGTTACAGATCATGTTTGACTTTTGTTCCAGTCTAATAAATTTGTGCAGTTATGGTCCTTGGACTTAGAAAATTCTCGCAAGTAATCAGTTTTCCACACTTTATTGTCATGCTTGAAGATATTGATTTGATATTTGGTATATAGTTTAGTATGAAAAGTGACAGATCAAGTTGGAAATTTGTTCGGTTTGGATGATTTTATTGTAGAGTTTACTGTTATGGTCCTCTGACTTAGAAAATTCACACAAATAATCAGTTTTCCACACTTTTTTTTGTCATGCTTGAAGATATTGATTTGATATTAGGTATATAGTTTTATCATGACAAGTTATAGATCAAGTTGTAATTTTGTTCCGGTCTGATGATTTAGTCCAGAGTTATGGACCATTACTCTGGACCATATCTAATGTTAGAGTACTATGTTAAACCATATTTCTGTACAAAGGGAGATAACTCATTTTTTAAAAGGCATTCTTTGTTAAATTATTTGAAGAATTTTTTGGCAGGTTTGTTTGTTATTTAGTATAAACTAATTTTCTGAATGCTATAGATATAAAAAAAAATTATGATAATAATCTATTTTTATTAATGTACATGTATATATTTCAATACATTACATTGTGTAGATAAAAGTTGTTGACATTTTATAGATAAGTTACAAATCTATATTAGTTTGTAACAAATGAAAGAAAAAATATTTGGAACTATTAATTATATTTGATTATAATTTGAAAATAGATATACACTGTATTACATGTACATCATATCTAATTTTAGAGAACTATTAATCATATCTAATGTTTTTTTCACTCATATAATCAGTTTTCCACACTATTTTTAGTCATGCTTGAAGATATTGACATGATATTTTCTTTTTGTTTACACCATGACAAGTTATAGAACAAGTTAGCATTTTGTTCCAGTAAAATGAATTTTTACCCAGTAGGGGACTATGTATTGCCATGCAATACTCTCAGAATGCTTGTTTATTTAAAAAAAATATTAAAGTATACAAACTGTTTCTTGATTTACTTCTTTTTTTACCAATAATTTTCTGACTCAATGTCTACATAACACAGTACTACAGTGTTAAAACAAAACAAGAGACATACTGCAGTAACTAGAAATATAGCTAAGCGACGCAACGCGACACAACTGATTGTATGAATCATTTCACCAAGCTGTCCACACGCGTTACCCTGGTGCTATCCAAAAATCCTGGGGAGAACACTGCCACTGCAGCCTTACTTGGGTAATATGGTCAATAAGAGCAAAATCCTTGTTGGTTTCACTTGGTTTAAAAACAAATTTGTGTAAGAAATATTAGACTAAATTCATTTCCAGAATTGTACCTTAAGGTTAACAGATAAATACTATGCCATCTAATCACTGTCGCTTTTTTTTCCTTTATAGTGGAGTGGGAGGGTGTGTGAGATTCCTCACTTAAGGTTCTTTGAATTTAAAATCATTCAATAATTATAATAATGGCATTGAAATACCTTCACAAGCTACATTAACCATAAATGTGTATTTTTCAACATATGGAAAAGGTCAACTGTTGGTCATTCCTACAGAAGAAGAGTTACTGGTATTCTATTATTACTCAATAAAAAAAAAAGAGTGATTCACATTTATAGAAAAAAAGAAGAGATTTGACACTATCTCTAGTGAAAAAAACATGCACAGAAGAACTTCATGAAAATTTAAACCTTTGCGAAATTTGTCAAGTACTAAAATCCCAAAAAAATTTAATTAAAAGGATTCCTCTCAGCAAGATATTGCAGTCTCTTATACATATAAGCAACTACCCTGTTTTAAAAAATATTCTTAAAACTCTGATATTACTATTTTACAAAATAATTAGATAGTACATACAAGTGTGTTTGTTGTAGTAATACAAGTCCTGGATATCGACCTCGTCAGTATAGTGGAGAAGAAGGAGGTGGACGACAGAGGCGACTGAGTAGTAACAGTTCAGGTAAAGGTAGACCAGGTCAGTAGACAGGGATCTATTACGACCTTTTTTTTAACCTTTTATGCTCACCTGACTCAAAGGTCTCAATTGAGCTACATGTATTCTCATCACTAGACATCTGCCTTCTGTTTACTTTTACAAAAATGTTCTCCTCTGAATCTACTGGGCCAATGGGAACCAAACTTAACCCACAATCATCAATGGAGTATATATATTTGTAGTTTAAAATTTGTGTCCGATGATCCCGCCTGCCAACAAACATGGCTGATAAGGCTAAAAATAGAACATATGATTGCCTATAAATCCTTACATCCACTTCATTTGAATTTTGGTGGATAGTTGTCTCTTTGGCAATCATACCACATCTTATTTTTATAAAGGGTTTAAATGCAAGTTTTGTCCATTATCTGGAAAAGCGCTAAAATCTGACAAGGGAAGACATGGTCAGAATGATGAGATCTTCTACAAGCCATAGTTGAAGATATGCATAGGACTAGATGAGCGACACAGGCTCTTTAAAGCCTCTAGTTTTTTGTCCCGCCAGAGATGAAAGTCTTGGACAGCGTCAACAACTCTTAAGTTTTCTGTTTAAGTCAGTTTGATTGGAACTACTTGTGATAGATCAATGATACTTTCTATAAAGTTACATAACTATCAATACGTATCAGTTTGACAACTGTTTTGAGGCCTTGCCCCCTAGGTCATGGTCCTGTGAATTTCAATTAATAAGCAATTTTCACTGGTATGTTTTCTGCTTAAATCAGTTTGATAAGAAATACTTGTGATAGATCAATGATATTTTCTATAAAGTTGCATTACTATCAGTAAATATCAGTTTCACGACTATTTTGAGGCCCTACCTAGCCTTTGTGTCACATTCAAGCAGCTTTGAATTAATTAGCAATGTTGCTGTCCTTCAAATTGTCTTTTTTTGAATTTTCTGCTGACAGGCAAGACATATTTATGTGTCAACAGTTTATTTACTTTTTATCTAGGGAAACTCCAAAGGTCAGTTTCAGCAGTTGACATCAGTTTGCATTTATTTTATTTCTGTGTCTCTGTCTACGTTTTTATCCCCCTGCCACTTAGTGTTACTCATGACTGTTCCCAGTCTTTGTGTCCCAAAAAATCAAAAACTTGTCCAGACATTTTTAGTTCATCTTAATGGCTATTCTCATCACTCGGCATCTGTCATCCTTCGTTTTTGTCTGTCGTACAAAAATCTTCTCTTCTGAAACTACTGCAACAAATTTATTCAAACTTGCCAACAATCATCTTTGCATATCTAGCTTAAAAAATGTATTTGATGATCCCTCCTGCTGTCCAACATGGTAGACATTGCTAAAAAAAAAAAAGAGCAATGCGGTAAAATGCCAGTTTTGTGTATTATCTTGAAAACTGCCATAAATAGGGGAAATCTGATAGGACATAAATGTTGAGATCTACCATTTACATCAAAGCTGTCAGATGACTTCTAATACGAGTTATTATCCTTAAATGACGATTTTTTCCCAACTTTTATTCAAATTGGCCTATTTATTTTGAAAACTATTAGTCAACATGGCCGAAATTGACAGGTGACTCCTTTTATGGGTTACTTCCATTAAATGATGATTTTTATTTAAATTTAGAATTTTTGCCTATTATCTTGAAAACTATAGTAGATGGATAGAAACTTTTTATAGCAAAAATGATCAGCAAGACGAGATCTACAAATCAGTCAACATATTTGAAATGGTAGGTAGGCTCCTAACAGGAGTTATTACCCTTAAATGATGAGTTTTACCAATTCTTTGTGTTTTTATACGACCGCAAAAATTTTTGCGGTCATATATTGGTATGACGTTGGCGTCGTCCGAAGACACATTGGTTTTCGCACTCTAACTTTAGTTTAAGTGAATGGATCTCTATGAAATTTTACCATAAGGTTCAATACCACAAAAGGAAGGTTGGGATTGATTTTGGGGGTTATGGTATCAACAGTTAAGGAATTAGGGGCCAAAAAGGGGCCAAAAATAAGCATTTTTGTAACTTCCAGACATAACTTGTGTGTTAGTGTATGGATCTCTCTGACATTGTACCACAAGGTTCCATATCACACAGGGAATGCTGGGATTGATTTTGCCTCAAAATATTAGGAATTAGGGGCCAAAAAACAAGCATTTTTCTAGTTTCATGACAATAACTTGTGTGAAAGTGTATGGATCTTTCTGAAATTGTACTTCAAGGTTCCATATCACAAAGGGAAAGCTGGAATTGAGTTTGGGGGTAATTGCCCGAAACGTTTAGGAAAAAGGGGCCAAAAATAAGCATTTTTCTAGTTTCCAGACAATAACTTGTGTTCAAGTGTATGGATCTCTCTGAAATTGTACCACAAGGTTCCATATCACACAGGGAATGCTGGGATTGATTTTGGGGGTAATTGCCTCAAAATTTTAGAAATTAGGGGCAAAAAAAAGGGGCAAAAAACAAGCATTTTTCTAGTTTCATGACAATAACTTGTGTAAGTGTTTGGATATTTCTGAAATTGTACTACAAGGTTCCATATCACAAAGGGAAAGCTGGAATTGAGTTTTGGGGTAATTGCCCGAAACGTTTAGGAATTGGGGGACAAAAAGGGGCCAAAAAACACATTTTTCTAGTTTCCAGACAATAACTTGTGTTCAAGTGTATGGATCTCTCTGAAATTGTACTGCAAGGTACCATACCACAAAGGGAAGGCTGGGATTGAGTCTGGGGGTGATGAATCATAAGGGTTTTTTTTTTGGGGGGGGGGGGGGGATTTTTGTTTTTTTTTCCTTTTTTTTCTTTTTTTTCCTTTTTTTTTTCTTTTAAAATTTTCCATTTTAAGTTGGTTATTTCTGATTTATATTTAAAAGCAAATAATAATGATATGGTAGGAGAGACACACCAAACAGTATGTGTAAATTATTATATAATAAGTATTGTGCAATAGCAAGAAATTTTCAATTGCACAGTATTGCACAATAGCAAGAAATCTTCAATTGCACAGTATTGCGCAATAGCAAGAAATCTTCAATTGCACAGTATTGCGCAATAGCAAGAAATATCCAATAGCACAATATTGCGCAATAGCAAGAAATTGTCAATTGTGCAGTATTGCGCAATAGCAAGAAATATTCAATTGCACAGTATTGTGCAAAAGGGGATACTTCGTATAAATTGCTTATTTCTTGATTAATTTCAATGGGGTTTTATTCTTGAATTCTTGGGGTTCTTTAATATGCTGAATCTAACCGTGTATTAAGTTTTTGGATTTTGGGCCCCGTTTTTAAATTGGTCCACATTGAGGTCCAAAGGGTCCAAAATTAAACTTTGTTTGATTTCATCAAAAATTGAATTATTGGGGTTCTTTGATATGCCGAATCTAACTGTGTATTTAGATTCTTAATTTTTGGTTCCGTTTTCAAATTGGTCTACATTAAGGTCCAAAGGGTCCAAAATTAAACTAAGTTTGATTTTAACAAAAATTGAATTCTTAGGGTTCTTTGATATGCTGAATCTAAACATGTATTTAGATTTTTGATTATGGGCCCAGTTTTCAAGTTGGTCCAAATCGGGGTCCAAAATTAAACTTTGTTTGATTTCATCAGAAATTGAATTTTTGGGGTTCTTTGATATGCTGAATCTAACCATGTATTTAGATTTTGGATATTGGACCATAATAGGTGAATATCCAATTTAAAATTTTTAAGTTCTTAGACCACATTGATTCTGTGTCAGAAACCTATGCTGTGTCAAATATTTAATCACAATCCAAATTCAGAGCTGTATCAAGCTTGAATGTTGTGTCCATACTTGCCCCAACTGTTCAGGGTTCGACTTCTGCGGTCGTATCAAGCTGCCCCCTGCGGAGCATTTTATTGCTTATTATCTTGAAAATTATAATAGATAGATATCAAGTTTAAATGGCAAACATGATCAGCAAGTCAAAATGGGCCAAATTGTCGTTCGAGACTTTATTACCAGTAATTGTCCCTAAATGATGATTTTTGCGTCTTGCTTATTATCTTGAAAACAATATAAGATTAAGCAGGAGTTTGAACAGCAGGACAAGATCCAAAATTTTAGTCCCCTACCGACGAAGTCGAAGGGGACTTTAGGTTTGCACTCTGTCCGTCTGTCCATCCGTCAGTCCAGCAAATCAGTTTTCCACACTTTTTTTATACGACCGCAAAAATTAAAAATTTTTTGGTCGTATATTGCTATCACGTTGTCGTCGTCCGGCGTCGGCGTCGTCCGAAGACAGATGGTTTCCGGATAATAACTTTAGTAGAAGTAAATAGAAATCAATAAAATTTTCACACAAGGTTTATAACCACTAAAGGAAGGTTGGGAATGATTTTGAGGGTTATGGTCCCAACTGTTTAGGAATTAGGGGCCAAAAAAGGGGCCCAAATAAGCATTTTTGTAGTTTCCAGACAATAACTTGTGTTAAAGTGTATGAATCTCTCTGAAATTATACCACAAACTTTCATACAACAAAGGGATGGTAAGGATTGATTTTGGGGGGTTATGGCTCAAACCATTTAGTAATTAGGGGCAAAAAAGGGGAAAAACAAGGGTTTTTCTGGTTAAAGGACAATTGAGACAATTTAAAAGCAGTGTAAGGGAGGTAATCCAATTCAAATTAAAGAACACTGTTTGATTACCTCCCTTACACTGCTTGTAAATTATGTATTAAGAAATGATGATTGTCTTGAGGTGATTAGCTGTCAATTTATTTTTAGCAGTTACTATTTATTAATATTAATTTTAGCCATGACTATGTATGTCATTTTATATTTTTAAACTTTTATGATGTATTTAAATGGGTAATTTTGGTTGCAAACTGCATTAGAAATTTAAATTGAGATACTGACCATATCTTGAGGGAAAGAATTTTTTTGGGGAATAAGGGAAAGGGGGGAGGTGAACAAAATTGGAGGGGGACAATTTTTCTCATTTCAGATTTCAGAAATTAAAAGAAAATTTCTTCAAATATTTTTTTTGGGGGGTTAATATTCAACAGCATAGTGTATTGCACAAAAGCAAAAAACAAGGGTAAAATAATTTTTTTTTGGTAAGGGGGGGGGGGGGGTCAATTCACAACAGCATAGTGTATTGCACAAAAGCAATAAATTGAATATAAATTCAAATCATATAACCAATTTGAAGTTCTTTGACTACATTTATTCTGTGTCAGAAACCTATTATGTGTCAAAAATTTAGTTACAATCCAAATTCAGACCTGTATCAAGCGTGAATATTGTGTCCATTTTGGTCCAACTTTTCAGGGTTGGACATCTGCGGTCGTATCCAGCTGCGCTCAGCGAAGCAATGTATTCTTCCTTCTTGAAGATATTAATTTGATATTTGGTATATAGATTTGCCATGACAAGTTATAGATCAGGTTCGAATTTTTGTTCCGTTCTGATGATTTAGTCCAGAGTTATGGACCATAACTCTGGACCATATCTAATGTTAGAGTACTATGTTAAACCATATTTCTGTACAAAGGGAGATAACTCATTTTTTTAAAAGACATTCTTTGGTAAATTTTTTGACAGGTTTGTTTGTTATTTTGTATAAACTAATTTTCTGAATGCTATATATATATATAACAAAAAAATTATGAAGTGAAATCCTGTAATTAGATAATAATCTATTTTTATTAATGCATATATTACATTACATTGTGTACCCGGTAGATAAAAATTGTTGACATTTTATAGATAAGTTACAAATCTATACTAGTTTGTGACAAATAAAAGAAAAAATATTTGGAACTATTAATTATATTTGATTATAATTTGAAAATAGATATACACTGTATTACATCATATCTAATTTTAGAGAACTATTAATCATATCTAATGTTAAAGTGTTTTCACTTTTTTTCATCGTGCTTGAAGATATTGATTGATAATTGGTATATAGTTTTAATCATGACAAGTATACAGATCAAGTTCGAAATTTTGTTTCGGTCTGATAATTTTGTGCAGAGTTATGGTTCTTTGACTTGAAAAAATCACTCATTTAATCAGTTTCCACTCTGTTTTTAGTCATGCTTGAAGATATTGACGATATTTTCTTTTTGTTTACACCATGACAAGTTATAGAACAAGTTAGCTTTTTGTTCCAGTATAATGAATTTTTACCCAGTAGGGGACTATGTATTGCCATGCAATACTCTCAGAATGCTTGTTTTCAATATGTTTGAAATCCTGGCAATTGGGAGACTCTTTAAAGAGGTTATTGCCTCTAAATGACTCTTTTTACCAATTTTGTTCAATTTGTCAATGTTCAGTTTTAGTAATAAGGTTGTATTCTCAGATGCTATAAGCTATAGGCTGACTATATTTGGGGTATAGTATGATTGTATGGTGTATATGTCTGTCTTGTAGGATTTGTCTGACCTTGACTTAATTTATATGGATCATTGATAATGTTAAGTTTATGTAATACTTTCAGTCAAACCTTCTTATTATACGACCGCAAAAAAATTTTTGTGGTCGTATATTGGTATGACGTTGGCGTCGTCGTAGTCGCGTCGTCTGGCTTCGTCCGGCGTCGTCCGAAGACACATTGGTTTTCGCACTCTAACTTTAGTTTAAGTTAATGGATCTCTATGAAATTTTACCACAAGGTTCAATACCACAAAAGGAAGGTTGGGATTGATTTTGGGGGTTATGGTACCAACAGTAAAGGAATTAGGGGCCAAAAAAGGGCCAAAAATAAGCAATTTTGTAACTTCCAGACATAACTTGTGTGTTAGTGTATGGATCTCTCTGACATTGTACCACAAGGTTCCATATCACAAAAGAAATGCTGGGATTGATTTTGGGGGTAATTGCCTCAAAATTTTAGGAATTAGGGGCCAAAAAAGGGGCAAAAAACAAGCATTTTTCTAGTTTCATGACAATAACTTGTGTGTAAGTGTATGAATCTTTCTGAAATTGTACTTCAAGGTTCCATATCACAAAGGGAAAGCTGGAATTGAGTTTGGGGGTAATTGCCGAAACGTTTAGGAATTGGGGGCCAAAAAGGGGCCCAAAATAAGCATTTTTCTAGTTTCCAGACAATAACTTGTGTTCAAGTGTATAGTTCTCTCTGAAATTGTACTGCAAGGTACCATACCACAAAGGGAAGGCTCGGATTGATGATGGGGGGTAATTGCCTCCATATTTTAGAAATTAGGGGCCAAAAAGGGGCCCAAAATAAGCATTTTTCTAGTTTCCAGACAATAACTTGTGTTCAAGTGTATGGATCTCTCTGAAATTGTACTGCAAGGTACCATACCACAAAGGGAAGGCTGGGATTGAGTTTGGGGGTGATGAATCATAAGGGGGTTCAAAAAATTTGGGGGGGGGGGGGGGGGGGGGGTTTTCCTTTTTTTTCTTTTTTTCCTTTTTTTTTTCTTTTAAGATTTTCCATTTTAAGTTGGTTATTTCTGATTTATATTTAAAAGCAAATAATAATGATATGGTAGGAGATACACACCAATTGCAAACAGGATGTGTAAATTATTATATAATAAGTATTGTGCAATAGCAAGAAATTTTCAATTGCACAGTATTGCACAATAGCAAGAAATCTTCAATTGCACAGTATTGCCACTGGACGTTAAGCAACCAACAATCAATCAATCAATTGCACAGTATTGCGCAATAGCAAGAAATCTTCAATTGCACAGTATTGCGCAATAGCAAGAAATATCCAATAGCACAATATTGCGCAATAGCAAGAAATATTTAATTGCACAGTATTGTGCAAAAGAAGATACTTCCTATAAATTGCTTAATTCTTGACCAATTTCAATGGGGTTTTATTCTTGAATTCTTGGAGTTCTTTAATATGCTGAATCTAACCGTGTATTTAGTTTTTGGATTTTGGGCCCCGTTTTTAAATTGGTCCACATTGAGGTCCAAAGGGTCCGAAATTAAAATTTGTTTGATTTCATCAAAAATTGAATTATTGGGGTTCTTTGATATGCCGAATCTAACCGTGTATTTAGATTTTTAATTTTTGGTTCCGTTTTCAAATTGGTCTACATTAAGGTCCAAAGGGTCCAAAATTAAACTTTGTTTGATTTTAACAAAAATTGAATTCTTAGGGTTCTTTGATATGCTGAATCTAAACATGTATTTAGATTTTTGATTATGGGCCCAGTTTTCAAGTTGGTCCAAATCGGGGTCCAAAATTAAACTTTGTTTGATTTCAACAAAAATTGAATATATGGGGTTCTTTGATATGCTGAATCTAACCATGTATTTAGATTTTTGATTTTTGGGCCCCGTTATCAACTTTGTCCACATTGAGGTCAAAAGGGTCCAAAATTAAACTTTGTTTGATTTCATCAAAAAATGAATTCTTGGGGTTCTTTGATATGCTGAATCTAACCATGTATTTAGATTTTGGATATTGGACCATAATAGGTGAATGTCCAATTTAAAATTTTTAAGTTCTTAGACCACATTCATTCTGTGTCAGAAACCTATGCTGTGTCAAATATTTAATCACAATCCAAATGCAAAGCTGTATCAAGCTTGAATGTTGTGTCCATACTTGCCCCAACTGTTCAGGGTTCGACCTCTGCGGTCGTATCAAGCTGTGCCCTGTGGAGCATTTTATTACAGACTATATAAGTTCAATTATGATAAGTAAAGCAGGTGAGACATTTCAGTGTGTGCACTCTTGTTTTATCTGAAACCAAATATTTTAGGTTTGTGTATAAAGCTATTTTGTTTAAAGGGGCATTAGCTACGAGATATGAAAGAAATCAAAATATAATTTTTTTGGTTCAACCATTAATGAAAGTGAAATAGTGAAATAATAATTCGCTTTTAGCAGCCAATTTGGTTCGATTTTGTCAAAATAAGCTAAGAAACATCACTGATGAATTATTCACTTGCAAGTGAATAATTCGACCTCATTGAATCCGTATTCATGTGACCTTCAATTTAACCCCTTAGCTGGAGATGGGTTACGCATGCATTCAGGTATTTAAAAGAAAAGAATGTCATCATTGAAAATGAGACAAGGATGAACCATTTGGTTGACTGATTCCATTCACATAAAAAATCATTCTTATACAGGCAACAACGATGATAAACATACCTTTTAACCCTACAATATGAAATCAAACAGATTAAGAAAAATCCAATTGCACGTGGTCACTATCAGCTTAAATTTATATTTATGTGTATATCGGGTTATATGACTGTCAACAGTCTTCAGAGGTCATCTCGATCGTTAATTAGATGACATCTAGACAAAAATACACACGAAATGTTGATACATATTATCAAGTCCATATATTGTTAATTGTTTATTTTAGACTTTTTGTAATTTGGATATAGGTTTTAGTATGTTATTAATCAAATATGAGAATTCTGAGTCAAATCAGTGAACATGAATTTGACAGCTAATGCCCCTTTAAGAACTTGTTTTATGGCAAAGTTTCAATTTAACAAAACTTTTTATGATGAAATACTATGAAAATTGTATTATTGTTATTAAAGGACCTCCTCCTGTTACCTCTCCTGGTAAATCGAGACGTGACAGTGATAATTCTAATCATTCACAAGAAGTATTTTCTGGTGGAGAGGAAACAAAAGAAGAACCTCGTAGTCCGGTCTCTCCAGCTCATAGAGATGAGCTTGCCTCAAAATTAGTGCCAGCCCCTCCCCCATCAGTTAATGTCTGGGAGAAGAGAAAAGAAACAGTAGTAAAAACTGCAGTTGTGTCAGTGAAATCACCAATGGAGTCCCATACTCACATCAAGTCAGAAACACGGTCTATAGCAGATGCACCTGTAAGTATAGATGTATACTAGTAATTTGTTACTCATAAATACACAATTGTAAATGGTCGAGATCCCCACCCCTAAACCATATATATTCTGGTTTGTCATGCTAAGATGGTTTGAATGATATACAGGGTTAGTCCCCAGGGGTCATCCTGACCCCCTGCCATTTGAGAAAGTTCTAATATCTTGTAAATGGTTGAGATCCCCACCCCTAAACCATATATATTCTGGTTTGTCATTATAAAGCAAATCAAATGAAATACAGGGTTAGTCCCCAGGGGTCACCCCCACCCCTGTCATTTGAGATAGTTCTAATATCTGGTAAGTGGTCGAGATCCCCACCCCTAAACCATATATATTCTGGTTTGTCATGCAAAGATGGTTTGAATGTTATACAGGGTTAGTCCCCAGGGGTCACCCCCAACCCCTGCCATTTAAGAAAGTTCTAATATCTTGTAAGTGGTCAAGATCCCCACCCCTAAACCATATATATTATGGTTTGTCATGCAAAGATGGTTTGAATGATATACAGGGTTAGTCCCCAGGGGTCATCTCCCACCCCCTGCCCCTGCCATTTGAGAAAGTTCTAATATCTTGTAAGTGGTCAAGATCCCCACTCTAAACCATATATATTCTGGTTTGTCATGCAAAGATGGTTTGAATGATATACAGGGTTATTCCCCAGGGGTCATCCCCCACCCCTGCCACTTGAGAAAGTTTTAATATCTTGTAATTGGTTGAGATCCCCACCCCTAAACCTAATCTATTCCTGTTCGTCATGTCTCCCCCACCCCCTGCCATTTAAGAAAGTTCTTATATCTTGTAAGTGGTCAAGATCCCCACCCCTAAACCATATATATTCTGGTTTGTCATGCTAAGATGGTTTGAATGATATACAGGGTTAGTCCCCAGGGGTCATCCTGACCCCCTGCCATTTGAGAAAGTTCTAATATCTTGTAAATGGTTGAGATCCCCACCCCTAAACCATATATATTCTGGTTTGTCATTATATAGCAAATCAAATGAAATACAGGGTTAGTCCCCAGGGGTCACCCCCACCCCTGCCATTTAAGAAAGTTCTAATATCTTGTAAGTGGTCAAGATCCCCACCCCTAAACCATATATATTATGGTTTGTCATGCAAAGATGGTTTGAATGATATACAGCGTTAGTCCCCAGGGGTCATCTCCCACCCCCTGCCATTTGAGAAAGTTCTAATATCTTGTAAGTGGTCAAGATCCCCACCCCTAAACCATATATATTCTGGTTTGTCATGCAAAGATGGTTTAAATGATATACAGGGTTATTCCCCAGGGGTCATCCCCCACCCCTGCCACTTGAGAAAGTTTTTATATCTTGTAATTGGTTGAGATCCCCACCCCTAAACCTAATCTATTCCTGTTCGTCATGTCTCGAACATTTGAATGACGTATAGGGTCAGTCCCCTGGGGTTCCCCCCACCCCCAGTGTCTAATATCTTGTAAATGGTCGAGATCCCCACCCCTAAACCATATATATTCCTGTTCGTCATGTCTCTGACATTTGAATGATGTATAGGGTCAGTCCCCAGGGGTTCCCCCCACCCCCAATGTTCTAGTATCTTGTAAGTGGTCGAGATCCCCACCCCTAAACCATATATATTCTGGTTTGTCATGCCAAGATGATTTGAATGATATACAGGGTTAGTCCCCAGGCATCACTAATGCATATAACTTTACCAAACCAATTTTCACTGTACTTTGCCCAATGTCAGACGACCCTGGGAATTACGAATTATGGGAGCTTCGTTTGGGAGACTTCGTAACAGCATCCTGTTACAATCATTTCTTGTTAAGAAATATTTTTCAAAATTCGGCTTTTATTAATCATGTGTTAATACTTGAAACAAAAACAATCATTTTTTAATTTTTTGTCTAAATTGTAACTAATGCCCCTTTAATTATCCATCAATCCTACAAAGCTCCTGAAGCACCTAAGATCACCATGGTTTTTTGGTTGGGTTTGAATTCCTCTGTATTTTGTTTGCCATGACGTTGTCAGTTTGTCATCAACTTACGAGTTTGAATTCCCTTTGATATCTTCCACCTCTCTTTTCTGTCAAAGTTTCATAAAATTCTATGTAGGTTTGACCAAGTAATTGATGTCTAACAAATAAGACTGTTTCTACATATTAACTAAGTCCTTTTATCAGTAAAATACAGAAAAATGAAAAAAATATTTTCAAAATTTTGCTTTGGATACTTGCTGTCTTTTGGTCATGATTTGTGGGTGTACTGTGTGTAATACATTGGTTAGAAATTCTTGTTCTTTCACAGATCACAGAAAATAGAACAAAAACTCTTCAGTTCCAAGGGAAAGATTTTCATGTTTATCATTATCCAAAACAGAGTTTAAATTCTAACTTTTTTATGTGTACACATTAAAACTTTAGTAACAATGCATACTGAGTATAAGTTGATTTCATCTGTACAAGAGATGTTATTCTTCCAGAGTTCTTCATCTTCATCATCCTCAACATCACAGTCTCCTGAAAATAAGGCAGCACCTCCACCTAAGGAAAATCCCTGGACAAGACGGCAATACAATAAAGAATCAGGTTAGTCATAGCATTTACATCAACAGAATACTGAAACAGTTAAATTGATTATACGAAAAACATGTAAACTTAAAAGTCATTTGCTATAAGAAAATCCACAATTTGAATAAACAAAACATTTGAAGTCCTGTAAATATAAGAATAAGGAGATGTGGTATGATTGCCAATGAGACAACTATCCACCAGAGTTTCAATGAAGTGACTGTAAGCAGTTATAAACCACCGTACGGCCTTCAACAAAAAGAAAAACCCATACTATATACTTCATTTTTACAAATAAACATTTTTTTCTTGATGTATGTTAATGTATGATATATACGAACTCTGACTATGAATATCATAATTTTAGGCCAATAATCAAAAAAGTTACCCATTAGGTCTCTATGTTACTTCTATTTTTTTTATATAAAATACTTGATGGAGTAAGTATGAATAGTGTAACAGCTTTCCATTCAAAACAAAAACATAAGACATGTGCTTTAAACCTGTTTCATTATACCATGTGACTTTTCTCATTTAAATAACGCTGACCAGCAAAAAAACTTGGACTTCATTTAAGTTTTATGTCATGTGATTACTGAACTTATTGTATACATGATTTTGTATTTTTCATTGTTCAATTTCTATGAGTAACTTTAGTAATATTTTCCACTGGACATTACTAGTATAACATTTTTAAAAACTACAAAGTAGTTTTATGCAAAATTCAGTTTAGAAATTTTATTAAAAAGTTCCCCTTTTCATCAGTAAAGGTCTTTATGGTTATATTTTATCTAATTTTATTTTCATATTTTGAAAGTCATAAGCTGTGCTTTTTCAAGAAAAAAGTAAATATTAAATGTATTCTGTAAATACTTATTGGTGAAACTTTTTAGAGGCTCTCCATTTTGTTAATACTGTGATCATGCTTTAAGCATGAAAAGCTTGCTTATATTCTTTTATAAGATATATATAAATATATAATCAAATTAAGGTAACAAAAATTAAGATTTGGTAAGGAATAAAAACAAAATAAAACATCTGATTATGATATTTTTTCCCACAAATAACATCTTTGTAGATACATACAAGTTCATTTATAAAATCATATAAAACCAGTTATAAAAATACTTAGATGATAGTCATTTTTCATGACGTGTATAATGTCCTTTGATATTTAAATGAGTTAAGTCACATGGTACAATGAAACAGGTTTAAAACACATGTCTAATGTTTTTGTTTTGAATGGAAGGCTGTTACACTATTCATACTTACTCCATCAAGTATTTTATATAGAAAAAAAATAGAAGTAACATAGAGACCTTATGGGTAACTTTTTTGATTATTGGCCCAAAAATTATGATATTCATAGTCAGAGTTCGTATATATCATACATTAACATACATCAAGAAAAAAATGTTTAGTTTGCAAAAATGAATTTTTAAGAATTATTTTCTGAAGATTTATAGAAGTCAAACGGACTATAATAGTGTCACCTTGTGAACGCAACTCCTGATACCATTTGACAGAAAGCTCTCATACTTTGCAGGATTGTTTGCTATCATGTGTAGTTGACCATATTATACGCTCTTTTTGATTTTACTGTTTTTAGGGGAGTTATGGGACTTAAACCATATTTTGACTATCATACCACAATGACACACAAGTTAATTTTAGGGGACATTTGCTAGGGTGTAACAACCATGATCTTTTTTTAGTGAGAGATACATGTATGTAGAAGCCAGGTGGGCAATTGAGTCACCTTAGAAAGTTTCTTCAAAAAATATTTAGTGTTAGTTTCTTATAATTTATATATAATGTATTTGGTACCTGATTTTTCAAACATTAACAGCATTACTTAAAAGTGCAGTTTGTAATTTAATTTTTCTAATGTATTTCTTATCAGATGCACCCGTTAGTAGCAGTCCTTTGGGGAAACCTTCTGGAAGAGGTGAACGTTCAGATTTGAAGGGTCAGGGTAGAGGTCATAGAGGATTTCCTGAAAAAGGCAGAGGACAAGAAAGTAAACCAAGGTAAAAGATCAGACTGTTCAATGCTTTAGCCTAAAAAGTTTGCTTCATTATTTATTGAAATAATAAGTTACCTTAGCTTGGTGTTGTGGTTTGTAAGTTTGTACCACTTCTAGTTCATAGTGTAGCCATCCTGGTGCCTATTTATTCACTGGAATGATGATTAAAAGAATCATTAATCCTAGTAAAAATTATATTTTCAACTTCTCTGAAAGTATATGGATGAAAAACTTACAGACGTTTTTAGTATGATCAGTTTCTTGCCATTTCTTTTCTGAAACTTAAAGGCCAATTATCTTGGATCTTTATTTGAATGATTTTTGAAAGAGTGATTGAACCTAAAAAAAACAACATTTTCCTCTTTTCCTCTGAAAATACATGATGTATGCACCATATTTTTCATATAAAATGTATGGAAGTCATTTTATTGATAAAAAAAAAATCATTAAAATCAAAGCTGCCAGAGTTTTATTTTTACTCTATGATTTGAACTGAGATGGGGCAATAAGGCCCTTATTTGGCCCAAATACTAGAGCAAACTGAAAAAAATTATCATTCATATTCACAAATTTGTCCTGACTAGACTAAAGTACAAGGTGTTCAGAAAATAAAATCAAAATTCCACATTTAACGAGATACCATGGCAACAAACCATAACAAATTTTGTAAAGTTTCTTGAGATTCCTTGATTATCATCAACTTTTTAAGTATTTAATAGATTGGAAAAGTTTGTGGGCACCCAAGAAACAACTTTATATTTCTGAGAATGTCAAAAGTTATAATAAATCTTCTCATAAATTATATTGTTGTTTTTTAGCTGCACATGAAGTTTTCACAATGGAAATAAAAATCATGTGTACAATTATTGCCAGAATTTTATGAAACTTGTCATAGGTTTATATCAGCAATGTCTTTGTCACTTTCGAAAATAAGCGCTGATCAAGTATTTTTAACGAGATATGCCACTTGGAAATATTAATTAAAATGGAAATCGCAATGCATTTGCTCTGCAGCCTTCATATCTCTAAGATATTAATAAAAAAGTTTAAAAGAACAAAAAATATTTGCTTTTTTTTAGTTATATGTCCTTGTACCTTGGATAGATGAAATATGTGCAACACGGGGGACATTGGAACTCTGTTCTTTTATTCATATGACAAAGCATTCACGAGCATTCTGAGAGTATTGCATGGCAATACATAGTCCCCTACCGATTAAAAATTCATTGTACAGGAACAAAATGCTAACTTGATCTATAACTTGTCATGGTATAAACTATATAACAAATATCAAGTCATTATATTCAAGCATGACAAAAAAGTGTGGAAAACTGATTATTTGAGTGAATTTTCTAAGTCCAAGAACTATAACTCTGCACAAAATCATCAGACCGGTAAAAAATTTGAACTTGATCTGTAACTTGTCATGATAAAACTATATACCAATTATCAAATCAATATCTTCAAGCATGATGAAAAAAAGTGTGGAAAACTGATTATTTGAGTGCATTTTTAAAGTCCAAGGACCATAACTGCATAAATCATCAGACCGGAACAAAATTCGAACTTGGTCTGTAACTTGTCATGGTGTAAACTATATAACAAATATCAAGTCAATATCTTCAAGCATGACGAAAAAAAGTGTGGAAAACTGATTAAGTGAATTTTTGAAGTCCCAAGGACCATAACTCTGCACAAAATCATCAGACCGGAACAAAATTCGAACTTGATCTGTAACTTGTCATGATTAAACAATACACCTAATATCATATCGATATCTTCAAGCACGAAGAAAAAAAGTGTGGAAAACTGATTTGCCGGACTGACAGATGGACAGACGTACGTTGGTAGGGGACTAATAATTAATTGTAACTGAAACTTGATTTATTTTATCTTTTTATAGACATCATGAGAAGAAACTACCCCAGTCTATTGATGAAATGCCAAAATATGAACCACAAGTGCAGAAGGTCGGTGTATTTTATAGCCTATTTTATTGAAAATAGCAGTACCATTATTGAGGTCAATTTATTTTAATACTGTAAAATGTTGATTTTGGCAATTTAAGCTTCTTTTATTTAGATTAAGACAATCACTGGATCAAAGGGGAATGCATGATCATATACAAAAATCTCATAGATTTGTTGGAAATTTTCCATCGATAAATTCATGTGTTATGTATACAAACAAATTTTTTTGGCCATAATACTGATAAGAATAGGCTGTTATGGAAGTACACCACTAATTCATGGCCCCATTGCTTTCTATGTTAAATTCCTCAATTTCAAGCAGGCACAGCTCTTTTATTTTAAGTTCAAATAAAGTGACATTGCATGTCAAAGCAACACTTTATGGTGTCTTGTACTGAAAAAATCAACATACCTTTAATAGTATATAAGAAAGAACTGGTTCCCGGAACTGCAGATGTACCAAAACAGGTACTTCAGATCTGACAAACAGGCAAAATGTACCCTCTTTTTATACGACCGCAAAAAAATTTTTGTGGTCGTATATTGGTATAACGTTGGCGTCGTCGTCGTCGATGTCCGGCTTCGTCGTCGGCGTCGTCCGAAGACACTTGGTTTTCGCACTCTAACTTTAGTTTAAGTGAATGGATCTTTATGAAATTTTACCACAAGGTTCAATACCACAAAAGGAAGGTTGGGATTGATTTTGGGGGTTATGGTAATAACAGTAAAGGAATTAGGGGCCAAAAAATAAGCATTTTTGTAACTTCCAGACATAACTTGTGTGTTAGTGTATGGATCTCTCTGACATTGTACCACAAGGTTCCATATCACTAAAGGAATGCTGGGATTGATTTTGGGGGTAATTGCCTCCAAATTTTAGGAATTAGGGGCCAAAAAAGGGGCAAAAAACAAGCATTTTTCTAGTTTCATGACAATAACTTGTGTGTAAGTGTATGGATCTTTCTGAAATTGTACTACAAGGTTCCATATCACAAAGGGAAAGCTGGGTTTGAGTTTGGGGGTAATTGCCCTAAACGTTTAGGAATTTGGGGCCAAAAAGGGGCCAAAAAACACATTTTTTTCTAGTTTCCAGACAATAACTTGTGTTCAAGTGTATGGATCTCTCTGAAATTGTACTGCAAGGTACCATACCACAAAGGGAAGGCTGGGATTGAGTTTGGGGGTGATGAATCATAATGGGGGTTCAAAAAATTTTGGGGGGGGATTTATTTTTTTTTCCTTTTTTTCTTTTTTTCCTTTTTTGTTTCTTTTAAAATTTTCCATTTTAAGTTGGTTATTTCTGATTTATATTTAAAATCAAATAATAATGATATGGTAGGAGATACACACCAAACAGGATGTGTAAATTATTATATAATAAGTATTGTGCAATAGCAAGAAATTTTCAATTGCACAGTATTGCACAATAGCAAGAAATCTTCAATTGCACAGTATTGCGCAATAGCAAGAAATCTTCAATTGCACAGTATTGCGCAATAGCAAGAAATATCCAATAGCACAATATTGCGCAATAGCAAGAAATTGTCAATTGTACAGTATTGCGCAATAGCAAGAAATATTTAATAGCACAGGATTGTGCAAAAGAAGATACTTCCTATAAATTGCTTATTTCTTGACCAATTTCAATGGGGTTCTTTAATATGCTGAATCTAACCGTGTATTTAGTTTTTGGATTTTGGGCCCCGTTTTTAAATTGGTCCACATTGAGGTCCAAAGGGTCCAAAATTAAACTTTGTTTGATTTCATCAAAAATTGAATTATTGGGGTTCTTTGATATGCCGAATCTAACTGTGTATTTAGATTCTTAAATTTTGGTTCCGTTTTCAAATTGGTCTACATTAAGGTCCAAAGGGTCCAAAATTAAACTTAGTTTGATTTTAACAAAAATTGAATTCTTAGGGTTCTTTGATATGCTGAATCTAAACATGTATTTAGATTTTTGATTATGGGCCCAGTTTTCAAGTTGGTCCAAATCGGGGTCCAAAATTAAACTTTGTTTGATTTCAACAAAAATTGAATATATGGGGTTCTTTGATATGCTGAATCTAACCATGTATTTAGATTTTTGATTTTTGGGCCCCGTTATCAACTTTGTCCACATTGAGGTCAAAAGGGTCCAAAATTAAACTTTGTTTGATTTCATCAAAAATTGAATTATTGGGGTTCTTTGATATGCCGAATCTAACCGTGTATTTAGATTCTTAATTTTTGGTTCCGTTTTCAAATTGGTCTACATTAAGGTCCAAAGGGTCCAAAATTAAACTTAGTTTGATTTTAACAAAAATTGAATTCTTTGGGTTCTTTGATATGCTGAATCTAAACATGTATTTAGATTTTTGATTATGGGCCCAGTTTTCAAGTTGGTCCAAATCGGGGTCCAAAATTAAACTTTGTTTGATTTTCAACAAAAATTGAATATATGGGGTTCTTTGATATGCTGAATCTAACCATGTATTTAGATTTTTGATTTTTGGGCCCCGTTATCAACTTTGTCCACATTGAGGTCAAAAGGGTCCAAAATTAAACTTTGTTTGATTTCATCAAAAATTGAATTCTTGGGGTTCTTTGATATGCTGAATCTAACCATGTATTTAGATTTTGGATATTGGACCATAATAGGTGAATGTCCAATTTAAAATTTTTAAGTTCTTAGACCACATTGATTCTGTGTTAGAAACCTATGCTGTGTCAAATATTTAATCACAATCCAAATCCAAAGCTGTATCAAGCTTGAATGTTGTGTCCATACTTCCCCCAACTGTTCAGGGTTCGACCTCTGCGGTCGTATCAAGCTGCGCCCTGCGGAGCATTTTATTAAAATTTGGTGCAGTTTTTTTAAATATTCAAATTTACACATCAAAAGTGTTCTACAAAATCACCAGTCATTCAGCTTTCTTTTGATACCAAAAATAGCTAAATATTCTACATATTTTGAAAGTAACACTCATGCGTAGGAACTATTTTGTGTTAAATATGTACATTTGTACTACGTTCTGGTATGTGCATTCTGGCCGGGCCCGATTTAGTAGTGTTACACCTTACATTCCAATTTTATCTTAGGATTTAATAGGGAGGGATAGAATTAAGGAATATGATGTCCCAGAGCATGTGAATATGATAACAAATCTGTTTTCCGAATACTTATATATTCTAACACATAATGGCCATGTACGAAATTTTCCCCAGGAACTACAAATAAGAGCTTAATGAATTTAGTTATCAGGCTTCATATGTCATGCTACACTGTGTGATGTTTTATTAAATTCATCAACATATTCCTATTTACTGAATATTTGCATATTCCATCTTGGACCAATAGATATTAGCAATACCACTGTAATAGTGCCAGATGCCTTAAAATTTTCATTGCATTTTTCTAGGGTACTGATATTTAGATAGTGTCAAAACATTTTTCAAAGTGCTTTTGAAGGTTTGTTGATAACACATGTTTTTAGACATGAATCTGTTATAATAGAAAAACAAAGAATATGAGGTATTCATCCATGACACAAAATCAGTACATGTACAGCAAAAAGCAAAGGAACAGTGCTTTTATTGCTTTTCTTCATCTCAAAGTCACAGTGAGTGAGGCCTGTCATGCTTTGCTTCTACATTTCTACTGGCCAATCAATAAATTCATGTGTATTGTTTACAAACAAAGGAGAAGGTCTGGCACAAATTAAAGCTTTAATATGAAAAATCTATCAAATAGGCCATAAAGCGTCACTTTTCAGATGGTTTTTGTCTAAAATGTATGTGGCCGCATTCGTATTAAGTCTCAACCTTTATATATGTTATGTATTATCATCAAATACAACATATATTTAAATATTAAGACTGAACACAAGTGTGGCCACTTCCATTTTAGACAAAAACCGTCTAAAAAGTATCACAATGCTAAAATTGTGAAGATTTCAGTAATTTTGCATGAATTAATGATGCTAGTACCTGATGTATGTGCATTGTATTGTCAAAAATAACCCCATATTTATGTAACAAACGTATTCTTCTTTCCAATAAATAGTTTACACTTTTAACAAATTTGTAAAAGTGCTATGTTTTGGGGCCAAAAAGGGGTCTTACCGGGCCTATTCCTTTATTCAGCCATAATACTGGTAAGAATAAAGAAGTGTATTCAATGAGAATGCAGAAATATGTCAATGTAATGAATAAATACTGTAAATCAACTTATTTTCACGGATACCTCATTTCACGTATAGCCCTTTCTAGCTCATTGCGCAACGATTTAATTTAGGGATTTTCAAATTTACTTGATTTAGTTAAATAAGGAATTATTCAAGTTTTACATATTCGTGACGATTTATATTTGCGTTATTTTTCTACTCGTGGAAGTCGCGAAAATTAGTTGGTTTACAGTAATTCCTGCAATCCAATTAAGTGTTGTGTCTTTACTACTTTTTCATTCTTACATTTTTTTAGGATTTTAGACAACAAAACAAATTTGCTGGATTAGTAGATGAAGATGAAGACAATGGTGAAGAATCCACATGAAAACAAAACTTTCATATTCAATATTAAATGTTGAAAATAAGAGATATCTCTATAAAATGAGCATTTTATATTTGTGTTCTTTTGGAAGATCACCAATGAAATTCTATGACAAGTCTATAATTTATTGATAAAATGAAGCGATTTTCATTTTATATTCTAGTATATGTGTGTACTTGACTTCATTTTCTCAGTACTATCATGTTTATCATCAGAAATTGTCATAAAAGTGCTTTGTTAAAGAATGAATAATTCTATTTTGTTGGAGTACAACCGTTCACATGTGAAAGCTTTCATACTTGTTTTATTTGTCATCATATTCTCATGGCATTGCTATATACTATCATTGTGATTCGTCAGTTTTTATGGGAGTTATTAGACTTTGACCTTGTTTTTGTCTCGCCTTGACAGAGTCAAAAAGCGAGACATAGGTATGCTGTTTCCGACGTCGTTGGCGGCGTCAACAATGTATTAGTTTGTGATTAGGTCTAGTTCATGGTGAACCACTAGTGGTAGGTCAATGATATTTGGTATGCAGTTGTATTAGCATTGGCACATCTCATTACCATGGAGATTATTTGGCCCCACCCCCTCAGTCAAGGTCTATTGATTTTGAAACTTTTCATAGTTTACATGTATTAGTTTGTGATTAGGTCAGTTCAAGGGAAACCATTAGTGGTAGGCCAATGTTAATTGGTGTTCAGTTGTATAAGTATTAGCACATCTCATTTCCATGGAGAATATTTGGCCCTGCTCCCTCAGTCATGGTCTTTTTACTTTGAAACTTTTGCTTAGTTTACATGTATTAGTTTGTGATTAGATCAGTTTAAGATGAACTGCTAATGTTAAGTCAATGATATTTGGTATGCAAATTTATTGGCATTTGCAAGTATCGTTTCCATGGAGATTATATAGCCCCACCCCTGATCATAGTTCATTGACTTTGAAACTTTTACATAGTTTACAAGTTAATGTTTGTGTTTAGGTTTGTTTAAAGGGAACGATTTATAATAAGTCAATGGTATTTGGTATGCAGTTGTATTAGCATTGGCACATCTCATTCCATGGAGATTGTTTAGCTATGTACCTTCAGTCATGGTTCATCGACTTTGAATATTTGCATAACTTACATGTTAAAGTATTGCTATTTTGATTTCAACATTTGCATTATCAAAATTACAAAAAGGCGAGACATATCTCTGTGATAACAGTTTATTTACTATTGTAGCACAATGACACCTTGTGAATGCATCTTCTCTGAGAATGTTTGCCTGAAAGCTTTCATACTTGGTAGGATTGCCTTGTCATAATGTGTTACTTGTCATATTATACTGTCACTTTCATACGACTTACTTTGAAGAGTTATGGGACTTTTTTTAACTATGTGACTTAGTCCTTCTGTTTCTGGCGACAGCTGCAATATCAACAAACTGGTAAAGTTGTGATTTATTAGGTCAGTTTAAGGGGAACAACTTGTGACAGGTCAATAATATTTGGTATGCAGTTGTTATAGCATTGTCATATCTCATTTCCAAGGAGATTTTTTGACACTGTACCTTCAAGTCATTGACTTTGAAGCTTCTGCATAGTTTACATGTTAAAGTGATGCCATTTTAATTTTAATATCTGCATTATACTATCAAAATTACACGCAGTTGAGGCATAACTGTTCAACTTTATACAAATTCAGATTAGAGCCTATAAAATTTCATTGCCTTGAAGAATATTAGCTCCACATGTTGTCAACACTAGAAGGCATGAATAAGGTTGGGTTGACAATTTAAAAGGATTTTCATTAGCCAAGCCTTGTTTAAGTCTGTTTGAATATAGAATTGGGAATGGAAACGGGGAATGTGTCAAAGAGACAACAACCCAGAGTATGCATTTTAAATTGAATTCTCAGAAAATATCCTTAATGACATTTTTCACTTTTTCACATTTTTTTACTTCTCTACCACAATAAAGGGTCCTTTGTTATCATAATGTGTTGGTCAATAACAATATTATATCCACATTTGCTTTCAATATTCACATTTTTAACTTGCTGTAAAAAGCTGTGCCTGGTGTAGCCCTTTTTAATGTGAAAATAAAAGACTCAGCTGAATTTAACCTTTGAATGTGCTCTTTTTCAAATAATGGAACCCTTGAATTAATTTTCAATCAATATTTTTAATACCTTATTGTAAAATATTATTTATTTGAAACGGATCGTTTGGATTCATTGAAAATTTTTAAATGAAAGGCCATGATTGAAAGTGTATCTTTTAAAGAATATCATGTTGACCTGAATGGATGAATCTACATGTATTACTTTCATGACATCTTAGAACTTTCCCCTCAGTAAAACATTCCACATTAACTTATAATGACATCGTTAAAATAATTTCTTGGTAAATTATCCTTGTATTTCTCAGGACCATTCAAGTTTGTCAGAACATACTTATTGTGTTATCATCATAAGAAATTATTTTTATAATATATTAAAGTAACAGATTTCTGTAATTGGAAAAGCATGTTGAAGGCCCATAGACCATAATATGTTTATTTGCTATCACTATTCAATTATAAAAACAGTTTGAAAAATTAAAACCTCTATCTATACAACAATAGGTATACATTTTAAAAGTATTAGAAGCGTGAAATTTCTCTCAATTTGTTTTGTAATATATTACATAGCCCAATTACATTATAATGCTTTCAGTATGTTCTTTATGCATACAAGTCTGCCAATGTTCCTTCATATTTTTGGGGTACCTGGTTGATAGATACATTAATCCTGAATGAATTGTATGTTTCATAAGTAATTTATTTTCCCTATGTGTGTTATTAAGCTGTATCAGATGATTTGCTGATTTATAATTATGAATTAAATGAATATTCAAGAGTTTAATCTGATAATGTACATACAATGTAAATTTTCCTGCAATTAGGGAAAATTTGAATAAAATATTTTAAAGAATGTTTTTTGTTGTTTGTTTTAGTGACCTGAAATGCTCATCCATATAATTGTCATTTGTCGGTACTTATCTGTCATAGAAACAAGCTCACACAGACTTATGTTGTGCGAGTGTAATGTCCCACTGGTTCATTTATTGAGAGAGAAATACTGATAACAAAGCTGATAAGTTCATCTAGAACAAAGCTGATAAGTTCATCTAGCAGGAAGTTATTATACCATTGAACCAATTTGTTGCAGCAGGGGCCTCGGTGGCCGAGTGGTCTAAGCAGTTACTACTGTAATCACTAGCCAGTCAACATTGAGGTTGTGAGTTCGAACCCCGCTCCACTCAACCACCAATCTTAATTGACTAGGATTGTCAGTTTTCCTATCGAAGGTCGGTGGTTTTCTCCGGGCACTCAGGCTTCCTCCACCAATAAAAACTGGCCGCCACGAAATAGCCCAAAAGCGGTGCTTAAAAGTGGCGTTAAAACACCAAAAATCAAAATCAAATCAATTTGTTGCAGTAAAACTAGTTTCAGTTTAGGATTTAGATTTTTGATTTTCATTATTTGGTCTAAAACTGATTTTGGTTTACCCATTTTGAAACAATCAAAAAAAATTCTGATATTGGTTTGTTAAACTGTTGTAATCACAAGAGATGGTTTGATCAGTTCCAGTTTTCAAAAAAAAAATTTTCGGAACTAATTTGACTGAATATACAGGAGGTTTATCAAATGTACAAAAACTGATACTAGTTTAGAGGCAACAAATTAGACCACTATTATTTTGACCTCATATTCATGGTTCAGTGATTAACATCAAGCTTTCTTGATCGGTCAGTTTTTTATCTTAGTAATAGTTCTTCTACATTATAAAATAAGGAGATGTGTTATCATTGCCAATGAGAAAACTAACCACAAGAATCCCTATGACATGTATTTAACCAATTTTAGGTCAACATATGACCTTCAACAATGAACAAAACCATACTAAAGTCTTCATGGATTTCCTTGGGATAGGTGAGCAAAACCACAAAATAAAGTATTCATGAAATACAATCTTTCCTCAACAAAAATTAGTACTCACAAGAATAAATGAATCCACTTGTAGTTAAAACATACACAAAGTATAATCACTAAACAACAAGCAGAACTAGTATGCAGAGTGGACAAAATTTGTAAGTCAAGGATTTGTGGTATTAAACCAAGTGAAAACTTGGGGCTTTCAGGACACAGGGGCCAGTCTTATTTGCAACACACCTTCCAGTGGGAATGAGCAATTTTCTACAATACATTATGTAACTAAAAGTGGATATTAGGCAGACATGATTTCTAAACAAAACAAGTATCAGCAACATTTATCTATTGCTTGTGATGTTGACCATCAAGCTAGAGATTCTGACCTTGACTGAAACACCCTTGGAGTAGTGGTGAGAAACCATACCATCATTAAACATTGATTTCATTGATGTACTCAAGATACAATGCAGAGATGAGTTGTGACAGGCAGACAACAAGATTACTGTTGTGTTTTCATTGTGGATAAAAAGGGCCTTACAAAAGAATTTAAAGAAAAGAATCCATATTGATTATTGCTATATGTAAACATACTCACCTGACGAAAAAATCCAAATGCAAGATTAAATCAATAACTCTCACAATATTATTTCAAGTGTATTAGCTGTTTTTAATTTATTTGTTTTTCATCTTTCCTTTAAGATTAAAGGTTCCTCATTGATGGTCATTTAAATGTAAAGTAGAAAATTGTGTCATTTTAAATGTAAAATAGAAAATTGTGTCATTTTAAATGTAAAATAGAAAATTGTGTCATTCTAAATGTAAAATAGAAAATTGTTTCATTTTAAATGTAAAATAGATAATTGTGTCATTTTAAATGTAGAGTAGATAATTGTGTCATTTATTTAAAATTTGACAGTTGTAAACAATGCAATTACAAAACTACCAAACTCCAAGGTTAATTCAAAAAGGGGGAATTCCATTACAACTTACAAAACCAAATGCTTGACTACATCAACCAATGGAGATGACTGTAAAACAACTGTCATAATCCTGACTTAGTACAGGCATTTGCTTCTCTTCCAGGAATAAAGACCAGGTTGACTACAGTAACTTTTCAGTATATATAATGTTTAAAACATTTAAAGTATTTCTCTTTATTTCCTAAATCAACAAAAGAAATATGCACAAATGCCACAATTTTTTTTAAATAATACATCTTTAATATTCTACACTTAGCAATATTAAGAACATACCATTAGATCTTAATGTTCTTTAGAAAAGAGGAGGCAAGGTTAAAGAATTGGTAGATACTATCAGAAAAAAATCTCTGAAAGTAAAAATGTCTTGATTGGCAAAGTAAAAGGATAATATGATCCATCCATCTAAGTGTTAAAAATGTTAAATTCTAATTTTATCATGATTTAGTGTGATGTGCACCTCTTTCACTCAGACCTTTTTTTAACTTGTGTATAATTTATAATTTCCAAATAACATATTTATCAAAAGACAGCCATTTAATTAGTGATTCTGACCAGTATTGCTTACTGTTTACTAAATGCACAACAATTTATATCTTATGTAGTAAATAATTTTCAGGAGTAATTGTTTAAATTAAACTAGCATGCAAACTATAAAATGTGATACAGGACAAATTTCTAATTGTTTTATTAAGAAAATGGATCTTCTTTTATAAAGAATGTCACATATTACAGACAATAATACATTAAAAAGTGCCTGTCAATGGATTGATACTGTAATACATGTATTAATCATCCAATGTTGATTAAACTTGCCTTAGTGCGAGGTGGCCAATACTGGAGGTCATGTTGGATCAGTATATACTTTGGCAAAGAAGTCTTGAGATCTGCCATAAATTGGATATTTAAAAAATAACATAAAACCGTAAAAATTTCTAGTAAATATAAAAATTACTCTTGTTCTTCAACATTTTGACAAATGACAGTTAAGGATCCAGCAGCAGACGTATGAATTTTATAAATAAATGAGATTTAACTTCTAATTCAAAGATATTCTTCATAACTTTTTAATATCCTCTTGTTTACAAATAAACTTTTTAAGCTACAGGCAGTGTATGTACTGGCACATCCCTTTTGTAAAGAATGACAACAGTTTTAATTAAACACTTATCACAACACAGGTAGGCATGTTCATATATATATATATATATATATTCTTATAAAATAAAAGGCAGTGTCCAGATACCCATCATACAATAAATACAATCATTTGACAAAATAAATTGAACACTAGCATGGAACATTAAATAACCTATTTACATAATAAAGAATGTGCCTAGCATTATTTGTTATTACTATGAATTTTCATCTTCCCCTACAGAGGGTTGCTCTGTAGAATCAGATGATAACAACAGATCTTTCCATCTTTGTTCAAAAAATTTCCTCATTGTGTGACCAGCTTTTCCGACATCTGATTCATCTTCGTTAAAAATCATACAGTTATTGAACACAAGTCTGGTATCGGATGCAAATTCACCTCTAGTTTTATACCTGTAAAAAAATCAATACAGATTTAAGTTGATTCAGTAAAAATGAAAAAAAAAAAAAATTACTGAACTGAAAAATTATATCACCTTGAAACTTAGCAAGGGCTGTATAGCTCTCGGATATTGGAGGAATTTTCACGACTTGCCAAAACATCTGCTTCCTCATAATAATAATAAACAGGACTTAACAATTCATCAAAATAAATATAATAAATACCATATCAGACCAATTAAAACTTGTTCATGTATCTTATTTATTTCTCCCTGTAATTTTAAATTGTTCAGTAATTTCAGATATAAAAAAATTTATTTTAAATATTACATTGGCAGAAGCATTGATAAACTTTCAACTAAATTTGCAAAGGGGGGGGGGGCGTGGGATTGTAAAGTTTTGTTCTCAACCAACCCTCATTTATGGATGTGAGACATCAGGCAGACTCAATTGTATCTGTGGTATCATTTATTTAAAGTTTAATGGGATAGATGCATTCAACATAGTTCCCAAACTTTAAATTTTAAACATTGAACGTTGTATGATTATCAAAAAAAAAAACTCTTTCCTTTACTTATATCAGTCTTATTTTAGTACCTGTTACCATGACCTTGGACACAGTGATCTCAAAATAAATACAGAATTGCAATTTGTTTCCAATCCCATGCAAGGTTCTAGAGTTACAATCTTTCCCTGCACTAATTTCAGTCTATATTTAGTAACTTTGACCTTGATCTAAAATGCAGGGACCTTACCCTCAGATCAAAATCAATAAGGATTTTCTTTTTATTATATGCTTCATAGAAATCTTAGACGTACAGAAGATTAATTTGTCAAAAATTGGCAGAGCCCTTATGATCATTCAGAAAGTTCTAAGTGGCCTCACCTGTATTGGTATTAAAATAAATTTAAACTTACAAGCTATCCCTGAGTTTGTTTTTCATTGTAGTAAAATCCATTGGATTTTTTATATATTTTTTGTATGTTGGAAATTGCTTAAAATTGACTGGTTTTAGGAATGGCCATCCATCTTCATGTTTCTCCATTTCTGTTAATACCAATCTACAATCAAAGAAAGAAAATAAATAATACATCTGTAAGACATGAATGTCTCTCCATAAAAAATAAAGAAAAGACAGAAAATTTAATTGGGTAAGTATAAATTAAGGAAGCTCATGACTGCTTTGTTGCACAATTGAATGTATCAAAATTTTCAAGCAATTAAGGGTTAATGCATGTTCATTTTTTTAAGGGGACTTTGAAATATACTAGGGTAAACAAGATTTCAAATGAACCAAGTTCATCAATGTCTTAAATTGCAACCATTCTCTTTTATGGAATATTCAAAGCTAATTACTTCTAATTTTTTAAGTTATTGACAGGTCATTATTAATGGGAATTGCCCATTTAAGGTGAAATATATATAGAGTCTTGAAATAAAAGTTATAGAAGATATTTGAATTTTCGTATGTTTTACAGGAGCATCTTAAGAGAATTGAATAACCAATAAAAATATAATTGATTATTCCACCATTAAGGTTTTGAAAATGTCTGTAACACAAGCTGAGGTTTACATATTTGTTAATTCATTTAACATTTGAACAAACCTGCATGCTGTCATATTCTCCGATTGCTCTGCTGTCCTTATTTTTTCAACATTTTTACCACGTTTCTTTTCAACTGGTATTTCAACAGTTTTCGTTGAAGTTTCAGAATCTTTTCGTTCTCTGCGGACAAAGCTTTCTCTACGTTTCTTTGGACTTCTTTTCTGTTTCTTTTTCATTCCCTAAAAGTATTTAAAAACATTGGGTAAAATTATTCATTTCGAACCATGAGAGAGAATCCTATGATAGACTTCAACAAAATTGTTTTGGTTTCCAAATAGGTTTAATTTCTGGATTCATTGTATGATCCTTAACAAAACTTTTTATGCTTTGATTTTATTTCTTTGTTTCTCTTTGAGACATGTGCTCACCAATTGGGTCCATGTTGGAAAATATCAGAACAAATTTTTTGATGTCTGAGGGTTTTATGTGTGACCCCCTAATGATGGTTTCTTTTCGATATTCTGTAATGTTGGATTTTCTGCTTTTCTCTACCAGGAATACAACTGGGCATCAGCAGTATTGATATACAGCAAATCATATAAAAAATCAATTTTGTAGACATTTCTAACATTTGAGAATTACTAATTTCTCTATTATCTAGGCTATCACAAATATTTTGGGAGACAAACTTAGGATTATGGGTAAAAGATCACACCAGACTTCAGAAGGACTTTGTAATTTCCAGACTCTAGTATTATATATGACTTTGTGTTAGTCACATTCCTCTTGTCTTTTTAAAGACACCCATGAATATTCTGTAAAACGAAAAAAAAATAAATGGCATACTTTTGTATTTTCTTTACTTTAAAAATTACAGTTTTGTATATAGTTTGAAAAAAGCATGAAATAGATATCAAGCCAGGAACCTGATGTTCAGTGGTTGTTGTTTGTTGATGTGGTTCATAAGTGTTTCTCGTTTCTCGTTTTTTATATAGATTAGACTGTTGGTTTTCCTGTTTGAATGGTTTTACACTAGTCATTTTTGGGGCCCTTTATAATTTGCTGTTTGGTGTGAGCCAAGGCTCCATGTTGAAGGCCGTACTTTGACCTATAATGGTTTACTTTTACAAATTGTGACTTGGATGGAGAGTTGTCTCATTGGCCCTCATACCACATCTTCTTATATCTATCACATTTTGAAAACAACACTACTGATATCAATTCAGGGTGTTCAGTCGACTTGTCAGGACTTTAAAATAGAATGGTGTGTATATTCTGAAAATGGAATATGATAATGATGATAATCAATCTAAAATATGACATGTAACATCCTGCAGACATACTTAAATTTCCCAAACAGTGCTAGTTATTTTAATTTGAAAACAAAAAACTAAAGTTTACCTGATTTGCAATACAAGAAGGGCAAGCATATTTCCGTGGCATCCGAGGTAATGGTGGATCTAAACAGTCTATATGTATTGCTCTTGGACAATGATCACATTCAATTATCTTCCCATGCTTTCTTCCACATACTATACAACAAGGTTCACCTGTGGCCTGTATACAAAATAAAAGTGAAATATTTCAGACAAAATTTTATTTATATATAATCTAAAATCTATTTCAAGAAGTCTCACTGAGAATTAAAGTTTAAGATGTAGCAGAGTAGGATTTAGGAAAGGGGCAGGATTCTCTACCCCCCCCCTAAAATGGAGCTAGATTTACGGCTGATTTAGACATTTTACCTGTTCCAATCCAAACATTGTCTAGTTTGGGGGTCCCAAGGCCCCCCTTTTCAAAATCCTGGATCTGCATTGTGTAGAAATGAATTAGGATATTAAGAATAATTGGAGATGTGAGGTATATGTTTATGAGACACAACCAAATGATTTCCAAATGGTCATGACAGAACAATCTTCCAGTCTTCCAGTTGTCAGGGGATAAATTGTCTGTTGTCCCTCAGTGCATGTACAAATTCAGTTAAATTACTCTCCCCCCCCCCCCCCCCCCCATCAAATAAAAAAAAAAAAAAAAAAGGAAGGACCATGTTGAGGAAATTTCAAAGGCTAATACATTGTTTTATGGAAGTTAATTACAGTTTTATCATAATTAACCCTGTTGCATTCATGAATTATCCAGTGAATTTTGTCTAACTGAGTTAAACTTTCACTATAATAAAAAAAAATTTAACTACATTTACAAAGATTTGGATCCTGTTGAAATATTGCTGAAAGTTAAAAATTTAGTAGCTTTCCAAATAATCTAGGTGAAATCATATGCATTATGAAGACCTACCACGATAAATAGAACAGATTTCTTTGAATATATTATGTATCTGACTTGAATAGTTCAAAAATTACCTTAGATATACAAGCATAGCAGTACCAATCACCTTCTGGTATGTTTTCCATCTTCGGCTGAAATGTAAAGTCATCAAAACTGAAATAAGTGAAAAGTAGATTTGTTGCTTTTGAGTTATATTATAAGGATTGCAAAATTGGAATAATGGTGACTTGTGTATCATTCATTCATTGGTGAAGTCATTATTCAGTTTATCTACAATCTCTGACATTTCTTGGTGACTCATCAGATAAAACAAAATTTAAAACATTAGCATTCTGCATTTTTCTTTAATGTATTTAAATTGCTACCAAGGAATTGAACTTTTTATAGTTGAATGTTCAATCTCCTTCTGAACAGAACCTTCTTGGCATTAAAAAAAACAAGGTGTTTTTTACAGAAAACAAAGGTATTAAAACTTACCTTAAAACAGTATGTATGGTAACCTTTATCACAGCCATCACATAACAACAATTCTGCTTCATTATCATCTTTACGGCAAATCTGACATAACTAAAGAAAAAAAAGTACAATTCTGATTCTTCACATAATCATGATGCTTTATATGTATACAAGCTGGTCTGGCTTTACAAATTGGGTCTCCTGTCATAACTGATAAAACTAAAGGCTCTCAAGAGCCTGTGTCACTCACCTGGCTCTAGTTTGGTTTTGGAAATCATGTAAAAATAGAGTAAAATCATAACAGATACCCAAATAATGATTGAGGCCAAATTTGGTTTAATATTGGCCCTGTAATTTAATTAAAAAATCCTGGAAGCTATTTTGAATGGTAAATCGGCAAAAATAGTAGCAACACTTCATCAGCACCTCATAAGGAACATTTATGCCATGTTTGGTTTCATTCCATTCAGTGGTTTTCTAAGAGGACATTTGTATGTATTGTCAAAAGGGTCCTATGTTAAACTAAGTCCCCAGCTTGTGGCCACCTTGGATGATGGAGCAGCTTCATAGTAACAACACTTGGTCAGCACCTCATAAGGAACATTCATGCCGATGTTTGGTTCCATTCCATTCAGTGGTTCTCTAAAAGAAGACATTTGAATGTATTGTCAAAAGGGTCCTATGTTAAACGAAGTCCCCCGCTGACGGCCATCTTGGATGATGGATCTGCTTTAAAGTAAGAGCACTTGGTCAGCACCTCATAGGGAACATTCATGCCATGTTTGGTTCCATTCCAATCAGTAATTTCTAAAAGAAGACATTTGTATGTATTTCCCATAGGGTCCTACGTTAAACTAAGTCCCCCTCTGACAACCATCTTGGATGAAGGATCTGCTTCAAAGTAACAACACGTGGTCAGCACCTCATAAGGAACATTCATGCCATGTTTGGTTCCATTCCAATCAGTTGTTCTCTAAAAGAAGACATTTGTATGTATTTCCCTTATGGTCCTATGTTAAACTAAGTCCCGCACTGGTGGCCATCTTGGATGATGGATCGGCTTCAAAGTAACAACACTTGGTCAGCACCTCATAAGGAACATTCATGCCATGTTTGGTTTCATTCCATTCAGTGGTTCTCTAAAAGAAGAAATTTGTATGTATTTCCCATAGGGTCCTATGTTAAACAAAGTCCCCCGCTGGTGGCCATCTTGGATGATGGATTGGCTTCAAAGTTTCAACACTTGGTCAGCACCTCATAAGGAACATTCATGTCCTGTTTGGTTTCATTCCATTCAGTTGTTCTCTAAAAAAAGACATTTGTATGCATTTCCCATAGGGTCCTATGTTAAACTAAGTCCCCCCCCCTGGCGGCCATCTTGGTTGATGGATCGGCTTCAAAGTAACAACACTTGGTCAGCATCTCATAAGAAACATTCATGCCATATTTGGTTTCATTCCATTCAGTGGTTCTCTAAAAGAAGACATTTGTATGTATTTCCCATAGGGTCCAATGTTAAACTAAGTCCCCTGCTGGTGGCCATCTTGGATGATGAATCAGCTGCAAAGTAACAACACTTGGTCAGCACCTCATAAGGAACATTTATGCCATGTTTGGGTCCATTCCATTCAATGGTTCTCTAAAAAAAGACACATTTGTATGTATTCCCCATAGGGTCCTATGTTAAACTAAGTCCCCCGCTGGCGGCCATCTTGGATGATGGAACGGCTTCAAAGTAACAATACTTGGTCAGCACCTCATTAGGAACATTCATGTCATGTTTGGTTCCATTCCATTCAGTGGTTCTCTAGAAGAAGTTCAAAATGTAAAAAGTTAACGACGGACGACGATGGACAATGGACGCCAAGTGATGAGAATAGCTCACTTGGTCCTTTGGGCAAGGTAAGCTAAAAAGGTCATTTTGAAACAAATGTTCTGCTATACATGAAGATTGTAGTGGTGAAGTATCGTTTATATATCTTAAAAACAAACCTAAACACAAAACATAACTGATTTCACAAAACAAACAAAAAACACTCAGTACATTTTGTGCTTCTGGAGCATCAAATATAGGTCATAGTAATTCAAATTTTTCCGGCAATGCTGTACTATACAGGAAGATAGCTGTCGCTGTGAAATATAATTGATATATCAAAGGTTTTTGAGAAATGGCCCCAATAGAAAACTTATTTTATTATGAACTAGGTAGAACTGTTTTAGTGAACAGTTATCACTAAATAATAATAAAAAATAACAATACAGGTCCTACTTGGGAAGAATGAAATGCAGGTCAAAATTTTTACCTATTTCTAGTTAAAATTTCAAATACTGATTTAAGGCCATTATCACAATTTTGTATTTTTAACAATGACTAGATAGGTAACAGATAATTTTTTTTCTTAAATTTATGTATCAATGAATATTTATTACATTAAAATTAGCATAAACTTGAATTCTCTTCCACATTTCATGAAAGCAGACCCTTTGGTTTTAAGGACCAGAAACATATTGTGCATGCGACAACAAAAAGGATCTAATATTATGTTTCAATGCTTTCTATGAAAAGTTTGACAAAAATCATTGTTTTTCACTTTCTAACATGTTTCTGTTGAAACACTTGAAAATAACTGACTTAATATTAGAGACCCTTAACACAGTGACCCCTTTATTATTGACATGCTACTTGAAGAAAGGGAGATAACTACTGGTAACTTGAAATTACTGGGTCAAAGGTTAAAAAGATTTCTTATTCTTGTTGTCAACTCTGATCTTGGCAACCCATAATTTACAAATATGATATTTTATATGACTATTTTTTTATATAATTCACTTACCACTTTCATAATGGACTTTTCCCATGATATTGCATTATTAAGCTGATAAACACATAAAGTCAACTGAGCAGGAGATTTAGATAAAGCAACAGCATTTCTCCAAGTTAAAAGACCAGATGGTACAGGAGCTGGAGTACTAGGTTGTTCCTCATGATAATTATCTTCATCTCCATTTTCATCACAATGACTAGAATCATGCCCATCATTGAAACTAGATGCAGATATGTTGGCCAAATTTATCTGTTGACTGCAAAAAAAATAATATATCAAATATTCATAATATGTTTATGCATAATCTGATACAACATTTACATTTTGATATTGAAAAATATAAGTCTAGCTTTCCTACAATATAAGATAATAATCTATACAGTGGCAATTTCATCATAGATGTTAGTTTGTCAAAAAATATAACTTAGGTTGAACTTCATTGAAGTATGCCTCCATAAGGCATATGGATACAGGAATTTAAAGAAGTTATGGTTGTACATAATTATTCACAAATAAAGTTCCCACATATGATATATAACATAAACTAGTTTGTATCCATTCTTACAAATCATGTACCCTGGCAAATCTTTTTCTGGGGAGGGTCTAGTGCTCACAAAAATGTTTAACCTAGCAACATTATTTATGTGTCTGTCCAAAGCCAGGAGCCTGCAGTCCTGTAGTTGTGGTTGGTTGTTGTGTGCCATAATATTTTATGTTATTACTGGTAGATTAAATCAGGCTGCTGGGTTTCTCCTTTGAACATTAATATTGTTAAACAGATATGCAGTAGCCCTTTCAGAATCCAAGACATAAGGAGCTGTTTCAGGCAATATTACTCTGTCTGCATGATAAAGACAGAAATAGCGCTTTAATGGATAAATTTGCCATGTTAATTAACGTCCTCTGAATGATATTTCATTAATCCTTGAAATAAGTTAACTTACTTTTTACACAATGGAGGTTTAAGATATCGTCGTTCTATGTTTGGCTCTAGGTTGATAAGTTTTTCTCTGGCAACATCTAGAGGATATTTTTCATTCTCTTTGAGATTTACATGGAATCTATCTACCAACTTAATATCAGATTCATCTGAGATTCTTTGTGGAACTTTCCATCCCTATAACATTTTAAAAAAGTATTCAATTCTAGATATCTAGAGTGGTGTATGAATACTGTTGATCTGCATATATTTATATATATATATATATACATAAGTCCTATCAAGTTGACATATTTCAGATGGACATTTACTTGTTACAACCAAATATTATTACTCTTTCATGTATGCTTACTCAGGAACAAACCTATTCCATAAAACTTTAAACCTGACCAGCAGCATGCAAAAATCAGATCAAGTTATATATGAGATATGTCATGTGAAAGAAATAAACTTGTTACAACAAATCCATATTATCCATATTACAAATATTATTACTGACTTTTCATAAATACTAAAATAGGATCAGATCTTATCTGTAAAACCTAACTTGACAAGTGAAGCTAGAAAATGTGGTCAAGGCTGTATATCACATATTTAAGATGCATATATACTTGTTAAAACATATATACATACTAAATATTGTTGACCTGTAATTGAAGATTTCACAAAAAAAAGTTTTAAATTTTTGTTATCCCATTTCATTAATGCATTTCAACAGTAGGTATTCAAGGTAATCTTCATGGAGGAGATCTTGGGCAAGGAATTTATCACAAAGGAATAATCAGCACTTTTATACAATTCCTTTAATTTGACAAATGCATGCTTTAAGTGTGCTATATCAATTGAACTAAAGTTTGTTAAAAAGCCATCACTACTGCAATAAAACGCTAGTCAGAAAAATTATTTCAATTTCAAAACACATTTCTTCTCTACAGATGTCACCTTTATTAAGCAATAAAATATTAACAAATACAGAAAACACTTTATCAGTCTACTTTTTCAAAACCTAAATAAAGTTGAAATCCAGTAATTAAATCAATACTGAGCAGGTTAAGAAAACATGATGATTTTGGAAGAAGTGCTGTCATACATAATTAGTAACAAGTAGATAAACCTAATGTTTGAGTGAGAAAATCAGGTCAACATAAAATGATAGACTTAATTGCTTCTGTGAACAATTAGAGACAAATTAATTGCTAATCATACTGCATCAAACCAAAATAAACCCTACTCAGAAAAAAATTTAAATAAAATGAAATGTAAAAAAATATCAGATGGAAAATAGAAGGTCACATGATATATACCGGTACATGATATAAAGTAATATAATGAAAATGTAAATATAAATTATCAAACTTACTTTAACCTGTAGACTAGCAGATGCCACCCTTTCCTCCAGATTTTCCACTGCATCCAGCACAGTCAGTTCAACTTGGTGAGCATGATCTATAACAGATTCCTCAGATTCTTTTCTCTTTTTCTTCTTCTTTTTCCCTTGTTTCTCATCCTCATTATCGTCTTCCTTTTTGTCTTCATTAGTTTGCTTATTTTCCTCATCAGAATCAGAGGAGTCAGACGCTTCAAGGGATACAACTGAGAAAAAGTTTAAATGATTATAAATTTTTAGATATAATTATTTTTACGAGTACCAATTTTCCTGGATTCAAGACAAATTGTATTTTCATAGCTACTGGTACTTGATATTGTGGTTTTCACAAATTCTCCATACAAGACTATACAAAATTTGTCATACTTCAAACTTTTAAAAATCTGGTTCACCGTAACCCCCAATTCAATAGTAGCTAGTAACCAACAAATAAAAATGAATTCACAGAAGTTAAAAAAACAGATGGACAAGGGTAACACTTAATGCCCCCTCCAGTGACGACAGGGCCATAAAAAATCTGATTTTATTTATCAGGTAAAGAAAGAGATTTGATTTTAATCAATACATATTTTTTTTTAAATAAATCCATCCTTATACCAAGTTTTATAGTTGTAGGTTTCTTGGTAACTGAGAACTGAGCTTTGATGTAAAATAAAACTTAAGTTAGAGAAACATATATATATATACCGGTATATAGTACACATGTAGTATGGAAGTAGGTCTCTGGAAGTGTCTGTTAAATCTATTCTGCTCCTCTTTAGACTCTGGGGGAATATTGAGCTTATATATAGTATTGTCATATATCTTTTATTGCAGATCATATGAGACACTTTTTAATTTGGTTTAACAAGTTGTTGGTAAGTAACTATCTTCATAATCTTATTGTCATATATCCCTCAATTTTTTTAAAATATTTTTTTGTTAAACCTTAGGGATACTCACCATGTTTATCCCCTTTGCTACATGATTCACAAGCATATTCTTGAAATTTCTGTAATGTTTTTTGAAGATTCTTCTCCCGAATTCCCCTAGGATGACAGCATCTCATCAACTCTCTCACTTGATTCTGATCTACAACTCTCCACCAGCCTTCTGTCATTTCTATTTAAAATCAACATAGATTGACATCAACATTTTAAAAGATAACAAAAGAAGAGCTTTCAAATGTCCCCTGCCTCAGCACATATTTGATCTGTCAGAGGGAATTTACTCCAATAATTTTCATATTCAAGTAAAAAGATCATTCAGGTCGTGAATACATTGCTCATATAAACCTACCTTATAATTTGTACTAAACTGAAAGAAATGTACGCATGAGAGGGCTTACAATGCATTTTTCCATATACTTTACATTTTCAAGTGGTATACCTCCAGTACAGATAGTTGATTATTGCTGACTCAGTGAGTACGAAGTTTTAAACAAAATTGCTAATTTAAACTAGAAGACTAGTAGCCTTATGCTTGTATGTCGATCATTCTTCCTTGTGTCATCATAGCATATGTTTGGTATATGGTCAAGACACATATTTATTGTTGAAGGCAATGTGCAGACCTCTTTTTTTGTATTAACTGTGTTGTTGGGATGCTGTCTCATTGACATATACTCCTCATCTCAATATCCATATACATTTTACAATACTGATCCAATTGACAAATATCTCATTTTTGACACATTTGACCTCATCATGCTCATTGTTTAAGGTTTTGATTTTGGTATTTCCCACAAAAAGAGTATCTCAAGGTCCACTATTATCATTCATAACAAATGAAATAGATCAAGACTTAATAATAATTTTACTCACCTTTTTCAATGGGTTGAGGTTCATCATAAGTATTAATTTCTCCTGGATCATAAAAGCTTGATGTATTTGGTTCCATCTTTGGTGTACTAGGAATTTTGAAAGAATTATTTGTCTCTGAGATTTTCATATTCTGTTTTATTTCACCCTCATCCTGATTTGAATTTGTTAACTGTCCTATTTGGAATGATGAAAAAGTTGGACTTTGAATGGGAAAGGCACTAACAGTTAATGGTGAGAAAAACGGAAGCGAATTATAAGGACCATGCATTCCCAATTGTGATGTGACCTGAGCCACTGATAAATCTTCACAAGGCATTCTTGGTAATATACTGAACCATGGCTTCTGATCGTCATTTGATGTCATTGTTATTTGATCTTGGGCTAATGGAAATGTACTGAATATGGATGATGCGGATGACGTTTTTACTGGTTCATTTTCCTTCTTAAGTAGAGTGTCAATACTGAGAAAGCTTGACTTTGAGTCAGTGGAAGGTGTTGATGATTTTGGATGTTGGTGGGCTGGCAGTGGACTAGAATTTGATTCAGTTGTTTGATTTGAAAATGAGTTAAAGAACATATTGAATGGCGATGGTGAGTATGGAGTGATCAAGGGTGATGAATGAGCATGTGGTATGGTAAGATTAGAGTCCTCACTCCGCTCTGACTTTACTGTAGATAAATTGCACAAATCACTCAATTTATTTGAAGTAGGACTTTGTAAGAAAATATTTTTTGATTCTGTTTGTAAACTTATTGCACTATTTTCCGCTGAAGTAGAAATTTCGCCATTGCAAGATTTCATTTCTGCATCTGACATTGTCTTTTCAGCATCATTGTCTTTTTTTCCTGAGAAATCACTACTTTCCAATTTAATATTCACATTATCAGATACTTCTAAAGATCCTAAATTTGAATTTTCTGAGCTTTTCAATTTCTTCGAAGAAGATGATTCATTTTCTTCCTTAATATCTTTAAAGTTTTCTTTTGTTTGTTCCACTGTCATGCTGGTTGATTCTGATTTAATTTCACAATCCTTTATCATTATTTTTTCTTCAAAATTACCGGATTCTAATCCTTCGACATAAACTCCTCCTGCTTTCGGAAGCACCCAGTATCGTCGCTTGTATCTATCTTGTCCTAATGTTATTGCACGAACTCTATGAGATGCTTTGAACACTTTTGCTCTATGTTGAGCATGTTGCTGAAATACATAAATATCTGTTCTTTTAACTTTGCTAAAATATTAAAACTGTGTGCCACACTCTCTTAAGAGATTGATTTCAGCATGCAAAACATATAAATTTAGAAATTGTAAATAATAATGTATAAAATATTAAAACTACATGTAGATGCAAACCTTAAATAAATAAATGGAGAATGTGTCTATGGGCCACAGATGCCCCAGCTTGTAAATATGCACTAGTCAACTTTTACATACAGATGCAGGATTCATGTAGTTAAGACCGTATTTTATGTTGATTATAAGTATGATTTTCATAACATTTGGTTGAGGCAAACTTAAGTTTTTTCAAGGTTTATAAAGGGACATAACTCATGAATGGTAAAAGTGACACCACCCAATTTCAGACTTGATCTGTGTTTTGTAGTAATAAGCATTGTGCATAAGTTTTATAACATTGGGTTGAGGCAAACTGAAGTTAGAGAACGGAAACCAAAATAATGTTCTCATCAATCAAACCCTCTCTCTCTCTCTCTCTCTCTCTCTCTCTCTCTCTCTCTCTCCCCATTGAAAACAGATGACTTTAAAGTAAACCATTGAAAACAGATGACTTTAAAGTTGTTCAGTTCAATTTTACGTATATGAAAATAAGGAGATGTGGAACAAGTTGTCTCATAATGACATTAGCAATCACACCAACAAAAGAATTAACTCCATAGTACCTTTTGTTACGGTTTCTCAACAGTCCTTCTCAATGGAATGAAAAAAGTAGTCTTTTTTGTTCTTACAGTGAATATGAATTATCTCTAGTATATTTATCTTTTATTAAATGTATTTAAGCATTTAAGCATTTAGAACAGCTGAAGTGGAAGCAAATTATAATTCCATACCTTTTGTAACTTCTCAATCTTTTTCTCACATTCTTCTAAACTAAGATTCTCATCTTCCTGGAATAGACCATAATAAACTGATACAGCAACTCTACTACAAGATTATTGCTGTACCTTTCAATTTGAAAAAAAATAGCTTGAAAAAAAAATGGACAAAAGACAAGATATACAAGGATGAAAGCTTATATCAAAGGATATAGACTTTTGCATTTTTTCATATCAACAGCTACTGAAAGTTTTTCAGTGATACACTGCAGAATTCACACCTGATAATAAATTTTACTACTATACAATATAAATTAAAATTCCTTTTGACAAACTAAATGGAATCTTCCAAAACTATTTTATAATAGATGGAAATCAACTTAGAATTGGTATTTATTTTGGTAAATGTTTCTGACTTACCTCCATTTCCCCTTCATTATCTTTTACAGACTGATTTTCATCATATTCATTTCCACTTTCATCATCTTTTTCCTCTTCTTCATCACTTCCTCTTTTACTAACACTTAAACACGTACTCTCATCACCATCTTGACAAGTTAGAATACTGTCGTCACCATCCTTTGTGTGGACTGAGCTATCATCTTCTCTAACTGGCTTAGTAGGAGACCGGAACTTTTTACCTTGTTTTACTCTTAACCTTGAAACACAATTTTCGACAACTGTAATTATTCTATTCTTTTAAAAGTCATACAATTAACTGTAATGATATAAAATTTCTTATCTGTAGATATACTGTACACTGTAAAACACAAATTTTCTGTTTATGGTACGACATTGTCCTTATTCAGACAATATGAAATAATATGGACCCTCCTTTCTTCTTAGTTTATGTACCAAGTTATATGAGATGTCAGTGTATCATTTTACTATTGTATCAAGCTGTTGATTACGGTTTTTTAAAATTTTTTAACTTGACTTGTTACTTGGACCACTGACCTTAAATAGTAATCTTCCTACCCTTTTTATCATTATATGAGTCAAAAATATTGAACAATATGTTAAGTTTGATTTATGATGATTAGGTTTTAACCTTGATCTACTGTGAATTCAGAAATTATTGCGAGGTTTTTATTAACGTGAATAACGCGACTTCTTGAGTATCGCAATAATAAAAACTCGCATTCTGATATCAAATACATATATCTGTATATTGCTTTTCTAAAATTCGCAATAGTTAAATTCGCATTTTTGTTAATTTTTAAAAAATCGCAATAATAAAAGCACGCAATAATTTCTGAATTTACAGTATGCTTGCACTTTAATCTATGAACTTCAGGATCAATATTCAATTAGAGTGACACAAGTCTCCTCCTTGTGTTTCAAAGGAACATAACACTTTTAAAAATAAATAATTCAATTTCTACTATACTTTGAAATGCACAACTACCAATTATATGTAAACTGTTGGGAAATTTTAACTTTAACCTGATCGGTGAACCACAAAATATGGGTGGAATGTTTAAAGGCTCAAAGGAAGCTAAACAACTCACCAGGCAATCATCAGGTGCAAAGGGATCACACCATGGCAATACAATAAATAGGAAACACATTGATAAAAATTCAAAATATATATATCAAATGTGTTTTAAAAATTGACATACTGCATTTACATTGGTTTGTTGATGAAATCCCAAAGTAATGTCCTGGCGTCCATTTTTTTTTTTTTTTTTGTGTGTGTGTGTTGCTAGCTTTTTCTGTAATTGACTTTTCCCCGTAATTTCTATTTTTTTGTATTTGTGCAGATGTAAAGTATTAACTGACCTTCGAAGTTGTCCTTCTATTACCCATTTGTCTCTTCGAATATCACCCATGTGGTCTAAATTCTTCTCTATTTCACTAAAAAATACAAAATAATTTTTTAACAGTGTCCACTTTTCATAACTGAAGAGACTGGAAAGAGCTTTAGTCACATCTATGATAATACTACTGACTAAACCCCAGTACCTGCATAATAGGTGATGAAAAACTCTGGAAAGGCAGATTGCATCATCAAATAATTATGTTTAAAATAACACTGTTTACAAGGAGATGCATCTTGCAAATTTTGCAGCAAAATTAAAAACAGCACTTTGATCGACAGCCATATCGTTTCAATTATATTGAATAAGATAAAATGAATCAAGTATTTCTTATACTTGCCACATTTGTAAGCATAAATTTGGTGTTGCATGACTTATGGAGTTGAAATTTATGAAAAAAAAAGAGATATTAAGACACTACTAAAACAACATTCCAAATGATCAATCAAATTATTCTTTGTAAGCAAAGGCAGGGGGAAATATTAGATAAGACATTATAAAATCTTAGGATATTACTCTTCTGTTAGAATATGAAGTGTTTCATTATTGTGTAGCTATTGGATGCATGGATGCTTTTATTCAACCAACCTCATTTCCTTGAAAACCCATTTGATCAATTTTGAGCTTTAAACAAATAGTTTACACTGCAGTCACCAAATTAGCATCCCTATGCCATTTGAATATTATAAAAATTATGGCAACTATGTAGAATGATGACACAAGAAAAGTGTATCATTGAAAATCATTAGAAAAAAATGTGTAGCTCTTCTATCCATATACACTCACCATGAAATAGACTTTCCACATAACAACTCATTACAAAGGAAGGCCAAGATTGATGCTCTTTGGTTTTGATGAAGTGATTCTAATGGTTTTTCTTGTAACCAATCACTCATCTGAAAGGAGATAACATATTTTTACCCTAATGATACAGCACTACTTGTTTTTGTTGTTTTTTTTTTTAGAGTTTTCTGGAAAACAAAGTAAACCAATTTTTTTTTGACAAAAAAAGATCAGGCATTAGCGTAACATGGAAATTGCTGAAATTTCATTCTTTCTAAAGCATCTTTTAAAATCATCTCAAAGCTTCTATTTTTGCTTTTAATCATATGATAAAAGTATAAATTTCAATTTACATATTTACATTGAAAATCTTTAAAATAACTCTTCCAAAACTGCTTCAACTTGAGACATGAAAAATATTTTTGTGAATTGCCTGTATGTTGAAGCAGATGAAGTGAAAGAATTAATCACACACTACTGAAAGTATAAACACAAAAATATGAGTCACCCAGTTGAAAGGTTTCAACTATCTCTTCATTCAGTGACATGAAATATCACCATTGGGTATCAGAGATTTTCTGGTCTCGCACAGTTACTGTTAATTCCTTACCTCATTTGGTTTACCATTCCTTGCAGTGATAAAGATGCAAAGAACCTCCGATACAACACCATCACTTATATCAACATCTATGATCTTCTGTCCTAGCTTCGTAACTGCCTAAAATGATACATTACATCTATTTCTTGACATAGACTATGATGTCTTGAAATTTGCATTTATCAATCTTTAAACTTATCTATTCACAAAAGAATATTTAATTTATTAGCTCTTGGGTGGGTTTTTTTTATTACTGTATAAGTCTTCAACTTAAAAGTTCTCTTTTGTAAGCTGAAACCATGTTTCATTTGTAATGTGTTGGTTAATGTATAATGAATTACTTGTTACTTTGAGAATTGTAATACATGTAAGTGTGTCATAATTGTGTGGTCCAATAATGTAGGGAGGGACTATAACTAGAAATGAATTTTTAAATGTAACCTCTGAAAAAATGCGGTGCAATTATTTTGCAAAAAAAACCAAGAATGACAGCACCATGAAGATGGTAATTATATTACACATTTTGCCCACTGTGTTGTAAATATTTCTCCTTACCTCCTTTGGATTTGGAACACCAGGATCCATTACAGCATATCGAGTAAGATGTGAAGTCAGAGCTATATAATCTTCCATATCTTCCTCATTTCTTCCAATAACAGCCTCCTGAAGTGTCCTCAAAGTTGGCAAGGTATCACTTTCTACTAAAAGTAAGTTAAGGTTAGCACACATATTACATCTTTAAATAACTCATCAACATGACTTATGTGCACAAGACCTTTATGATAATATATTTAATCTGAAGGTAAAATAATGCATGCTTTAATCAACAAAATTCTAAACTCTCTATATTCCAAAAGACATGAATTGTTTAACAGATTCTTAATTATATAAAATGCTTCGCTGAGCGCAGCCTGATACGACCGCAGAGGCAAACCCTGAACAGTTTGGGCAAATTTGGACACAATATTCAAGCTTGATACTGTCTGAATTTGGATTGTGATCAAAGTTTTGACATAATATAGGTTTCTGACACAAAATAAATGTGGTCTATGATCTTATAAATCCATTGCGCAATTGAAGATTTCTTCTTGAAACTTTTCAAAAATTTCGAAATTTTTAAAATTTTGTAAAAAAATATGAATCCCTTAAAAAAATTGGGAAAAAAATTCCCCTCCCCCACTTTTTGAAACCCCCCTTGGAGCAATAACCCCAAAACACAATCCCAGCCTTTCCTTTGTAGTATGGAACCTTGTAGTACAATTTCAGAGAGATCCATACACTTACACACAAGTTATTGTCTGGAAACTAGAAAAATGCTTGTTTTTGGCCCTTTTTTGGCCCCTAATTCCTGCATGTTTGGGACAATTAACCCCAATCTCAATCCCAGCCTTCCCTTTGTTATATGGAACCCTGTGGTACAATGTCAGAGAGATCCATACACTTACACACAAGTTATTGTCTGGGAACTAGAAAAATGCTTGTTTTTGGACCCTTTTTGGCCCTTAATTCCTAAACTATTGTCCCCCATAACCCCTAAAATGAATCCCACCCTTCTACTTGTGTTATTAAACATTGTGGTACAATTTCAGAGCAATCGAAATACTTATACACAAGTTATTATCCTGAAACTAGAAAAATGCTTGTTTTGGGCCCCTTTTTGGGCCCCTAATCCCTAAACAGTTAAGACCATCATCCCCAAAATCAATCCCAACCTTCCTTTTGTGGTATTGAAATTTCTTAAAAAATTTCATAGAGATCCATTCACTTAAACTAAAGTTATTGTCTGGAAACCAATGTGTCTTCGGTCGACGTCGCAGACGATGACGACATCATACCATTATACGATCCCAAAATTTTTTTTGCCGTCGTATAAAAAGTGAACATCATTCCCTATCATCAACCTGATGAACTGTTTCCTTTTCCACAAACAAAACACTTGAGTTGACTTATAATTAATTATATTCCAATATCAAATTGAAAATGCATTGTTTTGATGAATTTTTTTTTTTACCAAAAGCAGGGTTTCACAGGATGGGCTATTAAAATGCTTTTTTTCCCCATTTAAATAAACAATGTGAGCATCTCAAGACACACCTCAGATTTTATTTTATAAACATTTTTAAATGTATAACAACAACTGGTTACTACCAAAAGTCTTATTTGATTATAAGAAATTTACAGTTGGTTGAAATTTATCCATGATTTTCCGACAAAAAATGGGAATTTCAACTTTGCAATAAAGAGTTCATTTTTTGAATCATGAGATAATTCTATACAGAAATGACATAGGAATGAATGTTTTGAGTAGTATTGATACCCCTGCTTAGTGATAAGGTAAAAAAACACATTAAAAATACCAGAATAAAAATTATCAAATCCAAAGTAGCACTGAGTAATTATACGACATACAAATTGCCAACAGAATTAATACTGTAGAACACTAACCAAAATATAGCAGGGCCTCAATTACAAAGATTTAAAATATTAATTTAAATTGTACATACCAAAACCAAGAGCATCTGAAAAATTATGCAAAAATTCTAAAACCATCAGGATATCAGCAAATGCATTCCCATCCAATTCTATTCCTTTTATCCTTGGATACTCTGGTAATACCTGGAAGAATATTTAAGACATTAACTTTATATCTTTACAATTTAGATAAATGATTTCAGAATGTTGGAAGGTGTTCAATTTCTCTTTTTAAACCGTGTCATGGTCAATGAAAGGAGAAAATGAAACGTCATTATACTGCTGTAATAACAATGTAGGAGCATTTTCCATTCTTTCAGACAATTATTTTTAATTCATGGAACACATTTATTGAATTTACCCAATTTATTTTTCTGTTTCACTTGCCACCAGAATAGATTTCTTTTGACTTCTGGTGAAATTTTGATGCCATGTTTATGTCATGAAACAGGAGTCTGCCATTAGGATGAACAGATACCCATGGTAACCAAAAGGTGTCTCTCATTAAAAATTTAATTGTTTCCCTCAATAATTACAGATTAAAGGAATGTTTTAAACCTTATTCCATAAAAGGCTGACACAAAAACAATTTGGGCAGATGAAATTTGAAGAATGAACATGTGCTCATAATTCATGCAAAAATTTGTCGATCGGATAATTTCAAAAGCATAATTTTAACATGATTGGGACACATTATATCTTAAAACTTTTAAGTTTGTAAATTTTAGATTGTTCTTAAATTATGTACATTTTCTTTTTTCTGCTAGTATTTATTGTTGAACTCAAAAGAAATATTTACCCTGGCTTCTTTTAGCTGCATGTCATCAACTGGTCTCCTTAGTTCTCTAAGTAATTGTAGCTCCTGTCGCCTTTGCTCCTACAAATAGAAATTTTGATTTAGACCAAGAAGCATATTATCATAAATAATTGAACAACCAGCCAAAAATCAAACTCTGTAACCTCTCATATCAAGACTATGTATATTTTCAAGTAAACTTGTTTTACGCTGTTAAATCTATTCACAGCTATTTTTAATCAGGGGGATTTGGAGTTTGACATATTTATGGACACCTGTTTATCGTTGAAGATAATTTGTCTCCAGGGATGCCAATTCTCACGCATTTAGCGTGAGACTCACACATTTTCATGCTTATTTGGCGTCATTTTCCTTTGATCTATTGTTTTTTCTCTTTGATCTTTACGATTTTGGCCAAATCCACGCATTTGCATTATTAAAAGTTGGCAGAACTGTGTCTCCAGCTTTTTGTGTTTTTAGTGACTGTCTCATGTATACCCCATATCTCCTTTTACTTTTATTGAGTTAACTTTCCTTCTCAGTATTAGATCTGTTAGAGGGCAGTTGATTCATCAATCCAATTCTTGAAGGAGATTATTGAGGTCTCATTTACACAAAGTAATTGGCACTTTTTCAGATTTTTCTAAATTCTTACATAGTACAAATGGCAACCATTTTTGACAGAAATTAGGTCATTAACTAGAAAATTTAAAGAGCTTTATGAATGTATCCTTTATTCCAAGTTTGGTACCCATTGAAACACTGCAGGATTTGTAAATTTTAAAACAATTTTGTCCATTTGTCAATTTTTTAAATGATAGTGTCCATATTTGATGACCATTAGGATCATTAATTATAATTCTTAAAGGGAATTGTTACCATTTTTCTTTCTCTTGAAATCTTCTTCTCAGCCATTCTTGATTCCTTTATTCTATCTTTCTCCTATTAATATAAATTAAATCACTGTTCACCTTTATTCTATTTGCAATCTACTAATTACTATTTTTATCAGCTTTTGAAGCGCATATACTACAGTAGTAGGGGAAGATAACGTATACAAATTTAATGCATTTGCCATTATTTTTACCATGTTTCTTAAAAGTCTCCGAAATTCCCAGAAACAGCCCCAACGTTTTCTAAATGGGTATATAAATATGAAAGCATTTGCATAGGAAAATGAACATGCTGTATATTATTATTAAAGCACACAAATTCTACTATGGTTGGCATAAGGCAAATAAAGGCTATACTTCTCTATCATTAATAAGTTAACAGGCCAATAATAATGCTAAATTTGTCAAAAATGCTTTACTTTGCATAATTTTATAGGTACATTTTCTTTAGTATGGGATATATCAGGTTTGGTATTTTTGGTATTCAAATTTGCTTTACAACAATGCCCTTAAAATCTAAATGAGTGTGCCAAAGTGCTCTTTGGTGTACAATTTTGTAATTAAATAGTAAATATCAGGACCTTAAGTCTTTTATAGGTCTTCCATTATGTATTGTCTTACCGCCTGCTTCTTTTGTGCCTCTAATGCTTTCACCAACAGTATATGCTGACGTCTTCTTTCTCTATCCTGCTAAAAACATTATTATGTTAATACTGATTTGAAAACTACATAAAAGAAGAATTGTCCATTGTAATAGAGTGCCCTACCACTAAACGTGACATTAGATTATCGTAAGATTTCCATAATACTCATAGGGCCTTTTACTGTTTTCTTGAAAATTTCCTCTGGAAAGAAACCTTGAAAATTATTCAAATTTGTCTATTTTCATCATTAATAAGGGCAAAACTTGAAATTTGTTATGATGTATGCATAGTGGTTGAAGTGGCAGTATACTCCAGATATTAGGCATTAAGTCTTTTTAATTTATTAATTTTCTACATTATTAAGGGCATAACTTTGAAACTAGATGTCAGCACACTTAGCTGGAGAAATCAAATTGACCAAGTTCGTTCTGATATATCATCCAGAATATACATTCTTTGTAAAAATAAAGAAATTTTAGATATTATTATTAGGAAAACATGTTTCAATGGGTATGCTCTGCCTCTAATCAACTAATGCTGTATTATTTGGGGAGAATGTTAAATTGAAGGGATAAAAAGAATATTTTACCTCAAAAAAAGACCAGCAAGATTTATTCATTTGAAGAATTGGGTAGACAATAGTTGAAAATATAGTAACTGCATCACAGGGTATAACTTGGGTGAATGACTGTTGAAAATAGAGTTACCATGTATCGGGGTATAGCATTCTGACATTAAGCCATATAACAAATTTCAGAGAGCTCTGATTTGTAGTTTCTGAGAAAAATGTGACAGAAATTTTATGGAATGATCAGTTATAAGGAGCTGGGATGTAATAATAAGTTTAAAGTAAATTCAATTTTACCGTATTAACTTGTTCTTTCATCAATAAAGCCTGCTGCCTTTTCATTTCTCTATCCTACAAAAGGTCAACCATTATTAACAGTCATTATCGCTTTAAATTCAAAGTAAATAATAAAAATCCAAACTGAAATTACATTATATAATCATTCACAATTTGATAAAGTAAAGAGTTTTATTTTCTGATGTTCCAGGAAAAATGATCAGTTCATGAATTGACAAACATTTAAATTTTACTAAATGTAGTATAACTAAAATTTAAATTTTACATAATAACATTGATTAAAACATACACAATGTAATGTATCAAGTAAAGCTAAAGGCTCTTGCAAGTCTGCATCCCTAATGATGCTAATATAGCAAGATTATACCAGGAATTCAACAATATTTTTCCTTAAGAAGAACCTTTAAATCATCAACCTTGTCAAAATCTGGTTTCCCATTGAACTAGCAGGTCTTTTCAAATGTTTATTTCCATCACACTCAAATGTTAAAATAATTATCACACTGATATCCTAATTGATTAGTTGAATGACAGGTTAGTCACTTTAAAACTTAAAAGTTTCAAATGCTGGTCTTACTGATATGCTTAATAGCACTGATGTATAAACTCAGAGGTTCACAAAGTGCATACTTGCTACGCAACTACTTCATTTCCATTGGTTCTTATCTGGTACAGAGAATTTCAAAACACTTCCTGTACATTCAATGTAAAAATACAAGATGAAATTGGACATATGTTTAAAAACTACAGTCATAGCTTATATCTTAGTCAGTCACAGATATTTCAAATGAAAGCATTCCTGTCAAAACTAGTTCAAACTGGCTGGCAGACAAGGTTTCTCTAAATTTTGAAAGGGGACCATGGCAGTACTAACTGGCATATGTTTCCATTAGACTCTGCAATAGTAGACTGGTCAACTAAAACAAAGTTTATCAAAACCACCAGTCCAAAGACACCAACAATGACAATGAAAGCATGATTCCAAAATTTTATTGCAAATGTTGGGGGTTTTGTAAAAAAAAGTATAAATTTTGGCTTTTGGTTTTTGGATACCATGTAACTTGGTTCACATTGTTGCTCTGACAATTCTTGTTCCATGGCAGTATTGCAAATGTAATATTTTAACAATGGGTATAGTCAGAAGTATCAGAAAAAAATCTGTTTTGTATCTTATTTAAATTTCATTTCATACATTATCATCTTGGCAATAAAGCTTGTAGCTAGGTGGGCCGGTAGAGAGGTTAATACTAGTAGACTAATCAACACTAATGGGTAAACAGTGGAATGTTTGAATTCGATCTCTATGTAAGCTCTGATAACTTGCTAAAGTTGACCAAATCACAGGCACTGGGTTACAAGATATTGATATTTCATTTGTCATTGTTTGAACTGAATATTAAATTTCCTTCATTTATACCGCATACCTTATCCTAAAGTAGTTTTTTTTTTAGTGCCAATTTTAAAATTAGGGGTTGAAATTTTGAAAATTTAATATTTTGTGTAAACAAAGGTAAATACAATATCAATAGCCTGTACCCAAGAGCCTGTGGAACAACTCAAAGTAGCACAAGGATATCTGATTAAGAAAGAGATACATTATAGGAATATTGCTTACATATACATTCATTATATTACAGCCTCATCATGTTCATTTTTATCCTAGAAAATCACCTTCATTCTAACTTTTGGACTTTTAAAAAGTATATGAATAATATATTTTCTTAACCTAGAACAAAAAAGAACAAACCTTATTTGCAAATGATGGGGAAAAAGGCATTTTTAATAACTAGGTGGAATTGTTTAAGTGGACTAAAACATATATGTTTCTCCTTCATCTATAGCAAGTAAAGAAGTCACTCCATTAAAGGAAAGATGCAACAAACACATGGAAAGGTATTGTCATGACAAATAAGAACATATATGGTATAATGGTAGGGATTTTAACAGTTGCAGAGGTATTTAAACAATTAATGATATGAGAGGGTAGGGGAATGACCTTTGGCACAACTTTGATAAGCATACCGGTAATTTCCCAGTGTCAAACTCTAAGGGTATAAAATAAGAATATATATTGTTTAAGGGTTGACATAAAAAATTACCTTAAAGGCCAAGGTCAGTGGTCATCTCCATTTGTATGTGCCACATTGTCTTACGGGTCTGCACCCATGAGCAAAATATGAAAAATCTATGAATAAGGATAAAAAGTTGTGTTCTGGACATGAAAATGTCAGAAATAAACTGTCAACACAGAATTTTGTTTCACCTTTTTGTTATTTTGATAGTAAAATGCAAATGTTGAACTTAGAATAGCAATACTTTAACATTTTATTTATGCAAAATATTCAAAGTCAATGAACCATTACTGAAGATAGAGGCCCAAACAATCTAGATGAAAATGAGATGTGCCAATGCTAATACAACAGCATACCAAATATCATTGACCTACCACTAGTGGTTATCCACAAACTGACCTAATCACAAACTAATACATGTAAACTAAGCAAAAGTTTCAAAGACAATAGAACATGACTGAGGGGGCGGGGCCAAATAATCTCCGTGGAAATGAGACGCGCGAATGCTTATACAACTGCATACCAAATACCATTGACCTACCAGTAGTGGTTCCCCATAAACTGACATAATCACAAACTAAAACATTGTTAACGCCTGCTGCTGCCACGGGAATCAGCATACCTCTCTTTTTGACTCCGTCAAGGTGATACAAAATTTAGCTATTTTGACCTTTAGGTCAAAGCCAAGGTGGCATGAAGGTAATGATGATATATAACTCTCTGCCTTATGGTAATTCATCTTCATGTAAAAATCATGTCAATGTCAAAAGATCTTTAAATAAATGTGGATGCCCCCGCTTGCATATCATATAGTTATAAAGGGACATAACTGAAGAACAGTTAAAGTGAAGCTATGCAAATTTGAACTTGATCTGAGTTTTGTGGTAATAAGCATTGTGTTTAAGTCTCATTACATTTGGTTGAGGCTAACTAAAATAAAGAACAGAAACTAAAAATTCAGCAATTTTTATGTTTATAAAGGGACATAACTCAAGAATGGTAAAAGTGACACCACCAAATTTAGTACTTAATCTGTGTTATGTAGTAATAAGCATTGTGTATAAGTTTCATAACATTTGGTTGAGGCAAACTAAAGTTAGAGAATGGAAACAAAAAATTTGTACTTGATCTTAGTTTTGTGGTAATGAATATTGTGAATAGGTTTCATAATTTTTGGTTGGGGCAAACTTAAGTTATAGAATGGAAACTAAAAATTATGCAATGTTTCGATTTATAAAGGGGCATAACTCAATAATGGTTAAAGTGACACTACCCAAATTCAACTTGATCTGTGTTTTATCAGTGGAAGGCAAAATTAAACATTGCACTGTATAAAGCATTAATTGTAGTTGATTCAACTATAATCATGGACAAAGGAAGATAACTCAAATTTAAAAATTACTTGAATAATGACATTGATATTTTGAGAAATTACATTTAGTTAAGACAAACTCAAGTTAGAGAACGGAAACGAAAAATTCAGCAATTTTTTCATTTGTAAAGGGGTATAACCCTAGAATGGTAATCAAAGTGCTTGTAAGCACTGAATGGTAAAGATTGCTTTAATTTATCAGTAGGAAGTAAAATTGAATATTGCATTGTATAAAGCATTGGTTGTAGTTGATTCAACTACCATTATGCACAAAGAAAGATAAATCAATTTTCAAAGAAGACTTTAAAATATTTTTAGAAATGAAGGGTAAAAATTGCTTTAATTTATCAGTGGAAGGCAAAATTAAACATTGCATTGTATACAACATTGATTGTAGTTGATTCAACGGAAGATAACTCGAATTTTAAAAATAACTTGATATTTAGACAAAAAAATTAAAAAATTTAGCAATTTTTCCATTTGTAAAGGGCATAACTCTAGAACAATAAAAGTGACGGCACCAAAATTCAAACTTGATCTGTATATTATGGTAATAAGCATTGTGTATAAGTTTCATAACATTTGGTTGAGGCAAACTTAAGTTAAAGAACGGAAATGAAAAATTTAGCAATTTTTCCATTTATAAAGGGGCATAACTCTAGAACGGTATAAGTGACGCCACAAAAATTCAAACTTGATCTGTATTAAGTGGTAATAAGCATTGTGTATAAGTTTAATAACATTTGGTTGAGGCAAACTAAAGTTAGAGAACGGAAACCAACTTTGGGACGTACGTACGGACGGACGTACTTACAGACGGACAAGGGTAAAACTTAATGCCCCCTCCACTACGGCGGGGGCATAAAAATTTGGCCCAGTCAAGGTTGTATGAGAACAGAAAGAAGAAAAATACTATATGGTATGTAATTTCTCCCTTTGTAGAAGGAGAGACATAACTTTTTTTTTACAATTTAATAAAATAAGAAGGTTTTCTGGAAAACAGATCATGCACTAGTTCAAATGAAAATAATATAGCTGTAATATAAACTGAATATAGTACTTAATTTATCAATGAAAATAATATAAGTACTACACCCTTAGTAATAATACAATAATAAGCCTGCTACAGAAAGAATATATTATATTAATGATGTCCAAGCCATAGATTATACAGAAAGTTTATATGCAAATTAAAAAAACAAGAATGAAGCTATGATCTTCAAAGTAAAACAGAGAGTTAGCATACAGATAAAATACATGAATATGGCAGCACTTACTCTCTCCATATGATACCACAGTAAATTTGTCTGGAAAATTATAACATACAAATAATGACATATACAGCAGAACTGTTAAGGTGTATTACAAAACATATATCAGATAACAGACAATGATAACAAAGTAAACTTGAACATGGTTCCAATGTTCTTCCCAGAATTTGATATTTCATGAAGCTATTGCAGCCTGATATGCACTTTATTTTTTTTGTAAATAACATGCATTGATAAGGTTCTTCCAACAAGTATAACATAATTCTGACAAATACACAAACACAAATGGTTTTTTATCAATTCCAACCCATCTAATTACTCATGCAATATATTACATAAAATATGCATCCTAACATTGTGTATTGTCCGTGATCTTTTACTCCAAAATTAAAATTGTCAGGCAGGGGTGTGAATTATAGAGTACAGTGAAAAACTCAATTTTGCGACATTTGTTACATTACGCAATGTTTGTTCTTGAAATTGTAGGAGCACCCTTATTTATGGTCAAATACTATAGTTAACCTAATCCATACTTATATGCAATTTTAATTCAAAATTTCAATATTGACTGAAAAATATCAAAATTAAATGCTTTAAAAATTTCCCCTTTATTTTCATAGCATTGCATTACGATGTATAACCTACAAACCATAATCTTTTATTTGTTCAGATTTGGTGTTCAAAATCCTTCAAATATCAATGTTTAATATATGCCGGGACAAATTCGGCCAGGCTACTAAATTTTAGGCTGGGCCCCTAAATTTTAGCTGAAAATGTCCATAGTACTCTAGATGAAAAATGTTAGTTGTTTTCCATGTCTAAGACTTGGGAAGATTTAGATTTTGACATATTGTATAGACACCTGTCTATTGTTGAAGACAATATTGTTGCCCTCTAGATGTCTTTTGATTATTTTTGCCATTGGGTTGCTGTCTCATTGACATATATCCTGCATATCTTTTTATTCAAAGCATTGCAATAAAATGTTCATAGCAATGTCATTGATTTGATTCTCAAGGTCAAAATTGAAAAAATCTGTGGTATAGCTGTAATTTTTTTTTAAATGTATGTTTAAAACAGGGTTAATTTCTTAAATAAATAAGATACAAAACATTGCCTATCAACAATTTTTAATCATGAAAAGAGAAGCAATTTTGAATGAAGAAGACATAAAACTGTTTTTCAATAGAATTATAAATGACATTTAGAACCTGACAGTTTCACACGTTTTTCATTTTAATTCTGACTAACAGGGAATTTGGAAAATATGTTCATGCAGAAAAATTGAATGTATGAAGTCAACTTTCTTCAATAGACAGGTTTAAAAATGTATAATACAATAACTGACATCTGTTCTGCCAAGGTATATCATTAATGGGGGGTCTCATTGGGGGGTTCTGATCCCGGATCCTGCTTACTGTTTTGTCAGATTCCCGTATCCCGCTTACACTATGAACGTAAGCAATTCTCATTTTTTTGTAATTTCCTGTTTCCCGCTAGACTTCATTTCCCGTTTTCACGGCACAATAATTTGACTTTCACGTGTCATGCTTACAAAAAATCGGCAATCCCGTGTCATGCTTAGACCCCAATGAGACCCACTTAATGAAAGTGTATTTGATTTAACCATCAAAAATATATTGACACTGACTTTAAACCAGTAAACCAAGCTGCATGGTTGTTGAAAAACTAGAGGCTTTAATGAACATGTGTCGCTCACCTGCATCTTCAACAATGGCCACTTTTTAGTAAAAATCATCATAAAAGAAAATAACTCTATTAAGAGTTAACTGACAATTTCAGTCATGTTGACATGTTTGTAGATCTTATCCTGCTGATAATTTTTCCTTTATAAAATTTCTATTTATTTATTATAGTTTTCAACAAAAAATGCTTAAAAATGTAAAAAATTATCATTTAAGGGCATTAACTCAAATAATGAGTCGACTGAAGATTTCGGCCATTATGGCACATTTGTAGAAACTGACTTGCTGATCATTTGAGCTATTCAAAGTTTCTATCCATCTATTACAGTTTTCAAGAAAATAGGCAAAAATAGGAAAAATTGGGAAATCATCAATACACGGCAAGAACTTCAATAAGGAGTCAACTAACGATTTAGATTGTAATTAGATTTATTTTGTTTTATTCTCAAGAGAAAAGAGTGGACTGTTATTAAATGGTGCTGTAAGTTAGTACATATATCTGTGATGTGAAATCTACAGTTTTGACATTTGTGCTCCCAAACATTCATTTGAAGACAAAAAGTAATATATATACAATGTATAAGTAAAAGTTCTAACCTCTAATATTTGTTGAGCTCTCAATTCACGCTCCATTCTCATTTGTTCATGTCTCTGAAGTTTTTCTTGTTCTTTCAACAATCTAAGCTGTTCCTGTTGTTTCCTTTTTTCTAAAGCTTTTATACAAATAGAAAAATTATTGAATTCATACAATCAGTCTCAAAATGACAATTAATATATAAGCTATGTTTTGAGTGTTAAAAAACTCTTTGATAAGCTATGTTTCGAGTGTTAAAAAACTCTTTGATAACTTATGTTCTATTGCAAGTCAGTTACACTTCATTGACAGTTATGACTTAACTAATATATACTACATTACCACTTAAATCTAAAGTTTTCGAGATAATAGGCCAAAAAATGAAAATTAGACAAAAATCGTCATTTGAGGGCAAAATCTCTTTCAAAAAGTCATCTGTTAATTTTTGGTGAAATAGGAAGTAGGTGTATCTCGAAATCATTAGCATTTTAGCCCATGTCAGATTTTCTCCATCTTTATAGTTTTCAAGATATAAGACAGTTAATGCATTTTACCCATATGTTGTATTTTAAGCCTTGGGGGCCATGTTTGTTGATTAACCAGAATAAAAGACACAAATTTCATACTAGGTACCCTAAGGAACATTCACCCCTAGTTTGGTTGAAATTGGTTCAGTTATTTCAGAGAAGATCTTTGAGCAAATTTATGCCAGACAACAACAAACGCTGAGTGATTTCTAAAGCTCACATGGCCTTTTAGGCTGCATCTGATCGTCACTTGATTCTAAAGCCCAATCTGTGTTAAAAAACTTCCAAAACACCTGGCAAACTAAAGAGTTATATTACAATAATCTGGGTTGTCACATTATAATCTTTACCAGTTTAACAGAAAATGCAGGTAACCAATTGTTCTATGACATAAAGACTAACTTAAATTTTAAACATTGAGATCACCAAGTATAATATCTATCCATAATTGTATTATCATCATAACTATGTTTTACTTGTCCAAGTGTGTCCTAATTTCAAAAGGAGAAGGTCCGGTACGGGCTAGTTTTGGCCTAAAATTCAAAGTACATCTGATGAAAGATTTTTAACATTTTTTAAACGCTTAAGTGTCTACGTCAGTCAATTCAATTAGTTTATGTCAAAGATTTGAACTGATTTTGTCATTAAAGACGCTCAAATTCAAGCTTTTATATGAAAAATCTATAAAATATGCCATAAAACGTCACTTTTCAGATGGTTTTTGTCGAAAATGTAAGTGGCCGCATTGGTTTTCAGTCTCAAGCTTTATATATGCTATGTATTCTCATCAAATACAACATAAATTTAAATATAAAGACTGACCACAAATGCGGCCACTTCCATTTTAGACAAAATCCGTCTTTAAATTAGCACAAATGCTAAAATTTCAGTAATTTTGCATGAATTTATGATGCTAATACCTGATACATGTGCATAGTATTGTCAAAAACAGCCCATATTTATGGAACATTAGTATTCTACTTTCCAATAAATAGCTAAAAGTTTACATTTCAACAAATTGTAAAAACGCTATATTTTGGGGCCAAAAAGGGGTCTTACCGCGCCTACTCCTTTCTCCAATCTAAACAATTAAATGTTGAATCTATTTACTTCAATAAACATTGATATTTTTGTTTAAAATATTTCCTTTTTATATGTTATACAACAATAGAATGATTTGATATAGTTAACCACTATAATTATACAAAACCTTGACCATCAGACTCAAACATGCTTAGAAAAAATATACAGAACAACTCATGCCAAAAAAATATTAACAATGAATACCTGCTTGTTGGAAAAGAAATATTTTGAGCAACACTTCTACTTTCTGTTAATTTAGCCAAACTATATCTAATATTTTTTCTGACCATCATGAAAAGAATTTGAAGAGAACAGTGTGTCATCCTTAAGAGTCTTTTGTAGAGGAAACATGTGTCTGGTGTACAAAATTTTAATCCTGGTATCTATGATGAGTTTATTTAGCTATAAATAAACTGGAAAACTAGGCCAACAAATGTTTATGACTACAGAAATTTAATTTTACATCTTACTAATAATCATTGAAATCTATGATTTATGAAATTTTTGAAGAAAAAAAAATCTGAAGAAATGACTTTCAGATACTTTTTGGTAAAAATGTTACTTTCCTTAAACATATAACACATTTTAAATTTCTTCAGTCACTTATTACACATAACTGTTATTGTTATAATAAATATATGATGCCACAATTGAAACATTCATGATACATGGTAATATTTGTGGTTTGCATACAGTCTAAGAAGCTTGAAAGTCAAGTTTTACAAATGAAACACATTTTTACATTCCTCTAAAAATTAACATCGGATATATTTGTTTGAAAAGTTCTGAATCTTTTGGAAAAGACTGAATTTCTTCAATTTGCTGAAGACATCCCAGTCTTGAAAATCGACTCATATGAGAGCATTAGTCTGCATGCCTATCTGTTGGCATTTGAATGTATGCCTATCTGTTGGCATTTGAATAAGAGCATGAGTCTGTATGCCTATCTGTTGGCATTTGAATGAGGGCATTAATCTGTATGCCTATCTGTTGGCATTTGAATGAGAGCATTAGTCTGTATGCCTATCTGTTGGCATTTGAACATATGACATTGCAATATATGCAATTGTAATGTTAGTTTCAAATTTGATGACAACAAATTTGCATACCTTTCACATGCTTGATTCTATGAGCCATATCCTTCAGACGCTGTTTTTCTGATGTCTTCTGAAGCTTATACTCTGCCGCTTTCCTTGCCATATCTTGAAAAGAATGACTTTATTCATTTGAAGGTACTTTTTCTTTTTGTGGTTTTTACAAAAAAGATTTAAAGGATATCGTCACAATAAATTCATCTTGTTTATTATCATTATCTATGAATAGAGCGCTCCATGTATATTTCTTCATAAACATTTAATGACTTAATAACTTTTCATGGACTTTTACCCAACAGAATGGACAACAACTGCATTTTGTAAATAAAAGTGATAGCCCTGGAGTAAGAAGGATGCATTTTTTTTTTATTGCAAAGGCTTCTAGATTCATGCATGCTAGTATAGTCATGTGTTGCTTCATAAATCAATTGTGAGGCAAATTGTTCAAGTTGGATATATCTTAAGATTAAAATTCCTTTCAGCACAGTCAGAAGATATTCAATAAATCTCTTGTGCATTTTATTCAAGGTGTAAGAGAGAATTAAGGAAATATACAGTTACACTATTTGTAGTCTTGGGCCAAAATTCATTTACTGAAATTTCTACATACCAGTATTCATGCCATTTTTGGGGATTACAGACCTTTGCCAGATGTAATGTCATTTGCCAACAACATATTAAGCAAGACATTACAACATGTAACAGACATAAAACGTTATGTAGATAAATGATGTATGTGTTTTGTAATGGAGAAAAGAGGCTTTTACTGCAACACAAACTTACCCTGTTGTTCAACTTTCTTTTTAAATTTTTGTTCCATCATTTGTTTAGCTAACAAAATTTGTTTATTCTGTTTTTCTGATTTCTTCTTTCCTCTTTGTTCTTTTAGTTTTCTGAGTTTCTGTCTTTTACTTTCAATCAAAGTCATTCTCTGAACAATTTCTCCCTGTGTTAATTTAACTATCTCCTGAAAAGTATAGAAATCTTTATTACTTACAATCAGGTTTGAAAAAAATACTTTTCCTCATGTGCAAAGATTTATCTGCACTACTGATCGAGGACCAATTACCTTCAGTTACCAGTTACCGTCACCAGCCACTTTATTCAATAACGGAAGCTTTGAGTAAAAACAACAGACTACTGATATCTTCAGACAAATATTTTTACTTCATTTGTAAAAATTCCATTTTGTGATCCGATAAAGATAAGGAAATGCTGAATTATCTGTAAATCAAACATGGCATTGGTAGATACACTTGTGGGGCCAGGATGTCATCGTGTTATGACATCCTTGATTTTGGAAAACTTAATGTTTTAAGACCAAGCAATATCTAACCTTGCTTTAGAATAAACAAAATCTTTCAAAAGAATTTGAAAAGATTTATAATTTTCAAAATTAAAGTCTATACATCTCTTGGATACAGTGTGAGTGGTTGATTTCAAGTGAGATAAAGTTCACATTCAGAGCAGGAAGGAGACTTTCTGAATTTATGGTCAGAATGGCGATGAAAATATGTTTGGTTTGTTTGACATACCTCCTTCTCTTCTTGCCACGCAATCACAAAAAATAACATTAGTGTCCCAGTTAAATGTAAATTCTATCATTCAATGGCAAGATTCAAAAGTGACAATAACTAGTCATTAATACTAGAAACCAGCTAATTGCTTTTTATAAGAGATATTAAAGTCAAAATCTATGGTGGTAAACCTAACTTCTGGTAACCCTTTTCATGTTAAAAGAATATTTCCCAAAAGAATCTCTGCTAAAAATTGTTTGAGAAAAATTGAAAATTACTGACGTTTATTGGTACTCTACCAGTAGCATTGGAAAAACTAAATGGTGATTTTCATATAAACAGAAATTTATTTCTAGAAAAGATATTTTTTTGACAAATTTCTGCAACCTTATTAATTGTTATTTTATTTCAAGAAATGGCAGTTTCTCATCAGATGAACTGGTCAATTTATACAAATATTCTGAATACCAAAATGATTTTTAGGGAGAGATGTCATCTGAGAACATATTTTGTTTAGAATTGTTTTTTAATAATCTATATATGTATTTATGGTTCTATATTGAATAATATTTCGAAGTGACAGTCATCTTTTACTTGCACCACTTTGGGTGCAATTTGCAGAGCAGAGACTGTTTTTCTTTCAAGAGAACATGTATTACTGGTAAATTATTAAGCCAGGGATTTCGTTACCACAAATTACTTAAAACCTTTACTAAATTCTTCCACAGATATAAAGATTTGGTTTTGAAGTTTGGTTGTACCTGTAGAAAACTTATTTCAAACGGGATTGCACATCCTCATTTTTACGGCAATATTGTTTACCGTGCCCGGAAATTTAGAAACGATCCTGGTAAACTTATCGATCCTTTAAATAAACTTATTCTAAAGGGTTACCAAAACAACACTGTAATTAGATCATTAAATATTGTTTTTATTGGTACTAATAATGATTTGGTTATCAGTAAATTAAAAGCAAACTAAATATTATTGTTATATACACATACACATTCATGGATCTACAATCTGTCGATACCTGTATCTTGGCATTGCATAAGGTCATGTTTTTCTCTGACTGTTTATGACGTTTTTACACTAAATCCATTGGATGTTGGATGTGTACGGATTGATAATTTAGTCTTAGATGCATGATTTTTTTTATTAGTTGTTAATGGCTTTGAACTAGCTGTTAGTAACTGCGAGTACTCTCAGATCTGTACTGAGTGTCTTTTTGTTGTTTGGATGTACAAGTACCCGGCCACGTCCATTTGAATTTGTAGTATTTGTATTTTTATCCATCTGATGAGTTCAGCCTCTTTCAACTGATTTTTATAGTTCGTTCTTATGTTGTACTGTTACACCACTGTCCCAGGTTAGGGGGAGGGATGGGATCCCGCTAACATGTTTAACACCGCCACATTCTGTATGTATGTGCCTGTCCCAAGTCAGTAGCCTGTAATTCAGTGGTTGTCATTTGTTTGTGTGTTACATATTTGTTATTCGTTCATTTTTTGTACATAAATTAGGCCGTTAGTTTTCTCGTTTGAATTGTTTTACATTGTCATTTTGGGGCCTTTTATAGCTGACTGTGCGGTATGGGCTTTGCTCATTGTTGAAGGCCGTACGGAGACCTATAGTTGTTAATTTCTCTGTCATTTGGTCTCTTGTGGAGAGTTGTCTCATTGGCAATCATACCACATCTTCTTTTTTATATGAGTTGGTTTTCAGTGAGATTCAAATTGCTCAAGCTTGAATTTTTTAGCAATGTTTAGCAAATAACTATTTGTCTTTATTCTTTTACCTGTAAGATATGAACCAATGTATTTTTCCTTTTTGCAACTTTTTCTTGATAAAGAAATGACATTTATAAACTAATATGGATTAGGGACCAACAAATGTGTTTTGTATTCTTCAAGATTCACACTTACATTTTCTTCTCCTCTCTGTTCATAGAAGTCACCAACATTTACTCTAGTACAGAATGAAAAATTTTCCCTCCCAAGGTTGGTGATCACATGTTTATCAATATACTGAAAAATAAATGTCAACTGCTTATAAAATGAAATAGGAGATTTCTGAGTTATGTCCTTCGGGGAAAAGTTCGCCAATTATGCACGCCTTTAAATGTCATTTACTAGATAGAGGGGCACACCCATATCCATGCACTATTAAAGTACATCAAGCGTCTTTGGGATTGTCATTATGCAGGATAATCTAGAAATGTCACAAGGGTATTTAATCACAATTTCATAACGACTGTGCTGATTAACAATTGTTACAATTTAATATACCCAATATTTTGTGCATAATAGCATAAATTTGATTCAACTACACTATCAACATGATATGGAAATGACGATTCCCCTAAAAGCATATATGAATGTTGTTCACTAAATTCAAAGTTTTTGACAGATTAGCAATGCACTAAAAGATGGTCTCGAATATGAAGTCCATTGTTTCCAGATAAAAATGTTTTTAGTTGATTACAAATGACATTGAAATATGACTCTTTTTGTCTAACTTTTCTTATAAAACTTTGACAAACACAACCACAAATAGGACAAAAACAGAAATGTTGGTGAAAGTTGAACAAAATGTCTGGATTTCAAACAAATTTAAACCTAGAAAACCTTTAACACAGGCTTTGACAAAACTAACGATTCTAGAAGGATATGTAAATTGTTATAACTAACATAATGTTAAACGATTTTTTTTGTTTCGGCATGCCCTCTATGTTTTCAGTCCTAAAAATCAACGAAAATTGACCTGTTTTCATGGAATTTTCGTGGAAGTCAAAATTTGTGCTATTTAAGACGTCATGAAAACAACACTTATCTGTAAATTTTCAACAAAAAGATCTATTTCCTATCTAGTCATTGTTTTAGCTATGATTCATTGTGATATTGGTCAATAATCATAAGCTTAAATTTCTAGCAGAAAATATGAGCCATGTTAAGGCCTAACCTACTTCTTTAGACATGTTTATGACTTCATAGCACATGTAACTTTACAACTAAAATTTCTGTACTTCTACGTCCAAATTAAATAATTCTGTTCATTTATCAATAAATATCCACAATTCTGAATCGATTCACGAATTTTAAACTCTTTGCAATTTTAGGTGGTCAGATAAAGATAAATGTTTAGGATGGATAGACAAAGTGTGTATACTGATCTTAAAAGCTTCAGAATATACATTACATATCTTGATAATTTTATGGTATTTTCTGACAATATCATATATCACAAGTGTACTCACTCTCATTACATCTGGAATTGTTTTCATTTTTTTGCCACAAGGAGCAAAGTAAAGAACTTCTCCTATAAACCCTCTTTTTCCAATGGCAAGTATTGTGGTTGATCGTTTCCACCCTCTTTCTAAAGGTACCTTTAATTCTCTTTCATCTGTCTGAACTCTTGGTCTTTTACTAGTTGAAGATGATCCATCATAATCTAAAAATTGTTTCAATTGATGTAATTATAAGGTATTTCAAAACATAATACTTCCAAGAAATTTAAATCAAATGTATAGTGGTATAGAATATGGTAACTTCATGCTACATTTATATGAATAAGGTTAATAGTGGTATAGAATATGGTAACTTCATGCTACATTTATATCCGTTTTTATTCTGTAGTTAGTCACCACTTCGGTGTTATCATGTATATCTATTATATAGTCATTTTCATAAATTTACTGTTTGCAAAAGTATGAATTATTCTAAATACTAAGGATTTTCTTATCCCAGACATATAACCTTAGCCGTATTTGGCACAACTTTTTGGATTTTTTGGTCCTCAATGCTCTTCAACTTTGTACTTGTTTTGGCTTTGGAACTTTTTTGATCTGAGCGTCACTGGTTAGTCTTGTGTGGACGAAACGTGTGTCTTGCGTATTAAATTTTAAACCTGGCCCTTTTGTTAGCTATTATTCGTATGTTTCTCTGTCCTATATGTTCTCCCATTTATTTGTATTGTAGTCCTGTCATGTAATGTTCTCATTTTAATGTTATATTTAACATTGCCATAAAAGCGGGAGGTTTGGCTAGCCACAAAACCAGGTTCAACCCACCATTTTTTTCTTAAAATGTCCTGTATCAAGTCAGGAAAATGGCCATTGTTATATAATAGTTCGTTTCTGTGTGTGCTACATTTTAATGTTGTGTTTCTGTTGTGTCGTAGTTCTCCTCTTATATTTGATGTGTTTCCCTCAGTTTTAGTTTGTAACTCGGATTTGTTTTTTTTTCAATCGATTTATGAATTTCCAACAGCAGTATACTACTGTTGCCTTTATTTATATGAATAAGGTTAATAGTGGTATAGAATATGGTAACTTCATGCTACATTTATATTAATAAGGTTAATAGTGGTATAGAATATGGTAACTTCATGCTACATTTATATGAATAAGGTTAATAGTGGTATAGAATATGGTAACTTCATGCTACATTTATATGAATAATGGTGCTATAAACAGTTTCGTATAAAAAACTAGGGGTTATTCCCCGACTAAAAATAAACATGGAGGGAAATCCCTTTTTATTTACATAATTGGTGAAAAAGTATCATGTTTTTTGTATTTGATGGTAAAATTTGTTAGATAGCTTTCAACTAAAACAGGTTGAATTATTAAAATAATTTTTGAAATTAGATTAAACATACATGTTTAAAGGGGAGACAACACTGCAAACGTCTTGTTTTTTTGGTAGTGAAAATTGAAAACTTATTTGTAGCTACTGTAGCTCTTTCCGAAGCAGGCGAACATACCCTGAAGTGAGAATTTTTTAAAAGACCAGGTAAAAATCCATGAAATACATACAGTTTTGTTTATCTGAAATGTGCCTGTATCATGCCTACATTGGTGTGCACATGACCTGATTTCAGGTTTTTCATGTTGAGATTGGGCTTTTTTTTTTCATTTTCACTAGATAGAACTTTTATTATTTCATTATAAACTAGAGAAAATTCTGATTCCAGTGATATCTAGTTTTATACAAGTAGCTTTAATAACAAAACCCCCACTAAGGGTCACTTATGCATGGTCCCTCAAAATATGACGTCATAGAAAAAAAATGGGGAATGTGTCCATGGGACACAGATGATGCCCCCGCTTGCGTATAACATTATAAAGGGACATAACTCAAGAATGATAATAATGACGCTACCCAAATTCATACTTGATCTTAGTTTTGTGGTAATAAGCATTGTGTATTAGTTTCATAACATTTGGTTGAGGCAAACTTAAATTAGAGAATGAAACAAAAAAATTCAGCAATTTTTCCATTTGTAAAGGGACATAACTCTAGAACGGTAAAAGTGATGCCACCAAAATTCAAACTTGATCTGTGTTTTGTGGTAATATTCATTGTGTGCAACAGTCATAACATTTGGTTGAGGCAAACTTAAGTCAGAGAACGGAAACGAAAAATTCAGCAATTTTTCCATTTGTAAAGGGGCATAACTCTAGAACAGTAAAAGTGACGCCACCAAAATTTAAACTTGATCTGTGTTTTGTGGTAATAAGCTTTGTGTATAAGTTTCATAACATTTGGTTGAGGCAAACTAAAGTTAGAGAACAGAAACGAAAAATTTAGCAATTTTCCATTTGTAAAGGGGCATAACTCTAGAACAGTAAAAGTGATGCCACCAAAATTCATATTTGATCTGTGTTTTGTGGTAATAAGCATTGTGTATAAGTTTAAAAACATTTGGTTGAGGCAAACTAATGTTAGAGAACGGATACCAATTTTGGGACGTTCGTATGTACGTACGGACGGATGTACAGACAGACAAGGGTAAAACTTAATGCCCCCCTCCGCTACAGCGGAGGCATAAAAACTGTTGATTGCACCCTAAGGTTAATAGTGGTATAGAATATGGTTACTTCATGCTACATTTATATGAATAAGGTTAATAGTGGTATAGAATATGGTAACTTCATGCTACCGGGTACTTTTATATGAATAAGGTGAATAGTGGTAGAGAATATGGTAACCTCATGCTACATTTATATGAATAAGGTTAATAGTGGTATAGAATATGGTAACTTCATGCTACATTTATATGAATAAGGTTGATTGGTCAGTGGATTTATTACATATTTCTTAAACTTCAAAACATTGGTATTATAAATGTTTGGTTTTCAACAATTTCCAGTACCGGTAGTTTAAAAGGACATGATCTTTTATAATGGTATTACATAATAAATGGAAAAGCTATTTTCAGCAATGAGTTGAGACTGTCTCTAAGATGGACATTTTAACTTTATGAATCAGTGTTTGTGCCTTGAGTGGCATGTGACATAAATGCATGTCCCCAAATAGGAACAAAGTGAGGAGTCTTTGTTTTATTATTAAATTTACAAAGATTCCACATAACACTTTTAGAGAACAGCTTAATAACTGTGCAATCAAGAATACTTTGGTGACCATGTTTTTCCTTAAAATATCAAAATAAAATTAAGCCTTTTATAAAAGGGATACAATGTTTTAAAGGAGATTTTTCTTATATTAATTTCTAATATGTCTTTCAATTATCATGAAGCTTCCAACATCCACTTTATCAGTAGTAAAAAAATATCATTTGACAGCAACTCATATAATGACAGTTTGAAGCTCAAACTTTCAATCATGGTCCATATATATATTTTCTACATGTGCTTTTATGAAACTGTGACAACTATACTACCCTACATGAATGTAAAAATGTAAAAAAAAAAAATAGCTCATATCAGGTAGGGGTGGGAGTAATATGGTTGCCACACAATCAATGGTATAGACCATAGATATTTACTATTGTCTTAAATGCATCCATAGGCAACTCTGAAAGGAGGTATAATGGCCAGTTCAGTTGAAATTGGAAACACTAACACACTGTTTTTTCAGAAACCTTAAAAATAGGACATTTTGACTGACCTGGCCTGCCATAAATGTTTCTCATGCAAGACAATGATGTCAAAGTTAACAAGAAAGTGCTGCTGTAACTACAATGTATTATTTGAATGACAAAGAACACAGTTACATCAACATTGGTCTGTCAAGGTTAAATCATTGTCCAAATATAAACTGAAATTGTTCATATTTCAGCAGGGGTTGGTTTGTGAGTATTTTACTATAATTCTAAAATGTAGCATCTCCCCGTACTTCATATTAAACTTTTGTTATCAAAACCATGAACTTTATGTAAAAAGCAAAGGTCAAAGAACCATCAGACATATATTCTTGAAAAGTCTTTATGTATTCTTTGATAAAGAAAGTTTCATGTTAATATCATATCTATATGATATTACTTCCTGAAACCTAACATGTAATTAAATCAAAGACTAACAAACATTACAAAAATTGAAATGCTACCATGCAAAATAAAAAAAACAATCTATAAAAAATCAGCCTTACAAGAAAACGCAAATATGCTACTTCCTGTACTCTGCAGTAACTTAATTAGTATCAAGCTCACCTTCCGACATTTCATCAGCACTCCTTTTCATTGCTAGATTTGATGTGTCACTCTCTTCATTTCTGTCTTCTGAATCATATTCAGCAGCCTGAGATCCTTCACTATCGCTGGAATCATCCTCGTCGCATGTTGTATTTTGCTCTGATTCAGTCCTTATTCTTGTGAACACATTTTCATCACTTTTGTTATCTTGTTCAACCTCTGTCCGAATTTTATTAAACAATGTTTCTGCAAATAACTTTGATCTTTCAGTTGGTGATGGCACTGGAGGAGATACAGCTGGATCACCATGTTTGTGACTTGGTGATCCAATATTTAGGGACAGATTGGTAGGTGAATCTACACGTTTTCTTGTTGATGATTCTAGTTTTGATATGTGATTGTGAGATTGAGATCCTGATTTAGTTTTTTGAGAAGATATAGTCTGTTGTTTATGAGAAGGTGATGTCATTGTTAGTCTACCAGTAGGCGAGGACAACCTAGGTTTGACAGTTTGAGATGCACTATTATTGTCTGAAGAAGGTAACTTGGATGCTGCTTTTAATTTATCAATAGAAGCCTGAAAAAATGAAAAATACATTGGTTTTAGTATTTACCTCCTATTAATGATATATAACATATAAGAGACTGTTGATGGTTTGCAAGATAGAGGCCATGTTAAAATGGAGGTTAATAAAATCAAATTAATTCACATGACATTGTTTTTTCATGCAGACAACATGTTGTTAATCCAAACCAGTCCTCACAACTAGAGGCTCCTAGGAGCAATTATTATTTCGGAGTTTTTGATTAGTTTACTGTTTCCTTCAAATGAATAACTATTTATTACTAATTTTTGTCACAAAAAGGTTTAAATACCGGTACGCCTTCCAAGAGTTTTAAGTTTTTCTTCATAAAAAGGGTGTTCTGAAATATTTTTTATATAAAACCTGTCAAGATTACAGAACGGATGGAGTCTAGTTGCTGTCAATAAATTTGAAATCTCGAAAATTATCATAAACAGTTATTTCAGAGTCAAGTGCTTTCCCTGTACTAATTTTTGTATGTTCTTTTATTTGTACTTGTATATAGTCCATTGATTAAGATTAAAAGTTGGAAGGTTGAGATCTGAAAAAAATTAGGTTATACCAAATACATGTACATTTGTCTGTCCCATGTAAGATATCTCTAATAGTTTCTGTTTAATTCTTATACAACTTTTTAAGACTTGGATAGCTTGACTATATTAATTTAACCCCCATGTTCTATTTTGCATGATAGTGGCTTTGTTGGTCTCTGTTTCTCGATCCTCAGACATAACTATGGAAATAAATCCTGTTAAGGATGATACAGGCATAGTTCAAACAAAATTGGCCCAGTAGTTTCACAGAACATTTGTAAAAATAGTTTATGAAGGACAAAAGACAACTAACAATGGATCCCAATTATAAATGGTAATACAGTAACTCAAACGATAAGCTTAAACTTTGAATCATTGACTTTAGGACCAGTCTACTGTGGGATTGGTGTAGGGTGTGGGTATTTATAGATCATGCCATGATTAAATTTCTCTCCATAATTTTTCTCTCTGTTTTGCCTGAGCAAAATTGAAATGTGCAAATAACTTGAGTAAGGATTTTTAGATCTCAGTTAAAGGGGCACTCACTAGCTGTCAAATTCATGTTCACCGATTTGACTCAAATTCTCATATTTGATTTATAACCATGTAAAACATTTATCCAAATTATAAAAAGTCTAAAACAAACAATTTACAGGGCATGAGCTTGATAATATGTAGCTTCGTTTCGTGTGTATTTTAGTCTTGACGCCATTTAATTAACTATCAAGTTGACCTCCGAAGACCTGTGATAGCCATATAAGTGATTTAAACATAAATATAGATATAAATAGAAAGCCAACTCGTGCAATTGGATTTTTCTAGGTCTGTTTAATTTCATATTATAGATTAAAAATATATGTTAGTCATCGTTTTTACCTGTATAAGAATTATTTTTTGTGGATCAGTCAGTCAATCAATTGATTTACCTTTGTTTCACTTTCAATGTTGACATTCTTTTCCTTTAAATAACACAACACGCACACGGTAAATTGAAGTTCACATGAATATGGATTCAATGAGGTTGTATTATTCACTTGCAAGTAAATAATTCATCATCAATGTTTCTTAGCTTAATTGGACAAAATTGAACCATACTGGCTGCTAAAAGCAAATTATTATTTCACTTTCATTAATAATTGAACAAAAAAAATAATACTTTCGATTTTTTATAAATCTCTTAGCTAGTGCCCCTTTAAAGTCACATGTTGACTATAAATCTTTAAAATAAGATGGTTATACCTGTAAGCTTTTTGATTTTGGCTTAAATGTACCAGAAGATGACTGGCTTTCAGCCTGTTCACTTGGTAATGGTTTACCAAGATTAGCGTGAGCTTCTAACAACTGATTAATTTTAGCTGAAGTTTCCATGTCCTTCAGTTCTTGAGCTTTTTTAAACATTTTGAGCTGAATCTGTTGTTCTTTAAGATTAGCCTCAAACTGCTTCTTTAGTTCTTCCTGTTGTTTTTTATATTCCTGTCAAAAAAGACAGGTTCCAAACATTACATATAGCACTGTTATTGTCTGACAATCAAACAAAAATATAAATTCATGCTTAGTGCAGCTTAACATGGCTGTCCTAAATAAACAACTTCTTTCAAGCCTATTCAGCACTAAAGATCTCAAAATATATTGGGGTATCTAAGAAAGCTCTCTCAAGAAGAAACCTAATGAAAACATTACCATTGGTAAAGGATTGGTAAACTTACTTCTAAGTTTCAAATGAGATTTGTCACTTAGTCTGTAGAACTATAAATATTTTAACAATAGTCAGAATAAATCAGTCTTTTTTTTTACTTTTTGAGTAGAAAATGTCATTATATTTACTTATATAAATCAAGTTTCAAAAAGGCTCCATTGTCAATTTTGCTTCAATATAAGACTCAAACTGTCCCAATAAGCTTAAACTTAAACTCTAAATTTCTAGCTAGCTACATATTTCCTGTTATATGTCAGCAAACATTGTTATCCCTCAATTTTTCACCACTACTTTCAATAAATGTAAACATATTGTTGTGTTCTGAATATATTTTGTGCCTCCAATTAAAGCACAATTTTTAATTAACCTTCATCAGGAACCATTAAACCAAAATAACCTACAGCTTCATAGGTTTCTCTATCTAATACCACCAAAGTAAAAACATCTATAATTACAAAATACCTCTGAGTCTTATATAAACATGAAATATGATACATATTTTATCAGTAATACATTTACCTGAATTTCTTCTAATGCAATTCCCTCTTTTGAAGCCGACTTTGGTGGTCTCCCTCTGCCTCGCTTCATAGGCTGAAGTATAGATGGCGTTGTACTTTGAGTAGGTTTACTTTGGACTCTCTGACGAATCTGGTCAGCAATCAGTTTCTTCTTCAGGCCATCAATATGAATTGTTGAGCCTGCATTCTGTTTTGAAACAAAGAGAAATTAACCTTACATGTTGTTTTCGTTGGTTTGTAATTAACAATGCACTATTTCTTTAGAGTAAGATTTACCTACTGCGTAAATTATCTGAGATTACTCATAAAAAGTATTGTTTTATCATTCCAAGAATACTTGTAATGAGAATGGTAAATGATTAAATCTATCTTTGCAATAAGCTAATCTAAAATCAATTACAACAATTGGTTGCTTCCTTACTTTTGATTTTTCCTCTCCTTTGGCATTAGAACCATCATCACTTAGATAAGAACTACAAGAACTGATGTCAGACTGACAGTCATTTTCTAGTACACCATTCTCTTTCTGAAATATTTTATTTATAAAAATATATTAAAATTTATACATTATCTTTTACATTGTAAGCCAATCTGTGAATCTTCTCATTAAATTTGTTCTTATCAAATAATAGCATGTATCTTTGTTAATAACTAAAGGTTTTAAGGATCTTTCCTTGCTCTCATCTTGCCTTTATGCTAAAATAGATTTTTAATATGAAAAATGTCCTTGAACTTTATACTCAATACCTAAATAGCAAAAAAAGTCTCAGAAAAGTATTAATGACACTATTTCAATTCAGCATTACACATTTTTATTGTAAAAGATGAGGTAAAGTAAAGATATCTTTTGATGTTTTTGTGTCACTGAATTCCCCTATACCCATATCTCTATAAAGAAAAATCAAATGTCAGGCATTGAAAAGCAGAATTTGAAGTAGGAGCTCGTCATGGGACACAGATGATGACCTGCTGCGGCGGGGGCATTAAAATTAAAACAACATAATATATTGTTAAGTACATTCACAAATATTTCTACAAACTTAGTTAAGGTTTAAACAGCTTTAAATATATATCTGGAATGTTTTACCAAGTAAATAATTTTCCACAGATCAGAAGACTGTATTGTGAACATAGATTTTATTATCTAATTTTGTTTCTCTTCTTGTGATGTTCAAGTAGATGGAGGGTTTAGATTAAAATCTATAAAATTTTTTTTAATAATTTACCAAAATGTAGTTTATATCATTCTTTTAAAAAAAATATAATAAACACTATGGTTCACAGAGCTTTTTTCAACCCACAGATTGTGAAAAATTGTCAGATTTTTATATAAATTATACAATTATATAAGGTCAAATCCAACTTAATGGCCACAAATATCTTCACAGTTTAAAAATAAATTGAATTACCCCCCTTTGACTAACATATGTATTGAATTTATCAGGTGAAATGTTCTTTACTATTTCATTGGTTAATGAAAACTTTTCATGTTATGTCAATACAAAAAGATTTAAGTTTTCTTTCAATGAACATTAAAAGACTATCGGTAGAATACTTCGGACTGAATTCACATTTCAAACAGTTGTAAAAATTAATAGACAGGCATTTTTTAATTAAACTACCAGCCCTAGGATAATTCACACAATGTTTACTCTGAAAATTCAAAATGCTTATTTCCAATCTAATTCAAATCAGCTGTTAGATTTTGCTACGATTCTCTCCAGCCTAGAGGGAGTGTAGCATATCACAACATCGGATTTTAATCAGATTGCATTATTTCCTACCAAAACCTATTTAAACTGGTCCAACAGACTAATTTTCAATTTTTTTGCAGAAAACTTCTCAGTAGAAATGTGTTTTGTGGGATCATAGAAAACAATTTAAAAAAAAAACACCACATAGAACCAATTCAACAACAGTTGGTTCCAAAACATCTTGTAACAGCAAAAATAAGGATCCAGCTTTTTTTATGCATCTTGACCAACCAATTCTACCCAAACCCATTTTACTTTCAATGAAAAGAAAGCCTTTGTCTGTTAATGGGTAGGATTAATCAAAATAATTATAAAACTAGATACTTTGTGGATGATCACAACAAGATCTGTAAGTGGCAGTGAAATACAACAATAATGGTTTTTTTTACATTAAAACTTTTAAATAAATTGCTAGTGATACTATTGTATATTAATGTCTGATATTTTGATGTGTTTTTATTGTTAGAAATACCTGCTTATGTGTTGATAAATTAAGCACAGATTTGACAGGTTGTGATACTGTTGAGGTTCTAGAAGAAGAGTGTGATGATAACACACTTGATCCATTGGTCTTTGTTGATGAGTCAGTTTTCGGAGGTCTTCCAGGTGATTTCTTAACTTTCCCTGACAAGAGGCTGACTCCTGTTGTTCCAGCTACCACTGGCGTTGTGACTGTTTTCTTACTGATACTGTTTGAACAACTTGATGTTGTAGTAGTTGCTATGGTAGTTGTAGCCTTGGTGATGGTATTTTTTTGTGACACTGTTTTAGGAGATGATTTTTGTTGAGGTGATCGCATTGATGCTGAACTATACAAACTGTGGTATGCAGATGCTGTTGAAAATGAGAAAATCAAAACATTCATATGCATATTTATGTATATAAAATAACTTTTCATGAAAATTTCAAAGCTATAATTATTTATAAATATTCACATTCACCAATGTACAAAATAAGAATGGTATTTGCCCTCTACACAGGCCATGATGACTATTCAATAAATGATTGAATACAAAAATCCCATTATCTATATACCAATTCTCAGAAACTGACTTACAGCCATGAATGTACAGATGCATTCCTTATGTATCACATGTCAAGGTTCATTTCACTTTCATTTACACTAACCATTTCCTGATGCGAAGCAGAGGGAAATAGTTGATGTCAAGGGGAACAATAAACTTGCTATTGTCTGAATAGCCAGTAAATAAGTGGGTTTTTTTATACAGAAAGAAACTTGTATATATTTCGAGACAATGTATGGTTATTCTCTTTTTACTGCAGCTCTCACAACTGTTACATATGAAATATCTTTGGTAAATCATATTTTTTTTAATTTGAAGCGGCCAAATGAATATACAGTCAATGGAATTTGACTGCCCTGAAATACCAGTGGTCCTTTTTGAGGGTTGAAAAATGTTAAGATAATTCATAGTCCTCTATCTTAATTTGTGGCAGTCTTCCGGGAGAAGACTTCATAAGTTTAATTAACTTGTGTCTCATCCCTTTTGCATATTTAAGCAAATAAAATATGTTTAAACTAATTAAACTTAATTTGTGTTGTGGTTTCCCTAAACACTTTTGAAAAATCAATTGAATAAGAAATGATGTAATAAATGTGAGAAGTTTAAGCAAACTGAGTGCTTCGAACTGTTATTAAACTAAGACATTGAAATTATAAAAAATACATAGGAGCAATAAGAAAACTGGTTGACACACAATAACTTCAAATCCGTGTTATAAGCTGACAATGGTTTAGCACATGCCTTAAAATATTTCAAACATTCCTTTAAACAAATACTTTGATCAAAAAAAAAATCAGTAACATTTAAGCAAACAGTAAGAAGCATTATTTACTATACATTTATTTGCTTCCATGAAAAATGATAGTCACTAGACAACCATGCAGTTTTAAAGCTCATAACAAACTTATGCTTCAATAAAAAAAATATTCTGCACACCATTATGAGAATTGATGAATCAATTTTTTTTCAAATATTATGCAGAACTTGTACTTTATGCATGCATGTCATGAAACTATGAAATAGACGGTTTGGTTATTTGTTTCATTATGACTGCATACAAATATAGCACTGTAAAATTATGCATATTCCCTGTATATTTTCATATATCTTAAGAAAAGTCTTTTCCAAAATAGATTCCAAAAATTGATACATCAAGTTAACTTTTGGACAACATCGACAGTACTGCCCTTACATGTGTCATCCTGCACAGTACTGATAGTTGCAGTAGAAGTGGGGATTGTTATACTCAAAGGAAGGCCATTACAAGCCAAGTCCAGATTTAATGGTGGAGCTGCTAATATGGTACTCAGAGTTCCTGAAAATTTAAAACCCCATGAAAAAATGCACAAAGACAATTTTTTTTTATATCAAACATATAATTTTCAAAAAATAGAAGGCTAAACTGTCCTTCAATCAAAAATATTTATTAAAAGAAACCTATTGCAAATTTCTGCAATTTCAGTGTGTACAAAATCCACATTATGGTGGATTGTTTGTAATCATGAGTAGGACCACACACAATACAATTTTGATTTGACAGTTTTACTAGGAATTATGGTATTTTGACCACTATTGGCATATATTGTACTGTAAACATAAACATAAAATGTGAAATTGTCAGTTAAATCAAAAAATGGCCATTTTGATTTGACAAATTTTGCTAGAGTTATAGATCTTTCATCAGTTCTTGCCTACTGTAACATAATTTTGGTCACAATGCATTTTTAGCTGTAGCGGACTTTTGGTTTTGGTATAGCAGTCTTTCTTTATTTTCTGGTAAATAAGAATATTCTCGCTTTCACAATTTGCGACGGGATGATGGAAGAATAGACAGGACAAAAAGTACAAGTACATATATACCAATCTCTTTTTCTTGCTCTCTAATTTACGGACATAGTCAATATAAGCTGGTGACAAAGGTTTTACCTGAAGAAGTCACCAAAGATGATGGATAATGTCCCATTAAGCCATCAAATAATGAAGTGACTGGAAATGCTGGATGTCCCATCAGAAATGCACCAGGAATGTGGGCAAGATGGGCAGCATATGGAAGTCCAAAAGGAGACACACCTGCAATAAATAAAATATGTATTTCAGATTCTAAAAATCAGTAATCATTATGTAACAACTTTTTTCAATAGCTAAAATTTACCGTCAAATTGGTCTGGAGCTGCCATATTGAATTGTTGGAATCCATAAATGTTTGATCAATACAATATAAATGAAAATCAAACATACCTAAAAACACTGTTTCAATGACATTTTATCCAAATCTGAATCATACAAGTCACATAACAACCTAACGTTTATAAGTTTTCATTTGTATGACATCATGTTTTGCCATGATGTTTATGCCCCAAAATCATTCATGATGTTTCACAATATTTTATTTTATCATAAATTTATACATTTTTTTCAAAACTTTTTGTAATGCATTTGAATAGGAATAAAAGTACTGTAGTTGAAGAGTTGGGATTTGACCATCAATTTATTAGAAAATTCTATAAAACTTTCAGATAAATTAAAAAATTCCTAATTTTAGGACTCATTTTTTGTTGAACTTGAAAACAATCATGTCAATCACATTATATTTAAAGATTTTCTGAAGATCCCATCTTACCTAAAGTATATCTTATATTCACAAAAAAGTCAATACAATCTGAAACTGTATCCTTAAAGTCTTACCCAGAAGATTAGCCGCTGCATTTTCAAACAAATTATTCCTTGTTGGGCTTCCAGGGTCATCTTTCTCACTCTTATCCATCTTGACAAAATGATGTCTTTCTATCAATTCTAAAAAGATAAAAATTCAACAGTACAAATAAAAAGTTACATATTCATGTTTTGTGTACAAGTGTATGTATGTATATATGAAAACCATACTATATTGTTGCATTCCTCATTTATGCTAATTAACTGAAATAATTCAAACTTCAGTTCTAAATGAAATATATGAGTGCAAAAATTAAATTTTGTCATATTGACATGATTGACAGATGTTTAAATTGTATACAACACAACTATTTCAATCTATATGCTATATGGAATCTAGATATCAACTGATGGTGGATTATAATTATTCATAATTTTGGTCAACTTTTAAATCACAAAATATATTGTCATGAAAATTGGAGAAATCATGGATTTTTTAACTATAGTTTAAATTAGAACTTGAGTTATCTCCCATGGCGAATCAGATTCAATAGATAATTTTATAAGCTTCTTTAGTCAAGTTCTCAGTGTTTAGATTCCATTGTGTCAATTAGATATTGTCGGAATCTTCTTTAGGACACTGTTTTATTGATTTCATGAAGAAAGATTTCTATAATTGTCATAACACTTGCACAATGTGTGGCTAAGACATATCGTAGAATGGATTTTCTAACTTTACAATAATTGATGTCAAGAAATATCTTTGTACTTGATTCTGAGAGTAAATTTGCATTCCTGGCTTTATTCAACCTGTATTTTATCCTTTTTTGAGTGTCTCAAGGATGTGTTGTTCAACATTTAGTATTACTTAAGGAAGATGATCTCTTGACAAATAATAAAATGATTAATAAAAAGTCAGGAAAAAATAGAATAGAGAAATATTATCTCATAACTAAAATCTTCGAAAAAATCTTCCTCAAGAAGAGGAACACTGAATGCTTAACAGCAAGTTCAAAAATATTTTGATTTTAACATGAAGTACATGAATTCACAGAAAAACTACAATACTTCTTTGTTCATGTGACTATGACACTGTGTATATTGATACCCTTTATTTTTAACACTGGTTTATTACCTTTTTGCCTCAGTAAATGCAGAAGAGAAAAAGTCACCATTTCATTGTAAACATTCAAATATTTAAATCTTTTGTGAGCTCTATAACTGAAGTATAAAGCAAAATTTTACAAATACAATCTGATTAAAGTTATAAGGTCTTCCAATAAATTTTAAATAGACTATAATATAAAACACTTAAAATTAGTGTAAAATCATCTACAAACATAGTTATTAAGAGGTTTTACTTTGGATTTCAGTTCATATTTATTGATTAAAATGTGACTCATTATTCACATTTGAATGGTGATGATAAAACTACTGTATAAACATTAAAACTTCAAGATTTATACTACAATCTCTCTTATTACTTCACTTTTGAACTTGTTGCTAGAGCCTATATGCTTTTTTTGTTTGATAATCACTTAACAAAACAAACTATTGACACAGAGGTAATAACTGTCTCGTTTTTATTAATTTTACTACAATGCAAATGTTGAAATTAAAATTGCAATACTTTAACATGAAAACTATGCAAAACATTCAAATTCAATGAACCACTACTGAAGATGAAGACCAAAAAACCTCCCCAGAAAAGAGAAATGCCAATGCTTATACAACTGCATAACAATTATCATCAACTTATCATACATGTCATAAGTGGTTTCCTTTAAACTGACCCAAACACAGACCTAAACATGTAAACAATGCAAAAGTTTCAAAGTCAATGAACCATGATATGGGGCAAGGCCATATAATTTCCATGGAAATGAGATGTGCAAATGCTTATACAATTGCATACCAACTTTCATTGACTTACAATTAGTGGTTCATCTTAAACTGACCTAACCACAAACTTTTAACAAGTAAACAAGGTCAATAGACCAGGACTTAGGGGCAGGCCAAATAATCTCAATGATAATGAGATGTGCTAATAGTTATACAACTGTATACCAAATACATTTAACCTACCAATGCTACCACTAGTGGTTCCCCTGCTACTGATCTAATCACAAACTAATCCATCATTGATGCTGCCGCCACCTGAAACAGGGCCGGGCATCTATGTCTTGTTTTTTATACTTTGTTGAGGTGAAACAAAATAAGACCCCATGATGTGTTCCTATTCACCCCATGATGTGTTCCTATTCACCCCATGGTGTGTTCCTATTCACCCCATGATGTGTTCCTATTCATTTTGTTAGGTCTTTAGTCTAAATTCCAATATTTTTTTGTTGTTGTCAGCTTAAAATATTGCAAAAAAAAACCAAGACTACTGTTTCAATATTAGTCACTATTCATTATAAAAAAATAAAAATAGTTTCACAGTGGATTCTGTACTACTGAACTGGCATCTATGAAATTTAAAGAATTGTCAATGTCCCCTGGCAGTTATGTTTTTACCTGACATGATAACAGTTTGTCATTTTTTTTCAGAAAAGAAAAAAGAAGATTGGCCAATCATGTTACAGAATTACATCTGAAAGACATGTTTTTCATCTAATCATAAGAAAATGACGATGAATAATTTATAAGGGACCTTCTATTGATATTTTCCTGCCAAGTTTAGTCCATTTTACAAATGCTGAAAATGTTTAAGTTAACAGACAGCTGATAGATGACACAAGCAAAGTGACATCTATGGCCATCACTGACATTGCTGAACAGAGGAGCTAAAAAGTAGCTGAAATTCACCTTAGAAAAATTTAACCTGGATGTTGAAAATAAAGCTAAATCATCTTACTTTTGTGAGGATGCTGACCTACTCCCTAAAAAACATTTAGTTTACATGTTGACACGGTCCTATTTGTTATAATAGAATTTTGATGAGAACTGGGGAAAGTGTGAACAAGGTAAAAATCACATAGTTTTTTCTGTGTATAATTATTCCCTCCACCAACTGTACCTGCAACCAATTTCATTACAGTACCTAGGTTACAAGCTTTAGTGAAGACAAAAACCAACATTTGTGAAGCTTAGAAATATGAATTAATTTGAACCAACTTTGAAATAATATTCATCCTCCATTTTGTTGAGACAAATTAGTTATAAACATGAATATATATCTGAAAAACCTGACATTTTTAAGACTGATTTTATCCAAATTTCACATAGTGAAACAGTCAACCTGGCAAGCCAACAAGATGCATCTTATAAAATCCATCAAAAGTGTAAGAAATAGGTTTGCAGGTGCAAACATCCCTAGTGAGAAATATATTTCAAAGTTTTGCCTTTAAAGTGTTGTATTAGATAACTTTACATACTTCAGTCTAGAAAGGATGATGAATATCAACACATTAACTGTTCTAAATAGCTCTATGTTAATTCAGTAAAAGAAAAATTAGCATTGATGAAAGAAAACGCACACAGAAAATCAACCACATTCCTGCAACTATAAACCTTGATAATGTTTAAAATATATTTAGATTCACTACTATTGAAATGCCAATTATACAATGTACAATGTACAAAATCAATTATTTTTACTGAGATAAAATGATTTCCTACATAGCAGAATAATATGATGGCCTCTTTCACTCAGGTGTATCCACATTTTCTCTTTATAAATTCAAACAATTGATCTATTTTATTCTTTGTCAATAGTAAAGGTAAAATTCCGTTTAATCACATTCTTGATGAAAACTAAAAAAAGTTCACATTATATAGATTATTCAGTAAAACTACTTTAATACATATGTGTAGGTATATGTGGTTATTCTAACTGTGAATATGAAAAACAACCAGTTCAGATTCTGTAGTTCCATCCAGCTCTTGTGACAAAAGTCCAAGGACATGATGATTAAATATAGACCAGATATAACTGAATTAATTGCTGGTTTATCTAGGAAAAGGTATGGAGACCTGACTATAATGGACCATGGAGAAGTTCTGGTTCTATTAATGAACTCTGGTGGATAGTTGTCTCATTGGCAATAAGACCACATCTGCTTATTTTTTACATGTAGCAATACAAAATATTCTAACGAAATCTTTAAGTAACAATTTTTTTCATTGGCTACAATTTACGATCAAAATGAAATAAAATAACGCCTACCTCAAAAATGCTGTTTTACTGAGATAGTATCCAAATTTGAATTTTAACAGTAACAGAATAACCTTCAGTTTGAAAGTTTTCATTAGAATGACGTCATGCCTTGACGTTCTGGGCCAAAATCATTCATAAAGTTTCGCAGAATTTTATTTTAAAACATTTTTACAAGCTCTTGTGTATTATTTCTTTTCATATGTTTTAGAATAGGAATAACAGTAATGTAATTGAAGAGTTGCTGCCTTCAATTGGGGATTTGATGGTGGCAAATCTTCAACTACAGTATAGTTATTCCTTAATTGTTGTTTTATAAATTGGCTGTTTCAGGATCCAGGATTTGAGGTTAAGGGGAGCATGACCCCAAAAAATGTACATGTTTTATGCCAAAAATTATATTTTCCCATTTTTTAGGGCATATGCCAGGTGCCTGAATCCCCCACTGTAGCAGTTTTAGCATACAATTATACATTACATGATCTGGATGTGGATAAGAGTCAATACTTTTCGCTATTACTTAATATGAAATCAGATATCTTCAAGCAATTTATGTTGAAGTCATTTCTTTCAATAACAATTCTGCATTAAAAGATGATTTTTTTTTTAAACAGAATATAAAAAATGACATCAAAATATAGATTTGTATAGAATGATATTGGGATAATTGAAAAAGCATTGCTTTTTGTCCATTTGCCTTATAATAGTACTTAAAATTTGTTTGTGATTTCCTAAGCTTATTATTTTCCAAACATCTAACAATCCAATATGATAGTAAATGAACGACATCATAGTTACAACTTGATCAATTTTCTCACTCAAGACCAGCTCATCTTTAAGCTTAGTAACGAAAAATGGAGGAAAAAAGTGTGATCAATTATACTTTTCATGGAACAAGAATATCTGATATATTTCTCTCTATGACAAATAAATCAATGGCAGAGTTGCTTTTCAACAATTGTCTGGATAAGATGTAGCAGAATCA